AATTTTCGGAAACTCCCCTATGTCCATGCTCATGTACAACACTGAAGCCTTGAGCCCAAAAAGTCTGACCCCGACCTTAGCGATAAGATCCCAGCATGCCCTGGTTGTATGGGCCATTCAAGCTCCTGGGACCTCGAGTAGGCCCTTATTCCCTTTTTTAGGGTTCAGGTTGCCTTATAAGCCCCTTTAAACCAAAAAGGGCATCATTTTTATGCCTGGGTTACTCTTGGGTCTAGGCTCCCAGTATGAACCCGGATTTATTGTTAAGGGGTTAATGGTTTAGAATTTAGGGTTTATGGTTATGCATCCCCCCAAACGAATAAGAACTTCTAGCCTAAGCCCTAAACCATCCGAAACCTAACCCTCTGAACTTCCACAAACCCAGAAGCCTACTTGTCGGGTATCATGGGGAACTAAAGGTTAACTTTTTTGGTTACATAAGAATTATATAGGGACTGTACTACCCCAAAAGTTAAAGGTTGCCTACTCTACTACTACGGTGGATGATATAAATCCTGCATTACCTTAATGACCTCAAACTATGGGAATTATGATATATTCCTTGTTATGGGTCATGCAGGGTTTATATCATCAACCGTAGGGAAGCAATGGTCTTCTAGGACCCTAAACCCTAAACCCCATAGATCCCTTTAAGAAACCCTATAGCTCCCTTTAAAGAGCCCTTTAAGAAACCCTATAGCTCCCTTTAAAGAGCCCTTTAAGAAACCCTATAGCTCCCTTTAAAGAGCCCTTTAAGAAAGCCTATAGCTCCCTTTAAAGAGCCCTTTAAGAAACCCTATAGCTCCCTTTAAAGAGCCCTTTAAGAAACCCTATAGCTCCCTTTAAAGAGCCCTTTAAGAAACCCTATAGCTCCCTTTAAAGGGCCCTTTAAGAAACCTTATAGCTCCCTTTAAAGGGGCCCTTTAAGAAACCCTATAGCTCCCTTTAAAGAGCCCTTTAAGAAACCCTATAGCTCCCTTTAAAGGGCCCTTTAAGAAAACTTTATAGCTCCCTTTAAGGAGCCCTTTAAGAAACCCTATAGCTCCCTTTAAAGAGCCCTTTAAGAAACCCTATAGCTCCCTTTAAAGGGCCCTTTAAGAAACCCTATAGCTCCCTTTAAAGAGCCCTTTAAGAAACCCTATAGCTCCCTTTAAAGGGCCCTTTAAGAACCCCTATAGCTCCCTTGAAAGAGCCCTTTAAGAAACCCTATAGCTCCCTTTAAAGGGCCCTTTAAGAAACCCTATAGCTCCCTTTAAAGAGCCCTTTAAGAAACCCTATAGCTCCCTTTAAAGAGCCCTTTAAGAAACCCAATAGCTCCCTTTAAAGGGCCCTTTAAGAAACCCTAAGAAACCTTATAGCTCCCTTTAAAGAGCCCTTTAAGAAACCCTATAGCTCCCTTTAAAGGGCCCTTTAAGAAACCCTATAGCTCCCTTTAAAGAGCCCTTTAAGAATCCCCGCAATGGTCAGTTCACCAACGGCGTCGCGACCGACAGCCGCTCCGCCGCTGCCTGCTACCATCTCCCTGGCCGAAACTGTGCCACGTGGGAAGGCCCCCGCCCTTTATAGGGTTTAGGAGTTTAGGGGTTTAGGGGTTTAGGGTTTAGGGTTTAGAGGTTCAGGGTTTACGGGTTTAGGGTTTTACGGTTTAGGGTTTGCCTTTGTGGTTCTCCATTTTGAATGTCAGGGTTTGCTAAGCCAAATCTAGGGTGTTTCAGGTTGTTTTAGCTGTTGTTTTCTGGTTTGCGAGTTCAAAAGGACTGCAGTGGTTATCTAGTTGTGCTTCAGGGCTTTAGGCTTAGGGGCTCCTCCTCTGGTTCTGGTCAAGAGCCTTCTCAGCATCTTCTAAAGGATTTTACACGGGTTCTGCAAGGATTCTTCAAGACTTTAGGGTTGGGAGTCTAGGGGGCGCTTACTCATAAAAGTGCTGAAGTGCATGTAGCAGGTGGGAGCTTATACTGGGTACCCAGGATGAGAGGATGGGGCTTATGCGATGGCGTCTCCCTAAGGGTCCATGTACTCATATAGTATATACATTGGCCTTAATGTAGTCCCTATATAGTTGCTTTGGGCTCATGTATCTCTATATGGGTACATGGACCCTCAGGGTCTCAACCCCAGCAAATGTAAACGCCGCTTTCGGCTGCCAATGAATATCTCTCCAGAACAGGAAGCATCATGTTGAATCCCAAGCCCAGCTATCTTAAACCCTAAACCCATGGCCCTAAACTAGTTGGGTTCCAAGAGGTGATCGAACCCGCTTGTTCTCCCAACGAGATCTCTTCAATGAACTCGGAACCTTGACACTTGGCCCTCGGTCTTGTTCGGTTAAGGCTTACCCACTAAACCCCTAAACCCCTAAGCCCTAAAGCCCCAAGCAGCACACCTGAGAGGTCAGAAGGCAGCAACCCGTATGTCTCACCCTAAGGGTCCATGTACCCAAATAGAGATACATGAGCCCCAAAGTACCTATATAGGGACTACATGAAGGCCAATGCATATACTATATAAGTACATGGACCCTTAGGGTCAGTTCCTACTTCGAACCCTGGTCCAGCCCTCGACCCGAGACTCTAAACCCTAAATGGGAGTTTCCGAAATTAGGGGTACCTTACTTGGGGGGGTCCTTATATTAAGGATCCACCTATTTAGGGTCTTATAATGGGGTCCCCTATTTTCGGAAACTCCCAAATCCCAAATCCGAGATCCCAAGCAACGGGACCTTGGTTGGATTGGCGTAGCCGAAGCTCAAAGCCTACAAGCCTGCATGTCGTGACGGACCTTGAGCCTTTTAAGAGGATGCTGGGGACCCCGCAGGGTACATATGGGTGGTTGTCAAAATTATGGTCCCTTTTTGGGTCCCTAATTTTGTACGGCACCTCATATTTAGGGTACCCAAAAGGGGACCATAGTTTTGACAACCACCCATATAGCGTACATATTACATAAAAAATGGATCTCAGGGTTAGGGGCCCATGCTGCGGGCCCATAGGTTCTGAAATGGGCATCCCACCTTCTTCGACTCCTACTTGGAGGGTCGGGGGACTTAGTAAGTAGGTAGTAAGTAGACTTATAAGTACCTTAAAAGGGACCCTAATTGGGGTTATGGTACCTATAAGTTCCTCAAAATAACCAGCTACTAAGTCCCCCGACCCTCCAAGTAGCGGGGATCGGTCAGGGGCTTCAGGCCTTTGGGGATGCAGGGTTTGCGATATCCCTGTTGACAGCCTGCTGTGATCGTGCCTCGGTGCTCCAAGGCCCTAAACCCTGTAGGGTTTAGGGTTTAGGGTTTTAGGGTTTGGGGTTTAGCCCCGAAACCAGGTCAAGCCGAAACCCTGACCTTCCCTCAAGCCTAAGGCCCTAAACCCTAAACCCTAAGTTAAGGGCAAACTCACTGAACCCACTCGCAATAATACAGAACCCGGCTCTTCCCGAACCGCAGGAATCCCGCAAGCCTTCATTAAAACAATGTAGTGAAGGAGTAAACAAATAAGTACGTGTATATATATATATATACATATATATATATATGTGTGTGTGTGTGTCTTTGTACGTGTATATATATATATATATATATGTGGATACATATATGTGTGTCTTTGTACGTGTATATATATATATATATGTATATATATATATATATATATATATATATATATATAATATATACACACCTTTGTTCATATATGTATATACGTGTATATATCTCTTTATCTTATATATATACACACACACCAAAATATTCAATTGTATTACGTTGCGTAAACCTGAAAACTGGTCAGGCAGGCGGCGGGCAGCGTCTTCCTTCACTTGGAGACGAAAGCTCTCTGATCTGATCCACACAGGGTTCTTGCTAAGGAACTTACTTAGGTATCGATTTGGGATATGTGTGTGATGCCCCTCTCTGGTTAAACATTTTAAGCCCTGTATGCGTATAAACAATTTTGGCGAATGTTGAAACCGACTCCCAGTGTCATTTAATCTAATTACCGTGATATGGGGATCTATAGGTGAATAGTAGGCACATTGATGGTAACTTAATTTTAGGAACTCAAGATCTAGCTAAGCTACCATAATGCGAAGCTCTATAGTGCATAGCAGGGCTCGTTATCATGGTAACTTGAAGTAAGTTCCTTAGAAAGATCCCGGTTGAGGCGTTGCGAAATTGCCAAAAGAAGCGCCTCCAGGGGCTGGAGGGTTTTGGGGTCCAGGGTTCAGGGCCCATGGTTGGCTGTTTAGGGATGTTAAGGTTTTAGGGTGTACACGAATTGACCCACTGCAACGCAATCTGCTTCTTCTTCTCGGGGCTTACCCGGCATTGGGAAGGTGGGTGACACGGCATTCCGGGGACGGGCGTCGTGCTTCAGAGGTGTTCATCAAGGTTGCGGTTTTATCGCCGCTTGTTAGATAGGCGACTGTATTATAGTTATAGTCGGGCGTCATGCAGGCCACATGGCCAGGATCAAGGCCCCAATAGGCAAATCCGGACTCCTAACTCCGGACCATTTCCCGATTCTGTCGCCCAACTCCTCCAGGCAAGTTTCTGGCACCTCATTGACTGAAAGTCCGGGTGAACGAGTTTTGGGGTTCAGGGGTTACGAGCAAAAGGTTTTGGGGTTCTGGCTTCTGGAGTTTATGGTTTTGGGGTCTAGCTTAGGTGCGGCCCCCACTCAGTAATAGTTGAATAATATTCATAATAGGACCTTATAATAGTAGCCCTATTATAGACTCTTACTGTATGGGCGGCCGTACCTAAGTTCTGGCGGTTCAGGGTTCAGGCTTCCGGTTCGGCGCATTTGCTTCTACGACTCCCCTGCTTCACGAGTTCAGATTTTATCCTTCGACGCATTGAATGCCTAGAGTTTTTCTTTCCCCGACCTACCTGTTGTCGCCATGGTAGTTCCTTTTTGGGGTTACTTTATAGGATCCTAGTTATATATCTGGTTATACTGAAAGGAACTTACAATGGAGATTAAAGGTAAACCCCAAACCCTGGCTCGCAGGTCTTTCCCAGGATCGTGGAAAGGACAAGGATCGCCAGGGTTGCACACAGCATTTTTTAGCGTTTAGGGTTTACTTCGGTGCTGAGATAAGGAAGGACACGTTCCACAGAATTCGCTTCACAGCCATCGGAAAACCTCAAAGTTTGACCGTAAACCCGAATCCCAAACCCTAAGCCCTGAGCCATAAGCTGGTAGGACTGTTAGGTAAGATGGCTTGAATAAGGATTACTTTGTTCACTGAAATATAGCACCCAAGGCATAGTCTGGCCCTGAGGGTCCACATGCGCAAATGGTAGACTTTCAGGTTTGAACCTAACCCTAAAACCCAGACCCTGCCCGAACAGTAGAGCTTCAGGTAGTTCTGGAATGTCTTGTGTTTAATGTGTGGCTTTATGCATACCTCGAACCCTGCTGTACGAGCACCGGGACTTTTCGGGTGAGTGAGAGTAGAAGCCGGAACATGCATCGAGTTTTACTTTTGTTTCAGCCGTTGTCGTCGTCCTTGCTGTCTTAGATACATAGCTGGGGAGATAGACAGACAAACCGGCAGATTGACAGATAGAGAGATCGAGAGATAGATAGAAGATAGATACACAGACAGTTGGACAGACATAATTACATAAACAGAGAGGTGGAGCGACAGAAAGATAGTTCGACAGATAGATAGGTAGGTCGATGGAGAGAGAGAGAGAGAGAGAGAGAGAGAGAGAGAGAGAGAGAGAGAGAGAGAGAGAGAGAGAGAGAGAGAGAGAGAGAGAGAGAGAGAGAGAGAGAGAGAGAGAGAGAGAGAGAGAGAGAGAGAGAGAGAGAGAGAGAGAACAACAGCGAGGGATGGAGGGAGAAAGAGAATCCGACAGAGACAGGGAGAGAGAGAGACAGAGAGAGAGGCAGAGAGAGACAGATAGAGATAGACGGAGATGGATGGAGATAGTTAGAAATAGATATACATAGACAGAGATCGATGGAGGCAGATACAAATAACTGTAGGCAGATATAGGCAGTTTTAGATAGACATGATTAGTTTTTGGTAGATACCGGTAGACGTAGATAGGTTTAGTTGGATTAAGAAAGACAGCTTGACTCATAGATAGATGGAGAGATCGACAGATCTACGGATAGATAGACAAATAGGCACAGATAGGTAGATAGTTAGATAGATTACGAAGTACTGTAGAGAGAGAGAGAGAGAGAGAGAGAGAGAGAGAGAGGGAGGTCATCGAAAGATGGATAGAGACATCTGCGCACAATATACTGGTATGTATGTTTGTTTATTGGTGTGTATATGTGCATGCATGTGTTCCATATTCCAATCGTGAGTGCCTGTGGTGCTGGCATTAGGGTATGTGGGTGGTTGTCAAAATTAGGGTCCTTTTCTGGGCCCTTATTACAACACGGCACCTAATATTTAGGGTACTCAAAAAGGGGACCCTAAGTTTGAGAACTACCCATGTACCTGAAAAAAAGAATCCAAGTTCGAAGTGCAAATCCGTCATCACCTTCTTTCTCGTCCTGGTCTAGGTGTCGTCATAGGCGCGACTCCCTGCATGTAGCCCTAAAGCTCTGCACCGATACAGGAAATCCTCTAACTACCTTAATCCTAAGACTCTAGAGTCCAAAAAACAGATGCGTGTGTTTGTGCGTGTGTGTGTGTGTGTGTGTGTGTGTGTGTGTTTGCGTGTCTGTGGTCTTCGTATCCTGCAGTGTTTACGCAAAGTATTCAACCTGGATTTTTGCATTTCAGAAGGCCGGCACCTGTTATATAGCATCGTACTTGCAAGTGCTTAAACCCTAAACCTCAGGCCCGAAAATGTCCGGACCTCCAGTGGCCTCAGCTGAAATCTCGAGACAGGCTCGAACATTACAAGCCCAGTTCCGTAATCAGCAATCCTTAGGGTCAAGGACTGTAGCTAATCTTTAGGGTCAAGGACTGTAGCTAATCTTTAGGGTTAAGGACTGTAGCTAATCTTTAGGGTTATAAGGACTGTAGCTAATCTTTAGGGTAAAGGACTGTAGCTATTCTTTAGGGTTAAGGACTGCAACTAATCTTTAGGGTTTAGGACTGTAGCTAATCTTTAGGGTCAAGGACTGTAGCTAATCTTTAGGGTTATAAGCACTCTAAATGCAACTAATCTTTAGGGTTAAGGACTGTAGGGCTTCATGGTGTTCCCTAACCCCTAAAACCTCAAGCCAACCAAACCTGAACCCAACACGGTAAGCCTTAACCCTAAACCGTAGTTTCGGGCTCAGGCCCCTTTGCCCCAAAAGGATCTTTAAGTGAAATGCCGAGGAGTATCCAATGAGGCTAGCTTCTTTGCGCGAAGCCCAGGGTTTGGATGTGAAGGCGTTTCCGTTGCGTTTTATCAGGGATACTTGCAGGGTAATTTCAAGATCTGAACGAGTTGCCGTACGGATTGCTTAGAGGGGGTGTTAAGGGCTTGAGTGTTTAAGGTAAAGGAGCATTTCGTAAACCCTAAACCCTAAGCCGCAAGCCCTAAACCCTGTAACGAAAGTGCCGTTCGAACCGGCGGTCCCTAAACCCGGAACCTTAAACTCGAACTCCAATAATAGGGTTTAGGGTTTAGGTAGTAGTGAGCCTTCATGCCCAGGGTTTCTTAAAAATTGCGTACTAGAGCTTTCTGCCGGGTTAGGGTTTGTAAGAAGAACCTACCAAAAAAGTACTGGTAGCTTAGGGTAGGGTCTAAGTTAGTCTAAGTAGACAAATCTGAGGGTGTGGGAGTCCACATACTCGGAGCGGCGTTTGGCGTCGGAAGCCCGACGAGTCAGGGCAGTTGTCAAAGGGGAAAAGGAGGGACCCTTAACGGGGACCCTTACCCTATAATGGGCTATATGATGTGTATATACTAGCTATACATTAAGGGCATATACCTAGGGTCCTTATTAAGGGTCCCTCCTTTTACCCTTGGATTTTGAATACAGAACTCACATCCGAACCCCAAACCCTTCATCGCCCCTAGGGTCTAGGGTTGAGGGTTTAGGGTTTCGGGGTTTTTGATTACACAACCCCCATCCGAACCCCAAACCCTTGATCGCCCCTCAACCCGGAAAGCTCTACCTAGAGTCTCCATTGTACTTCCTTTTTTGGTTAACCAGTTTTATGGTTAGGATCTTGTAATAGGGATTTTGTTTAAGCAGAAAAGGAATTACAACCGAGACTATAGGTAAATCCTAAATTAAATTTAAACCCATAATTGTCCGACTTCGGACCACATGCAAGGTGCCACGCCCACGTGTCTCGGTAGCCACGCCGCCGGCCGGGATGCCAAAGCCGTGGAGCAATAGGGGCTAGGGTTGCGCATGGTTCTTCTGTTGATCCATGGGCAAAATATCGCCTCAGGGTTCTTTTCGGGTCTGCTTTGTAGGCAATATATACAGGGAGGGCTTAGGGTTTAGCGGGCTTTGGTGTTGTCTGGGGTTTAGGCTTTCGGGCTTGAGATGATTTTGGGGGCTGCCCATGCCCAGTAAGTCTCGTGTCATAATTAATATGACCTCCTATACTTGGGCCTCAAAGGGGTTCTGTTTCTAATGCCAGAACGAATATATATATATATATATATATATATATATATATATATATGTATATATATATATATATATCTCTGTTTATATACATATATGTATATATGTAGGTGTGTGTGTGTGCATTAGTCATAAAGGTGTACTGACCCATGAATCAGGCTTCCAGACGCTTCTAAACAAACCTGTACAGTCCTATGGATTTCACAAGCCCTTACAACAACAAAGACACACAGACATAGACACAGACTCAGAGACCCAGACTCAGAGACACAGACACACACACACACCCAGAGACACACACACACAGACACACACCATTAATCATACAAAGTACTTCGGGGTGTTGCTTGGAGGTTCATGGTCAGTTACAAGTGGAGATTTCAAGCAGGGTAACTTGAGTTACCCAGCCGGAACCACCCATGAACCTCCAAGTGAGGTCAGCGACCTAGAGCTCAACGTAAGGCTCCGCGCTCGCCGGGCACCCGGGAGGGTTTTCTGCTTGAAGATTCTAATATTCAGTTCCGGTTATCTTGAGGCCCCATGCGCCCATATAGTATATACTGAGGCCTCAATGTGAACCCACCTTCTTGCAGCCAGAGGCATGAGAACCCCGGTTTGCCTTAATGAATTCTCCGAGGTAAGATGTTGAATGGTCCGCCTTGCGGCCTCTACCCCGGGGTTACACGCACAGTTACAGGCATGTAGCAGTGATGTGTCATTGTTTTGTCACGTTCTATGTTCAATCTATTGTGGTTGCCATTCAGGCTATGGAGGTGTGTGGTGCTGTTGATTTGAGCCACAACAAGAAACAGTTAGACCTATTACTTTAGGTATCAGTATGTACATATGGTACAACATACCCCATAAGCCTCGTTCTAAGTACAGGCTCATGCCGCTACCAAGACGGTTCTCTAAGGGTCCATGTACTCATATAGTATACACGTTGGCCTTGAAGTACCCATATTGGGACTACTTTACCCCAAACCCTAAACCCCTAAACCCTAAACCCCTAAACCGCCCATGTGTATACGACTCTTTGAGCACTTGGAACCTTGGGGGTTGCTTACAATTTGAAGTAGGCCAGGCGGCAGACCCTCCGACCGAAGCCGAATCATCAACGCCCGAAGCATGAAACGTAGATGCTCACGAATTACTAGCCTTATTCCCTACACCTCCTGGATAGGGCTTGATCGCATAGTATACCACAAAGCCCTATCTTCAGTGATGTAGAGGCCCCAATACGTTAATTACCTCAAACACCAATCCTGCTCGCGAAGCTCGAGATGCGAACGCGTAGCTCTTGCCCCATACCTAGAGTCTCCATTGTAGTTCCTTTTTTTGGTTAACCAAAATCTCTATGATAGGATCCTAACCATAAAACTGGTAACCAAAATCTCTATTATAGGATCCTAACCATAAAACTGGTTAAGCAAAAAAGGAACTACCGTACAATGGAGACTCTAGGGACGACGTCCAGCCGCGGAGCCCCAAGCAGGAAGTTCCTTGGAGCATCTGCCTGCAGGCTCCTACACCGTACTTGTTTAGGGTTACTTTTCTATACAACACATCCTAGCCATATAAAAAAAACTATAGGTAATTATCCCAAAAAAGAGGTAGGGTATGAGCCTCTAGGATAGAGTAAGCCCTCAAGTCTCGGACCTCTTAACCCTACATCCCAGGTGAGAAGAACTGGGGCAGCCGCGAGTCGTGCCATGCTCGGAGTGGTGGATGTATATAATTGCGATTGTAGTATCATGTCGGGCGACAGTCCACTTTGCAGTGAGGGTTCAGTGTTTAGGGTTTTGGGTGTAGATTTAGATTGCACGCAATATCATTTGAAGGAAAGTCTGCTTTGCTGGAAGGGTTTGGTGTTTAGGGCTTGGGGTTTAGATTGTAGAATCGCTTTTGGGGGAAAATCTGCTTTACAGCAAGGGTTTACGGCTTAGGGTTTAGATTGTCGCCTCGTTTTGGCGGACAATCTAGTATAGACACTACACTTCTGAGTGGAATATCAAGGCTTGAAAAGCTACGAACACTACTTTTCCATAGAGCTCCTCAATACAATGATCTTGTAACATGGCCCAAAACTCTGTTTCCGCAATGCAGCCCTGAAGAAACAGCCCCCCCCCAAAGCCTTGAAACTTGCTCGTGGGTTCAAAACGCCTCCAGGTTTGGGGCTTGGGTTACTGTTCAGGGTTTGGGTTTAGGGTTCTAAGCCCCAAACCGCAAACCATAAGCCATAGAGTCTGAGCGTTCTCCTGAAGCCACGTATGGTGACCAAATCCCAATACGGCGGAACCCGAGACTCGAGGCGTCTCGAGGCCTTTATCCATGAACCTAAGTATTCCTAGTATCTCCACGTATAAAGCATTGGGCTTTCCCAACATCCCTATAGTTTCCATTGTAGGTCCTTTTGGGGGCTACCTTCTAGGATCCTAATTATATATTTGGGCAAACCCAAAAAAGGAACTACATGGAGACTATAGGTCAGATATATTTTTCCTCCTCCCACACCCCCGAGATCACTCATGAACCTAGAGCACTGAACTTTCTTGCCCGAGATCCTGGTTGGTGAAGAACGCTTTCGCAGCTTGGCGGTCTACGCTCCCGTGTTGCGTCGGAAGCCGAGCTGCGCATCTTAGCAGGGCAGCCCTAAGCCCTCTCTCGTTTCAATTTCCAAGTATACCTTATTCTTGCATGCGTGAGGCTGTATGAACCCATACAGAACCCCAAAAACGCCGGTTGACCACGAGGTGTTGTCCCAAAGTTCGTGTATCAGTTTCCCTGGACCCTAAACCGGTGTTCGTTCGGCGCAAAGGGATTGCCCAGCTTCCGGTAGGGTTCCGGTTTCAACAGAGCCAACGGTGCCAACAGGGTTCAGGGCTAGTAAAGGTTTTCGTTGTAGGCCTTAGATTGAGCCGTACATGTTAGAATCCTTAGGATGCTTGCCTACGTGGATGGTTGGAGTTAGAGCGCCCGAGTCTTCTGCGGCTTGGTTCGGGGTTTCATCTTTCGGTGATCCATGTCAAAGAAGCTCAAGATAACATAGGAGCCCCAATCAATATTATAAGTACATCCTCATACCACGGAGAGCCCTCATCTAAGCAGACTGCCACACACCCCCGAATTATATTCCATGATCTGATCAATCACTTGCGGTCACAACATTTCATAAATAGCTGAAGGCAGTCAGGCAGGTGCTGCATGCCGATACATTACGTGGACCGAAGGCCATGGGCTAGGGGTTTAGGGTTTTAGCGTTTGGGGTCATTTAGGATTCAGGGTTTAGGGTCGAAATCTTTTGCCACAAGGCTCAACAAAGCCAGCCGTGCCCCTTGACCGTAAATCTTACACGCAGTCTGCACCTTTTAAACACTCTATACCCTATGTTGATTTCCCTTGGCCCTTAGCCCCTTAGCTCGTGCTTTGCATTTAAATGCTGCTGTTCAGACACCTGGCACGAATGTTGTCGATCCTGAAGTCCGCACACTGCGGACAAACAGGTCTTGTAATGTGGCATGAGTACCCGACACAGACGCACGCATCGGTCTCTCTGAATGCGGCAGGCTGATGTACACTTCAGGGTGCGTGATTTCAAGCTGAATGAGGAATTTATGCCAATATTGCAACCAGCGGGTCGACGTTGTGTATGGTTTTTTGTCTTAGCAAGTATATGCACATGCATACATCCCGGCGTGCTAAAACAACGGATGAGCATAGATGCATGCATGCATATACACCCGAAAACCTACACTCAAAACCCTTGGCCCTAAGCTCTAAACTCTAAATCACAACCCGATAGCCTCAACATTCGACCCTGAAGTCTAAGCCCCAAAGCCTCAACGTGAAAGCGAGGTCTCCGTTCGGACGACGCCCACGGAACCAGTAGTTCGGGACCGGCAGATGTTCGACACTTGACCTGTTCAGACACCTGAAAATCCAGATTCTAGTGTGGATCCGGATACTGAGGCTCTTAAGAGTTAAGAGGGACGTGGGATTCTAATCCGACCCCTGCAGGCCTTTGTCTTTGTGTGTCGTCCATCGGTTCGGACAGGTCGCTTGGTCATCCCACACCGTGACACTTCGCTACAAGAGTCACTCTACACCTTCTGTGGTTTAGGGGATTATGCTTCAGGGTCACCTGCAACCACCAAAGCCCTAATACTATGCCAGATTCCACCGAAAGACCCGAGGACTTGCAGCGTTCGCTGGTGGCAAAGGACCCGGCACGCGGTATGCGCAGGGGATTCGAGTGACATACCCGAGCTTCTCACCCCTGCACTCCTACACCCTAACCCCTTAGCCTGTTTGCCTACGCCGTGAACCCGGCCCCTAACGCCGATCTCCCCACACACCCGAACCCACCGAACCCCCTACTTTGCCCTGCTGTCTGCCTAGAACCCCCAACCGCCCTCTGACATACCCCAACTGCCTATCCTCAAGAGCCATCAGGGCTGTATCAAAGGGCCCTTGGGGGGTCCTGGTGCTGGGATCCCAAACCCTAAACCATATAAACCCTAAACCTTAAACCCACATTTGCCAGGAGGCTCAGATCGAATATTTCGAGCAACAAGCCAGGACGAGCCGGGCACCTACGCCGCAGCGCGAAGAGGGCTTCAGGGTTTTATGGGTTTTGGGTTGTGTTTTCTTGGTGTTAGGATTTTAAGGATTTGGGGTTTCAGGGCTTTGGGGTTTTGTGGTTGAGGGCTTAATAGTTGAGTGTTTTTGGGTTTTGTGTGTTTTTGACTTGCTGTTTTAGTTTCGGGTTGGGGGCAGCTTAAGATTTTTGCGGTGTTAGGTTTTGGGTGTTGCAGGATTTTATGGTTTCTAGGGTTCAGGATTGAGGGCTGTGGGTGAAGAAAATGCATGACACCTTGCAAGAGTCGTATCTTTTTGTCTAGAGTATTCGGGCTGCACAGAGAAAGCATGAGCACCCCAGAAAACTCTGCGAAGCGTGTTTCATCCTGGTTGTTTGGGTGAACATAGAAAGTTCACGTGAGTGTAGACTGTTCATACAAAAAGCTCGCTAATCCAAGAGCCTTATGAAGGAGGGCTTGTATTGTGGCTTCTGGTGACTGCATATAGGGGTCCGTTTTGAGTATTGATCAGTGTGCAGAAAGTACATTTGGAGTGTTACTTTGCAGACGTTACCGGGGAGCAGTTGACAAACACTGACACAATATGACAAAGCATGTAGCAGGACACACGGTGTTATCAGGTTTAGCATGTACAATGTGATATAGACTCGACTTCCTGTTGTATATCATACACTGCATAGACACACCGCATCTTAAGCTTAAGAATACAGAGAAATTGTAGAAAAGATTGTAGGACTTACTATTATGTGTCTTCGGTATCAAACCTCAAGCAAGCCTTAAGAAGCACGTGCAGTATTTCACTCTTTCAGCTTAGCTCATGAAGTAAGTTCTAAGCACTGACCCTTGGAACATAAGGCTCCGACTCCAGAACCCACCAAGGCTGCTAAAGATGCAAGGTTTAGCGCCAACCAAGACTCCTTACTGTAACCCCAGGGCCCTAGGGGTCCATGTACCCATATACTAGATACTTTGGCCCTAAAGTACCTATACAGAGACTACTTTGAGGCCCATGTATAGTCTATATAGGTACATGGAACCTTAGGATAATATAGCACGAAACATCAGTCCTGTTGCTGTTAGATACTCTGAGTCCTAGACCCGTTAGAGGGTACCCTTCTTCATCCTACTGCTGGCTCTCTCAAAAGGGAGCTTATTGAGAGTCTCTATATATCCAAGGTCCCCCTTTATCCTAACCACCCGAAACCCCACCCTAAACCTTAACCGCTAAACCCCTAAACCCGAACCCTCACCCCTAATCCCCTGAACCCCCAAACCCCCTAAAGCCCTAATCAGCCCTAATCCTATAACTCTTCACACCCAGAGAGTCCAAAATCCCTTAATTAAGGAATATACCTTAAATTATATTAAGGGTCCTACTATATTTTAAGGTATATCCCTTAATTAAGGAATATACTTTAAAAAAATTGAGGCTCCTACTACATTTTAAGGCATATTCCTTAATTAAGGGATATTGGAGTCTCTGGCAATTAATTCAAGGATCCTACTAGATTTTAAGGCATATTCCTTAATTGAGGGATATTGGAATCTCTTCACAAGGCAGCTTCCCGCTCTCCCAGCGACCCCGTGTTGCTCGGGTGGGGCTTCGTCAGCTTCGCTCGGAACTGGCTACAGGCGAGGTCGCGGAGCGTGGACCGGTGCTATGGAGCTTAAGATGCTTACCTGGACCCCAAAAGTATGTAGAATAATGGCCTTTCATGGGTTTTGGGCTATCATTAATTATTTTACCACAAAATAGTGGGATTCATATATGGAGCCCTGATAAAGGCCCAAGGTTTCTTAATCAAGGTTCCTAGATTAGTAGCTGAGTGGGTAACCTTTAACCTTTTGGGGTTTATAGAGCCCTACCATAATTGAAAAGGTGAAAGGATTGACCCTTTTTGAGCAAGGGCACTCAGCCCCTTGGGATGTGTGATGTACAAGGATTAGGGTGTTTAGGGTGCTACAGGGCTTCAGTCAGGGTTGAGGATGTAGGGTCAGTGAGAATGTTTTTGGTGGTGGACTGACGGTTTTGTTCTGTTTTACGGCTGGGGTCTCAGGTAATCTTAAACCCTAACGCCCTACTGTCTTAGGCTGTAAGAAGAGCACATTCCAGATTCAATGCGTCTTACTTTCGTAAAACGTCCCTACCAGGCCCCATAAACCTCCACTGCCCTATGAGACGTAACCTCAAACCCTAAAGCAATCCCTCAGCCCTAAACCCTAAACCCTAGACCCTACACCCTAAAGCCCTTAACTTTAAAGCCCTCAACCTTAAGAAGGTAAACCCTTGTGACAACCATGAGCTTGAGTTAGACCCTAACACTTTACCGCCGAACATCATAGCCAAGCCCGAAAGCACCCCCAAAAGTATGTAGTATAGTGGCCTTTTGTAGGTGTTTTTGCAATTATTTTGCCTGCTTTGGTTTAGGTAGACCCTCAAAGCAACCCCTAAACTCAAAACCCGAAGCCCTTCAACCCCTACTCAAACCGCGAGAAGCCCCGCGGGATCAGGCCCGGCTGGAGCGCGTCGCATCATCTGAGAGCTCTACCAGGCTGCTGTTCGGGCAGCTACCTTAAAGGGAACACCAGAAAGTTGGAATAGGGCTTCAGGGTAGGATACCTTATAATTTACCTTAAAGGGGTTACGATAATGATATTCCAACTTTCTGGCTTCTACTGTAACCTTATCCTACCATCAGCTCTATGCTTAACCTATCAAATCCGACTTTGTGGTAGGTTCTTATTACAAACCCTGATCTAGAATTTTTCGAGACCCTACAGAAAGCAGGGTTTGGTAGTTTAAGGTCGAGAGTTCAGGGTTCAGTGTTTATTGTGTATAGAGTTTAGGGTACTTCTTGGTACGTTAGGGCCACACCCGCACTTAAGTTACCGCGCGCTTTTCTGAAGGTGTTCCTGTTTGGAGGCTTTCTCATTGGATTCTAGGCGCTTCAACTTTGGGTGAAGCAATGAGCTCTGAACTCGCTCGCGCCTGCCAGCAAAAGTCAGGCCTGGGTTAAGAGCCCATTCCACGTAAACCTGGTTTCCGAAAACGCCTTCGGTAAACTCCGAACGTGTGACCACTTAGGGCAGCCAGGGTTCAGAGTTGAAGGCACATACTGTAGAACGGGAAAGTTCAGGGGTTGAAGACGTCAGGAGGCGTGGGGCTTGGTGTAAACCCTGGAAGACTCTTAGCCGTTTCGGACCCTAAAACCCCAAACCCTGCAACTCAAGCACCCAACCCACAACCCGAAGTGATACAACCCTGGAATCCCGAACTTTAAACGAAACCCGCAATTACCAGTATCATCCTTAAGCCCACCAGACCTTCAACAAAGCCTGAAAGTAAGAAACAAGCATCCTTTAAGCCTAAATCACCATAAAACCCTCAACCCTGAACCTGAGACCCCCTAAGACCTCTGCCTCGACCCCAAAATCCTGAACAAGAACCTCGACCTCAAGACGCCACACCCTCAGCCCCCGACTCCCAAAAGCTAAACCCTAAACAAGCAATACGCCGTAACTCGCAGACCTGTTTAAGGAACAGAGTTTGAGAACAGCACCAAGAAGTAGCAATAACAGTTCTGAAGTTCCAATCGCTACACCGGCCCTAACCCTACACCCCAAACCTTAAACCCCAGCTCTGAACAAAAGGTTCATGAAAGAGAAGCTCTCTGCAGCTGAGGAGACGTGTTTCTGGAGGTCTCGGTTTAGAGTTTAGGGCTTACGGTCTGTATAAGTTTACGGTTCAAGGTTTAAGTCAAAAGCCCAGGGATGAAGGTTTTTACAGGGCTTGACCAGTCGAGGAAAGACTGCTGGTGCCTTGCACATGCCGGCATTTATCTTGGACTCTAGTACCGTGAAAATGCCACAGAGTATCCTTGAGTGCGGCTCGCGAACTGGATGCGCAGTGACGAACTTGAGAAATTGAACCCTAAACCCCAGAAGCATCAAGCCTCCAACGTCGCGCTCCGCGCCGGAGATCTGTGCGCCAGACGAGGCCAATTTCAAGCTTTGTACATGAATCAATCACTTTTTGGCAACGGCTGTCCCGGATGAGCTAGCATTGCGGGCGTTGCTATCACGTCATCGAACCTGGAGCCTTACGCAGTTAGGAAGGGGGAGCCTTTGTCACGGGGTCCTTCTTTGCGAGAGTGACGTACTCTACTGGGATCAGGACTTGCGACTCCTAATGGAAAGAATACCCAGAGATTCCAAAATCCCTTAATTAAAGATAAAGAATATACCTTAAGTAATTATATAGTAGGATCCCTAATATGATTAACCTTAAGTAAGGAATATTGGAGTCTTTGGGTACCCATACCTAAAGCGTCTATTCGGGATCTAAACATGGCGCAGCAAACTAGCATACATCCCCCAACCCGAAGCCTTGCACCATACTCTAAACCGTACATGCCACTCCTTCCTCAAAGCGTTTGCTCTGCACTTGAAAGCCCAACAACCACTTCAGCAGTAAACGCTGTAGATCCTTACTTCCCCCTAAAACGGACGGTATCAACCACAATGAACGAAGGCTTAAAGCTTGAACCTAGACCAAAAAGCTCGAACCCTAGTTACCCCTAAGCATCCTTAAACCCTAACCTTAAACCCTAAAGCCGAGAAGGACCGAGCGATGAAAACCGAGAAGCAGCTTTTGCAGGCTCAGGGTTTAGGGTTTACCCTAAGGGCCCATGTGCTCAAATAGTGTATACTTGGGCTCCAAAGTACCTATATAGGGACTACTCTGAGGCCAAAGTATATACTATTTGGCCCTTAGGGCTTAGGGTTCAGGGTGTAGGCCTGCACGGTTTTTGATGCTAAATCTTCCAGCCGAAACCCAGAACCTTAAACCTTAAACCCTGACCCCCAAAGCCTAAACCTGCAGTGCTTTGAGTTTCAGACTTGGGGGGGTTTAGATTCCAGGAGTTATGAGTCGAAGTAGGATTTGGGTGACCAGGCTTTGGGGAGGCAGGGCTTACTTCTTGGGTCAAGGGTTTTAGTAAATGCCTCAGGGCGCTCAATGTTCCTGAAAGACGTGTATCAGGTTGGAAGCAACGCACCCCTAAACAATAAGCCGCTAAACCCTGAAGGCCCTATAAGCCCCTAAACCCTAAACACCCAAAATCCTTATCTTTCTGGACTGGAACCCGATAGTCCTGTATGAGTCTCCTGCAAAGCTTGTAACAGCCTTCAGCATTTTCTTGTGATTGCTAGCGGTTCTCCTTCGTAGCTGAGCGAGTACACTTTACAGTCTTTGGGAGTATATAGCCTCTTATATAGAATTGAAAGTTCACACTTCATGCGGCCCGTGACATCAGGATCTAAGTCTCAGTGTGAGGATACAGGGCTTGCAAAGATTGGGGACGAAGGGATTCCTGCTCGAACTCCCGAAGCACAAATGTCCAAGTCCAAGACCTAATGGCATCTTTGGCTTTATGTGTCGAGGGTGAGGGGCTGAGGATATTCCCAACAAAACCCGGCGCTTAAGGCTGCCGGCCCAAACGACACCTAGGTCCCCGTCCTCCAGAGTGCTCCAAGATTCGTTGCGGCACCTGTCATCCTAGCACACAGCAGTGACATTGTCGGTGACGAGAACTTGAAGGAGTCTGATGGCATTCTACTCCATCGATACCTGCCCCCAGAACAGCTGATTTTGACTGCATTCGGTGCTATGGTGTTGCTTGAGGCTTTCCTGAACATCACTGGAAGCGAATGCATCGAAGCGGTGCTCAAGAAAACCGATTTCGACAAGGTTCATGCGATCCTCGACCCACTCACACCTGAGAAGTTCATGACACAGGTTGAAAATGTGGCAGGAGGCGATGCAGGTCCAGATCGAGAAAGAAATGTACGACCTTCAGTACCATGACCTTCTTGCTGATGATTGATTCTTTGCCCATGAGAAGCGCTTGCTGACCACTTGGGAATGTCTGACAATGATAGTGGATCGACTGCGGCAAAGAAGTCGCCTGCAGACATGTCGGAGGCCAGGCTCCAAGATAATCTGGGATTCACTGCCGTTCATGTGAAGTACTGCGACTCCATCCTGAAATCTGTGGTCGAGGCCCTCTCCCAAAGGTTAACCTTTTTTCCCAACCCTAAACCCTGAACCTTAGTTTTGCAGGATACTGGACAAGTAGGATCACGTCTTGATGCCAGAGTCGGCCGTAGGTTTCCCAGCGGCAGTACAACCTTCGTGTGCGGCCCCTTTTGGGTACTGTAGGGGCCTTATGACTATATACCTATACAATTTTTGGGGGGTTCCTTATTATATCTATAGTATAATAATGGGTCCCAAAAACCTTGTTCTAATTATACAGACTCTGAAATTAGACGGCTGGGGGTCCCAACAGCAAAAAGCCCGCCTCTCCTATGACACGTACCTTGGCCCGGTGATTCCGGATCAGCTGCTTCAGCTGGCTATCTTCTCACTGAAGTTGTTTGATTTGCTCCAAGGGGTTCATTTGATGTCAGGCCTGAAACCTAGGGATATTCATGCATGTGGAGTTCCATAACACCCTTACAGGATGCAGCCCATATAAACCTCAATACAACGCAGAGACTTGTAAGCCCCTTATGGACCTCTTAACAGTTCCGCGAACCCTACACCTTACCAGGAGGGTCATACTTCATTTTTTGGGTGGGTACCTAGTTTTCTATAGCATAGCAGGTCCTAACCATCAAACCAGGTATTTCTGAATGGGGTAGGGTATGATCTTGTAGATATGTCCCGAGTCCCTGATCGCAACCCGAAAAAGTCCAAGCCCGGCAGGCGCGCAATGACTTAAGCGAGATGGAGCAGCTTATCTTGAACAGCGGTTTGCCCTTTTAGTGCGTTTTGGGAATTTGTGCAGCTTTAAGTAGGGTTTGTATGCGGCTTCCAGGGTTTGTGGTTTAGAGCTTTCGTGTTGTTTTGGGGTTAAAAGGGTGAACGTACGAAGGGCTAAAAGGGTATTGTAGCGCTTTTGAGTGGAGGGTTTCAGGTTATAAAGGATTATTTAAGGTTGATAGGGATCAGGGTTAGAGCTTTAGGTTTAGAGCCTTAGAACTTTTGCTTTTTGTCAATTGTTCCGTTGTTCTGGGCCCTAAGCCTGGTTCTGAACTCGATCTCCATTTATGTGTTTGCAGATGTTCCTTTTGGGGAACTTGTTGCTATTGATTCCCTTAAATCTCGCACCTATTAGCTGAAGTTGTGGGTGACATCTGGGTTTAGGATCTTCCCGCTCGTAGTCGGAGGCATTGGTGACATGCTACAGAGTTCCCTAAACCATATAAACCCTGAATCCCTACTCTCTGCCCAAACCTTAAACCCGCTACGTCGGGGCATCCCGGTCGGGCTACCTCGGACCACGGCGCTTGTTTGAGGAGCACTTAGCTGGAGGCTGGAAAATGCCCCGATTTTACTCGCAGTAAAATCTTCCCGGCAGGCTTCGTACATTGGGTGGCTACCCACAACCCGCTAAAGTAGCGGTAGTAGCTTGAAGCAGCTGCCGCAGCCGCTCGACTGGCGGCCATGAGCAAAGGACGTTATTCAGGCCATAGGAGACCCTGCACGTGCGGAACTTGAGTGTCGTGGACGTGTGCACTTGGACGGTCACAATGTCCTCTATCGCTGGTCCTACAGGCCCCGTCGTCTGCGTATTTTCCTCTGAGTGATGCTAAGTCTAAAGGAACCACAATGGGTGGTACAGTACTGCCATGGTAGCGCCCCACCGAGAGTCTCCATTGTAGTTTTTTTGGTTAACGAGTTTTATGGTTAGGATCCTATATTAGAGATTTTGGTTAACCAAAAACAGGAACTAGAATGGATACTGTACGCAGTTTGCATGCAGTTGAGGTTGAACGGAAATGCCAGGTAGAGGGAAAGGTGAGGGACAAAGCGGTGCTGAGACGAGAGGGGAACGCGGGGCAGCTTATAGATCTCCAGGGGTCGTCAAGGCCGTCAGCAGGGTACACAGGGAGTCCATGGATGCCATAGAGGATTTAGGGTTTAGGGTTTATGGTTTAGGGTTTAGGGTTTATGGTTTTAAGGTTTAGGGTTTTAAGGTGCGTAGCATGACACTCGGCAAGTTCAAGGCCAAGTTTCGCGAGAGCCGGGCTTTCGCGGCCCAGGCGGTTGTCGTCGAGCACGGGGCTAAAACTTGACCGTTAAACCTTGACAGTCGCTAGGGTTTAGGGTTTAGGGTTTAGGGTTTATAGGGTTTAGGGTTTAGGGTTTAGGGATGGGCTGAGCAGTCCAGCACGCCGCATACCCGTTTGAATCTAGGGCTGGGCCCCAGAACCACAAGGTCAACGAAACATATGCATGATTTGGAGACTCTGTGGGTATGCAAGGCCAATAACTATCACGGCTTAACGAAGGTTGACTGTTTCTGGTCGAATGTTGAGATGGCGTTACCCGGGTGTCTGCGGCGTAGTATGTCGTGCTCACAGTCGTATGCCTGATGCTTTTACGTATTCCCGTACAGGTAGCTGTACAACCAGAGCTATGTTATTAAAGATCTTCAAAATTCCTTGGAGCAGGAATCCAATTCTTGGCTTTGGGTTTCGGTGTATTGGGGCCTTCGAAACAAGGCCTGAAGCTTCACGCCCACACCTCATGCCAAGCAAAGGTTGCGCCTGTCGATGTCCGGGGATCGCCACAACTCCTTGGAGGACTACCTGAAATCTAGAACCCAAAAAGCCCCGAAACCCGTGTAACGTTGGGCCCTGCACCCTTAACCACCCCGTGCATCTGTAAACTACACTACATATAATAAGCCGATGTCACAAACTCATCTAAATCCCCAAACCCTCAGTCTGCATATGTGCACGAGATCCTGCAACTGTAACTTGGGGTTTTCTTGCTTGCGCTTCTGTTGAATGAGAATCCTGCTATTGGACTGGTTTGAGAGTTCTGCGGTCAGGTTTCACGTCTAGGGTTTGAGCCCTAAGCTCTGTGAACCCGAAATCCTGAAACCCTAAACTCTGCAGCCTAAACCAAGAACCCGAAATCCTGCAACCGTAAACCCTAAACCCGTGTGGCAGAGGAGCAGCTGCGGATCGCAGGGCAGCGAGGGCGGCAGATGGAGCAGCTGTGATGTGGCTGAAAACCGTTTGGGTTCAGGGTTCCAGGCTTGGGCGGGGTTTAGGGTTTAGGCTGCTGCAGGTCTAGGATTTCAGGTTTTCGGCGGGTGTTTTGACAGAGATGGCCCGCCCCCAACACTGTAAACTCCAAGCTGCACACCCTTAAACCCCAATAACAAAATGCAAGAACTCGTTCAATCCGCACTAAAGCCCTAACAACTCACCCTAAACCCTGGACCCTTAGCCTGAAGTGCAGGACAGGCATCACCAGTAAATTCGCCCGGTTTCGATTTCATGTCGACAATTCCCAAAGCAGTATCCTATAGCTTGCTTGAAAGGCCACAATTGTGCTCCGGGCGACAGTATTTTCGGGTGTAGAGTGGGACGCCAGTGCAGACAGTATAGAACCCTCACACCCTAATCAGTCTAACCCTGTCGGCGAACCGCTCCTCCTCGAGCAGCGGCGCTACGACGAGGAGCGGCAAGTTCCTGAGGCCGCCTATGACTACGATCCTCGGCATGAGGATGACCAACATCATGTGACTCAGAATACTCCCCCGGTCACCTCTGGATGGGAGACTGTGTCCTTCTCCTGAGCAGACTCAGTGGGCTTGTACGTTGTTTTGAAGGTCGCTCGAGATGTAGCAGCACAAGTCGCAGGCCGAGGAACTTGTCTAAACCCCTAAGAGTGCCCTGAACCCTAGCTGCTAAATCCCACGCCCTAATCCTTGAGTCGGGTAAATACCCGGAACCCCGGCTTGAAACGCCGAGAAGCAACCTTGAATGAAAGGCATCCTATATATATATATATATATAGAGAGCCTTTTAAAATGAAATTTTAAAGTTTAAACTCTGAACTCTCAACCCTACATCCTAAACCCAAAGCCGGAACCCTGGCACCCCTACCCTGAACTCTACACCCTAAACCCTACTTGGAGGTTCATTGGTAGTTACAAGTAGGGTTATAAGTAGGGTAACTATACTTATAACCCTTAAAAAGGGGACTTATAACCCCACTTATAACTACCCATGAACCTCCAAGTACCAAAGCCTGTACGAGGTTGACTTCAGCGGAGACGCAGACTCGGCGATTGGAGGCCTCCTAACCCCTAAACCCTCCCACGACTTTAGAACAACTTCTCCGGAACCCTCAAGGGTTACTTGAAGGGATACCATAGGGTTAAGGGTATACTACAAGGGTTCCTATAAGGTTTCGATAATGGTCTACCTATAGTCTCCATTGCAGGTTTCTTTTTTGGTTAACCAGTTTTATGGTTAGGATCCTACAATACACGTAGAGATTGTGGTTAACCAAAAAAGGAACTACAATGGAGACTAGGTAAACCTTAAACCCTATAAGCCCTATTTGAGACCTTCAGGCTGCTTGGGTTTACATAACATTAGGAATTCCCGGGCTCAAAGTTTACAAATACGACCTCCTTGGGTCTTAGGTAGAAATTTAGTGGAAGAACAGCCGCTTGCTTGGGGCGAGTTGTACTTCTTTTACAGGAGGGACCACTTGGAATAGACCCGTTTAGTAAGAGATCTGAACCAAGAAGCACCCCAACATAAACTTTCGGGTGGGATATCCCTATCTTGTTGGCTTAATTAACAAGGAGATTCTGGGATATCCCAACCTTATGGTTTTTGTTTAGGTCCTTTTTGGGTCCCTAAAAGAAGGGAAAGCAGGCATGTACTTCCAGTAGCCACCGCCACGGTCTTAAATTTATGTAAAACTACCAGGACCCCCCAAGGGCCCTGTAATGGAGTCCTCACGGCCCTTATTAGTGGGTATTTGGGGTATATTAGAGGGTAGTTGCAGGGTCTAGGTAAGAAAATCGTGATGGCAATCATGCTCGGTCAATGTCCAACCTTGTGGCTAAGGGTCAACATGCCTAAAATTGTAGCGTCCTTACACGATCCCCTATTAGACAACCTCATAACAACCCTGATACTATGCTTTACAGCAGCATTTAGGGTTTTCTATACTTGTAAACAGACATAGCGAGTCTTGTGCGGAGGGCTGAGGAATAGTTTCGGGCCTGCGTTTCTGCGCAAGCAGTCTGCAGACAGCCCGAGCGAGAGCGACACGATGCAAGTGTTCGTTACAATGAAGAACCTTGCGAATCTTAAAAGCCCCCAACACCCTAAATCCCTTCATCGTAATGGATAGATATAGTGCATGTAGTTAACCCCCAAAAAAAAACTCCAAAAGTCCTAAACCCCAATCCCTAAACTCTGCAAATCCCATATAAACCTTAGAACCCTACTATAGACCATGAACCCTCTGAGTCCCAGAACCCGAAACTTCCCTAAACCCTAACTTCCCAGAGACATCAATATCCCTCAATTAAGGAATATATAATATACCGTTTAGATTATAGTAGACATGCCTCATAGTTTGATGTATATATTCGTTAACTATGGAATATTGGAGTGTCTGGTTTTCTGCTGCCAGGAAGAGCTGAAAGTGGCTCACGATGCTGAGCTACGCATGAAGGCTTTGGCTTTTTGGCTCTAAATCCGTGAGGGTTTATTTGGGTTTAAATCGGGTTCAGGGCCTTTAGGGTTTAGGGTTCAGGGCTGTGGAAGCCCAAAAATCCTGAGCCGTAAGTTGTTACGCTTCAGGATTTCGGGTTTGGGCCTCAGCCCTAGAGGATTTGGGGGCTTTCGGTTTCTGGGCTGGGGTTTACAGGCTACAGGGTCTTGGGGTTGCGAGGGTTATCTGCAGGATTCATGGCTTGAGTCGTCAGGGCCGTAAACTTAGGCCATCTGGGCGATTCCTTGGTTCAGGGTTTTGACCCCTTCTAGCTCCAATATTCCACATGTCACAGCATTTCCCAAATCCCTGTCCTGTTTGTTGAGGCGCTTCCTAGAGTCTCCATTGTAGTTCCTTTTTTGGGTTACCTTACATAAACCTAACTATACAGTTGGTTTTACCAAAAAAGGAACTGCAATGGAGACTATAGGTTTTTGGGTTGTAGCATTCGGTGCGACTCGGTCAAGAGCTTGGGGTACACAGGGCATCTCACGCTTGTAGCCAAGGGGAAGAGGAGGCATCCCTAATGGGGACCCCTACCCTATAATGGGCTATATAATGGGTATACACTAGCTATATTCAGGGTCATATACCTAGGGGTCCTTATTAAGGGTCCCTCCTTTTACCCTTGGAGCCAGTGAGTCTCGCACCCAGAAAGTGGGGTTGCTCCTTTCATGGGGTTTCTAAGGGTTGATCAGGGTCTTTCATGGGGTTTATAAGAATTTATGAGGGTTTATCCGGGTCTTTCATGGGGTTTATAAGTGTCTTGAGGGTTTATCAGGGTTTAGGGTTTGAAGTGCAGGGTTTGAATGGTGGCACCAGTTCAGCAGGCGGAGCACATCGGCGATGCCTGGTCACCACTGTCCCTTCTCGAAAGAGCTCATAAGCACAGACGAGAACAAACGACCTATCAGGACAAGGGGGGATATTAAGTGTGTTTAAGTTCCGAAGTTGCAATAAGTAGTATGTTTCAGCAGAGCTTGGCATCATGCTGGATGTCGTCCACACGGTCCCGTGGCTCCATGGGCCCATTCGGGACAGGGCGCCCGTGGGTGCCTAGAGTCACCTGGAGCTCGGGGTCCGCCGTGAGGCCTGAAGTTTTGAGGACTTCGAGGAAGAGTATTCATGTTTGGGAGTCTCCGAAAATGGGGCACCCTTATAATATAGTACAATAAACAGTAGGATCCTTATCGTAAGGACCCCAGAATAAGGTACCCCCTAATTTTCAGCAACTCCCATATTTCGACGTCCATGGACTCCGAAACTCTCCTCCAATGATTAAGGACCCATCTTATAAGGCTCTGTAGCTTTGTCATAGGCACCCCTAGGGGGGGGCAGGGGACTATACTTCCTGACATAGGCCTTATTCAGTCCTTGTTACAGGTGTTAGGGCCCCCTACCCTAAACCCTAAGCCCTTTACCCTAAACCCTTATAAACCCTAAACCCTTCACCCTAAACCCTAACCCCCTAAGGGTCCTTATGATTTTTTGTGGGTGGTTGTCACCTGTCTGAAACCTGAGAAGCACCGCGCAGAACCTGAGCACTCTTCAGGGTTTGCTTTAGGGTTTTTGGGGAATATAGGGCTTAGGGTTTGAGGATCCTGGGTTCAGGGTCAGGGATGTAATTTTTTAAAGGTTAAGGCTTTGTCTAAAACAAAATCAGGTTCGGGATGTAGTGGCTTCAGGGTCAGGGGTGTAAATTTTAGCAGGTTGTGAGTTCGGGGCTGCAAAGGTGTAGGATGTGTAATTATACAGCAAATGCTCGGGATGTAGTGTTTCAGAGTTTAGGGTTCAAATCTCGTTTATTCCCGACGGACCAGATGCCCTGCATTTCTCGAAACCCAGCTTAGGTGGTTGTCAAAATTAGGGTCCCTTTTTTGGGTCCTTAATATAATGCGGCACCTATGATTTAGTTAGGGTACCCAAGAAGGGGCCATAATTTTGATAACTACTCAATTGGATGTGCCGGACCAGCCAGGAGCGCTTCTTCCAGCTACAGGCATCTGGGCCGTTTCCCCAAGGGTCCAAAGGACCTGGTGACCCAATAATCAGGTACTCGGTTTTTAGGATACTAGTTACGTAGGTTAGGATTTTGGAGAGTATATGATTATTGGGTACTTGGACCCTTGGGGTTTACGGTTTGGAGGTTTAGGGTTTAGGGTTTAAAACCCACAGCCCTAAACCCTGAACATGCGCAGCAGTTGGGTTTCCATAAATTCCCAGGACTTTACATCCAGACTCTAAACCCAGTTGCTAAGATATCTCGTTTTCCCCATGTGTTCCAGGGGCGAAAGTGGTTGCATGACTGTTAGAGTGGCTGGCGGACTGACACCATGGTGCATGTCTGCCATGTCCAACAGTTTCATGGCAGTCATACTTAGAACAGGGTATGGGGCTCCTTCGTTGTAACTATCATGATGGTAAGGAAATCTAAGGAATAATGTTTGTAATATGACATCAAGATTGAGAAGCAAGGAGCGGGACTCCAGCAATATAGAGCTTGAACCAATTCCATACTTCGAACTTATAAGCCCTAGCCATGATAAGCTCCCAAAGCCAAGCATAACACCACTTTGCAGTTCATCTCTGTACACGACAGCCCTGAACTGCCCGGAACTAATCCAAAGCAGCAATCCCAAATGCCCCAATGCAGGACCATAGTAATTACTGATTACTGATCGCACAAGTCGCACAAGGTGATAATACGGCTCTCCATTTTGTAAGTAGCGTATATTTGACCTCCCGAAGCATAGCATATTGGACCCCGCCCCCGCACAGAACAAAGCTGCTGTTCCAATCGCTAGTGCAGGCCCCTACATTACCCGTACTCTCCTTGGTGGCTTCCTTTTTGCCCAATTCTGGGTAGGGCCGTGTAGGGTTTAGGGAGAAGGACATTAAAGGTAAATTCTGAAACACAAAATCTCACCAAGCGTACTTGGAGTTCATGGGTAGTTATATGTGGGACTACAAGTAGGATAACAAAAGTTATAACCCATATTCGGGGACTTGGAACCCCACTTATAACTTCCTCTAAACCCTACAATCTTATACCCTAAACCCTTTTGAGCCCTTAAAGGAACCCCACTTATAACTACATAGAACTTCCAAGTACGACAAAAACAATCAAGTCGCCTGATGAGGAGGCGACAGGGCAAGCGAAAGAGGCCAGATCGACGGGCGTTTTGGGTTTGGTTTCTTTAAGGTTTATAGGGTTTAGCGTTTATTCGTTTTGTCAAGGTTTAGGGTGTAGGGTTTCGTTTCTTTAAGGTTTAGGGCTTATAGGGTTTAGGGTTTATTCGTTTTGTCAAGGTTTAGGGTGTAGGGTTTAGTTGATTTAAGGTTCAGGGTTTTTTGGGTTTTCTAGTATAATGAGACTTGCCTTGATTGCGGATCGAGATCTTGACATGTTCCGTTCTAAGTGTCTCTTTTTCACACAAGGCAGCCCCTTGGCTAGGCTACCCTTCAGCTAGGCTAGTTTTTCGTAATTAATTGTCAAAGGGCCACACACCACCAAGAGGCCGAAAGCATCTGCTGCATGGCCCGGCAGGGACGTAGCTTCTGCTCCGCACTACCCAGAGGCCTCAAAGTAGTTCCTTTGTGGGGTTCATATATAGAATCCTATAAGGTAATCCCAAAAAGGAACTACTATCTGGCCTCTGGGTAGACCCCAAACCCTGACTGATGTGCAGGTTTCGGCTCCAGGGTTTATTTCGCAACTGCCGACATGGGAGTTTCCGAAAATAGGGGACCCCAATATAGAACCCCAAATAGTAGGATCCTTATTATAAGGACCCCAGAATAAGGTACCCCTAGTTTTCGGAAACTCCCACATGCCTGGAGGCCGAGTTTTGCTGTATGCTTCAGGCTTCAGTTTTAGGGTTCAGAATGACTATCAATGGGCACAGCTGCCCCGCGAATCACCAAGCCCTACCTATATATAGTCTCCATTGTAGTTCCTTTTTATGGCTACCCAGTTCTAAGTAGGACACTTTCCAGGTAACCCCAAAAAGGAAACCCTGAAACCCCAACGCAGAGAGACTCAGAGAGGCGTGCAGACCCCCCAAGAATTCTGAGCTGTCACTATAAATGGGTGATTAGAGTCCTTGTCACGATTAAGGGACTAGCAGTAGACTATTGGAGTCCTTGGCACTACTAGGAGATTATCAGAGTCTTTTGATGCTTCCTTGCCAGGCCACTTCCAGTGCGTTGTTCCTCGCGAGGCTGGGGCTGCAGCCTAATGATTCCTAGCTCCTCGCAGAGGCTTCACGGCCCCCCTAAACCCTATAAATCCGAACCCTTCAACCCTCAACCCTAAACCCTCCGCATCTCTTTAACTCAGAAACCCTCCAAATCCCCTATGCCCGGTCACTGTCCCCTAAACCCTAAAAGCCCGAAACCTTATAAACCCCAAACTCGTAGCCTTGGGCTCAAAAGCCCCTGAAATCTCAAAGTCCGAGAATCTCATAGTCCCGGACCGTACTTAGAGGTTCATGGGCAGTAAGTCGGGTTCCTTTAAGGGTCCCTTTCAAGGACTCTTATAGTACCCTTATGGATCCCTTTAAAGGAAGCCCTAAGCTTGTCCTCATGCCCTCAATGAGGGATCCTAAGGGGGTATAATATAGGATATCCCGATCCTGGGTTTTTGCTTATGTACTGCTTGGGGTCCTACTTAAGGAAAGGTCTAAGGGATCCCAGCACTAATCTTCCTAAAGCCATGTTCCAACTTTCTGGGATTCGTGGCAGACCATTCCATGACCCTCTTCCTGAGGGTCATGTAGCTAAGGGTAATATGTACGGGTTCCCCAAACCGTCCAAGCACCAATATAGCAGGTAATTAGTAGATATGTGGGGCCCCAAATGTATACACTATACTAGTACTCGGACCCTTTGGTTCCACATAAGAATACTATACAGTAGAAGCCAGAAAGTTGGAATATCATTATCGTAACCCCTTTAAGGCAAATTATAGGGGATCCTACCATGAAACCATATCCCAACTTTCTGGAGTTCCCTGTAAGGGCTTAGGGCCTCGAGGGTCCATTTGGCCAAAACATATACTACATGAGTACATTCGACAGTGCCAGGATCACATGAGTCCTTGCGCACTCCACCGGGACCCTATAGGGTCCGTAAAGGATTGTATTTTAGAGCATTAAGAGGGTTCTCTATTCTGTTTGCGGTTCTTTTTAGGGTTCCCTTGCATCCTTGCCGGGTTCCATTATGGACCAAGGTCCCCAAGGCTTCGGCAGTATCTGTACATCTGAGCTCTCTCTAGGAAGCGAGTAGTTTTTAAGGAAACCATGATCAGGATGGTCTTTCGGGGACTTTTCTGTCTGGACCCTTTGTCACACTTAACTTGTAAACCCAAACCCCGTCCCAAAACCCCAACCCCTATCTGACTTAGCTTCGAACCCCGTGACCTTCCGCGACCAGCAGGATCACCGTCGCCTGGCACCGGAGATGTCGGCTGCTCAGCCATGTGCCGGAGCAGGGCTTAAGGTGCTTAGGTAGGTATCCTTTAATCGCTCTGGGGTAATTTAGGAAGGTATAAGGTTTAGGGTGTAGCGCTTGTAGGGTTCAGGGTTCAGGGACTAATTAGTAGCATCAAAATCAAAGAGTAGGGTTGAAAGTGTGGAGACTGTGAAAGTGCCTGCAGCGGTTCTGCTCAAACTTCAGCAGCTTCGGAAATCCCTTCTGAAAAGCATATTCCCACATATCGCGTGCCTGCTTGAATGGGCTCTTGTTCAATCCGCGATGTCTTGGCCCAAACTCAGGGCTTGCTCACACTAGACTGAGAGGTTGAGAAGCTTACGCCTCTATAGCCCTAAGCATCTAATCCCCGATGTCTGAACCCTAAACCCTAAATTAAACCCTAAACCCTAAGCATATTTGAACCCTAAACCCTAAGCCCTAAATTAAACCCTAAACCCTAAGCATATTTGAACCCTAAACCCCGGCCCAACACCACAAGCTCGAAGCTCCCTTGGATCACTCTTAGGGTTTAGGGTTTAGGGTTTAGGAGATTGTGATTTTCTGGGCTTGCAGGTTCTAGCATCCTAGTAGTCAAGTAGGTAGCCTTTAACTTTTTTGGTATTATAATCCCTGCAAAAATAATTTCAAAGTACTCCCAAAGGTTAGCCTCCAGTTCTTCAGGATACTGGACAAGTAGGGTCTGCTGCCGCTTTGGAGCCTCTTGCTTCCGCGGATAAGAGGGGAGCTTAAGGGGTGTAGGGGTGTTTGCAGGGCCCAGAGACTCCAATATCCCTTAATTCAGGAATATAGTTTAAATTATAGTAGAACCCCTAGTATAATTTAAGGCAAATTCCTTACATAAGGGATATTGGAGTCTCCGGGGGTTTCTATTTCTGCTATCGGAGTTTCTTCGTTTGCTGACCTGAGAGTCGAGAGATCGTTTGCAGAAAATCTCACAAATCACTCTTACCTAAACCCCTAAACGTAGGTAACATTTTCGCCAAATGCCTAGACAAGGCTGTTATGTTGCATACTTTTGGGGTCACTGCTGTGTCCACAAATTGCTCAATCCCAAAAGAGTCCAAGTACCAATGTAGTAGGTACTTAGCTATGTTTGCCCTCAAGTGTGCATTAAAACTGAATACCCTAGCTTGTTACGGACGTTTATTATAAGGAAATCATATTGAGGAACCCCAAAGGAGGTAGGTTTTTTGTGGGGTGAGGTAGCAAAGGAGGTAGGTTTTTTGTGGGGTTGACGTAGCACTTAAGCCGTTTAGGAATGGAGGCTGGTGAATGTGCTGACCTGTCATCTGGGCTGCTGCGTGTTTGGGGAGCTTCTGGGGAAGAGTTGGCTGCTGTTTCCGTGGAGGAGCTAGATGATGTCCTAGCATTGAAGCGGCATTTGACCCAAATCTGCCAAACGCCACGATTCCGACAACGGCTTTTGCACGACGGGGCGGTTCTGGATGATGCTGCCGGCTTGCCAAAAAGGCCCCCCCTCGACTTGCAACTGGTTCTGCTCCCTTTCAGCCGTGCCTACCGAAAACATCGGGATGAATTGATAGAGGCGGCAGCACAGGGCCAGGTACTCGAGGTGGAGAAAATTCTGCAGCGCCCTCAGGATGCAGACTTGCCTGGATCGCGTGAGGGAAAGAGGCCTTTGGTAGAGGCCTCATCTGCAGGACATGGCGAAGTTGTGGAATTGCTCTTAGAGGCCAGGGCCGATCCTAACTTAACCGGATGTGATGGCCGGACAGCTTTACAGTTGGCGTCCAAGGGAGGCCACGTGGAAACAGTGCCCATCTTGTTGCAAGCGGGGGCTCTCACAGCCCGTGCCTATCGCGACACCTACATGACAGCTCTTCATGAGGCATCGAGTTTGGGTCATTCGGAAGTTGTGCGTTTGCTGTTGGACGCTAAAGCCGACAAAGACTGCAAAGCTGTGAATGACTGGTCAGCCCTTCAGCTCGCTTCGTCACATGGCCATGTGGAGACTGTGCGAACGCTTCTGGTGGCCAGGGCTGACACAGACTCGGTGAGCATATCTGGGACAGCGCTACACATGGCATCGTCCGAAGGTCACCTACAGGTTCTGCCATTGCTTCTGCAAGCCAGATCTGACTTGAGCAGGTTGAACAGCTGGCGTGGAACGGCGCTGCATGTGGCTGCAGCAGAGGGGCATGTTGAAGTTGCCCGCTTGCTGCTGCAAAATGGTGCTAACAAAGACTTAGCAACTGCGTACGGTTCAATGACGGCAGCGAATTTGGCACAACGCCAAGGTCATGCTGAGCTTGCGCAACTGCTTGCAGAGAAACTCTAAAGTAGTCTGACAGAACCTATCTGCCGCCGCCATTATCTTAACCTCCGAGTCTGAATCATAAAGAAAGGGTGCATAGTAGTTAATTTTAACTAAGATTGACTAAGTGGCCTCAAAAAGACTGCAATGTATCGACTCTCTACAGTGCTAACTTCTGTAGATTCGTCATCGTACTTCGCAGCGTAAGCTGCATGGATCATGTTTTGCAAAAAGTACCTAGGATAGAGAGTGTTGCATCCGCAGCTTACAGGCAAGACTCGGAACACTTGACGGTCTTGAGAGGATCGTCACCTTGACCTACCAAAGCCTGTTTTCATCGTAAGGTCCCGACAGATTCGACGGAAGGATTCATACAAAGTAAAGAACCTACAACATGTAGGTTACGGTCGTTTATTGTAGACTGTATGAGGACCAGGAGGAATGCTAAGATCACTGGTGTCCTATTGGGTTGGGGCTTAGGGTTTAAGGTTAAGGGTTTAGGACGATTACCTTAAACTACCAAAACCTCTTTTTTTGTGGGTTCCCTATAAATTCCATATTATGGTTTATGAGAAGAACCTACACAAAGGTAGGGTTTGGTAGTTTAAGGTAGGGTTCAGGGTTTAGAGTTCGAGGTTTAGGGCGAAGGTTGATAGTTCATCCTCGAGATGGAACCCGGCACCTGACAATTACGGTTTCACGAACCCGCAGCTTCTAATATCGCGCTTGTCAGCTACTTAGATAGTGAACGGGGGAACTCTAAACTTTTTGGCCTTATGTAGCTCTGTGTTAGAAATTTTGAACTTTTTGGGGCCCGGTTGTTGAAGAAGAGGGGCTAGCTTTCCGGTATGCCACGCCGCCAATCCCCACCCCAAACTTGGCCCCAACCCGTTAAGCCCTAAGCTCTACACCCTAAGCCCTGTAAGGTTGACCTAGACCTCTAAAAGGCATCTAAAATGTGATCCCAAAACCTATAAAACAGCTTTCATTCTACATACTGTTGCGGTCCAGGTAGGCCCTAAACCTTAACGGGTTTGGGGTTTCGAGTTTAGGGTTTGAGGGCTCAAGGCCTGGGAACACTGTTTTTTTCCGAAAGACGCCGCCCTCTTACCAGGGCCGCGGAGGTTGCAACCAAGTTTCAAACAAAGGAACTACCTATAGTCTCCATTGTAGTTCCTTTTGTTGGTTGACCAAAAACTCTATTATAGGATCCTAACCATAAAACTGGTTAACCAGAAAAGGAATTACAATGGAGACTATAGGTAGGATGCCCAGTAGTACCCCTATTCCCTTTTTGTAGTCCTAGGTTCCTTATAAAGTTACCCAATACCAAGAAGAGAGGCCTTTTTATTCTTAGGTTACTGGGTATCCTAGACTCGTAGGGTTTCGGGTCTAGGGTTTAGGGTTTAGGGTTCAGGGTCCAGGGTTTAGGAGTTTAGGGTTTAGGGAGGGTCGGGTTCAGGGTCTATGGGTTAGGGTTCACGTTTCGGTTCGATTATCATTCGCAGAACTACATTCACGCTCATCACTGTTATGCCTAGCAGGAGCGGACAATTATGTGCATGAAGATGATTATTGAGGTTTCGTTAGCCATTCCCACTAGCCACCGGTTTTAGCCGCACCAAGCTCTAAGCCGACTTTGATTCTCAACGGCCTGGATCGGCAACCATGTCCAGATTCAGTATATGAAAGTTTGAAAACAATTGACTAAGAGGCGAGAATACCACTTTGCGGACAATGACCTCGTGATTATCCAGAACTGGGCCTACATACAGCAGGTAGTGCAGGTGACTTGCCCTAGGAAGCAATCAACCAAGGCTTCTTTTCTGCACTTAACCCAACCCTGCAACCTTAGTTGGCGCAACCTTGAATCCAGGTAGCCAGGAACCAACCAGATTGTTTACAACCCTAGACTACCGCTGGCCCCTACCTATAGTCTCCATTGTAGTTCCTTTTTTTGGTTGACCAAAAACTCTATTATAGGATCCTAACCATAAAACTGGTTAACCACAAAAAGGAACTACAATGGAGACTATAGGTAAACTACCCAAACTTCCAGATCCAGGCCGAGCCAAGCAACTCGCCCGGAGGGCGGCTCTGTCCTGTTGCGAGAGAAGCACAGGGCGACTGCAGGCCATTTGAAGGCTTCAAACTTTAAGTGCAGTGGATTTTATTGTTTGTTTCTGGGGGATAGGGTTTAGGGTTTAGGGGTTTCGGGGTTTCGGGTTTAGGGTTTAGGGGTTTAGGGGTTTAGGGTTTAGGGTTTCGGGTTTAGGGGTTTAGGGTTTAGGGCGATCAAAAAATACACACAGTGGACCTCTAGGGCCTGGAGGGTTGAGGGATCAGGGCAATCAACAGTTATGTGATCATTTTGATGCTTTCCGGGTCAGGGTGCGTGGTGCATCTAATCCAGAAGTTCGAACTAGCATGAGCACGGATACGATCGCTCTGCTGCCACGATGACATCCTCAGAAGACTGGAGCATGGATGAAGTATATTTAGTACTGCTCTACCGTAAGGGCACGAGGATGATCGTGTTCCAACCCTCTGGTTTATACTGCAGACAGTGCTTCAAGCTTGCTTTGCACAGGAGTCGGCATCCAACTTTCGAGGGGTTTGACGCTTTGGGGCTCGACGAGCTTAGGGGATTGTCTGAGGGTTCAGGCCTTAGGGCCTTTGGATTTAGTTGTTTAGGGGGTTTATGGTTTAAGGGGGCTGTCGGCAGTGGGTCCCAAGTTACTGCCGTACGGCCCTGCTTGGGGGTTCCCTTGGGACGCCTGCAGCAAGACCAGCCTTGAAGAGATTGTGCTGCAGGCTGCAGGGGGTGCGAAAATGGGATGGGGACCTCATTGTCAGTGTCCTTATATATAGCATTAACGGTCTATTTTTCGAGTCCGTTCTGTTCTAGATACAGTGCTTGAGCACAAGGTATCGCCCCGAAACCGCGTTCTCTTTGCTGTGGTAAAGCTGTATATATCCGAGGGTGCTTGCGTCTGGCACCAAAAATCCCACTCCCTATTCTACATACTTCTTCATGACAACGTTATCGCTCCGCTGAAACAACTCTTACGTAGTGAAGACCCCCCGCACCCGATCACTGTGTCATGTGTTTGTTCAGGATCCTAGCTCCACAACGTACCCATCCCTCGACCTCAGGCCTTCGACCCCCGGGACCACAAGCCCCAAGGCTCCATGCACGTGTCGTATATAACTTGGGCCTTATGGTATATACCTTTTCCCCATCTCAGGTAAGCATATACTAGATAGTTACATGGCAAATAGGCAATACTTATGCTCCAATTTACCTATACTTTAAAGGTCGGAGTATATACGATTTGGGTACATGGACCCTAGGGTTAGGGAAGTAGGACTAACCATTCTTGCGGAGTTTGGCGGAGGCCTGTGTCCTGGGTCTGTGGCAGCGTGCAGCTGCAGCACAACGCGCAGCACGTGACGAGGTGTTGCGGAGTATGGGGTTTAGGATTTAGGGTTTGGGGTCTCGTTTATAGGGTTTGGGGTTTTAGGACTATCTGCACGATTTCCTGGACGTGAGTGATTTAGGCAGGTTTGTACTTGGCTTGGACTTTGCCCGCTTTGTCGCTCTTTTGGGGTTCTGTCTCTCCCTTCAGGGTTTATAGGATTCAGGGTTTGGGGCTTATTGCACTGGTTTTAACGACTCCGCATTTATTGTTTAGGGCGAGGCATACTGAGCCCGAAACCCTAACTTAGGGTTCAGCGTTTAGGGTTTAGGGTTCTCGGGTTTAGGGCTCTCGCCCCTGACAAGGCTTCTGCTGTTCAGACGACGGGGCGCTCGGCGCGGCAAAGGGGTGCACAGATCGCGAACCGAAGCCTGTTTGCATTTTCTGCGGGCAAGGGCTTCAGGGCATACGGTTCCCAAAGGCTCCATGTACCCTTATGATACTTAAGCCTTAAAGAGGTCCCTATATGGGTACTTTGAGGCTTAGGTATATACTATATGGGCTTTAGGGGTTTCAGGATCGAGGGTTTAGTGCTGCAGGGGTTCAGGGTGTAGGGTACACGGTCGCCGGTCGCAGTACGAAGTCCTTCGGACCGCTTTCTTGGCAGCCCAGTTACCGATATACCTTAAAGGCGTGAGCCTGAAACCCTCATCAAAGGGGAAAGGAGGGACCCTTAATGGGGACCCCTACCCTATAATGGGCTATAGAATGGGTACATCATAGCTATATTAAGGGTATATACCTAGGGGTCCTTATTAAGGGTCCCTCCTTTTACCCTTGGACCTCACCTCACATCGTAAACGCTTCCAGCCGGAATCCGAAGACCCCTAGATCATAGGGTTCTGAGTGCTGAAACGCCCCACTCCTAAAACCCTAAATCATAAAGTAAAAGCCAGAAAGTTGGAATATGATTATCCTAAACCTTTATGGTAGATTATAAGGTATCCTACCCTAAAACCATATTCCAACTTTCTGGAGTTCCCTTTAGGATCATGGGAAGATGCAGTCGCAAAGACCCGTCACACATTAAACAACAATATTCACAGGATCTTTAAGATTAGGACCCCTAGGAGTGGACCCCTAAATTGCAGAAACCCGGAGCGAATCCATATCTGCCGCCGTAAACCCTGCAGTACCGGCCGATCCAAAACGGAAACCCCAAGCCCTAGGAGCTCGAACTTCAGCCCTCAAGTCCTGCAGCGCTAAGCTCTACGCCCTCTTCCCTCTTTGAAAACCTGAACCCCAAAGCTCCTCAAACCCTCACGACGACGTCATGCGCCGGTGCTGCCGGAACTCTAGCAGCCCTAACCCTAAGGCTCCATGTACCCTTATAGTATATACTTAGGCCTTAAAGTACCTATATAGGGACCCCTTTAAGGCTTAAGTATCTACTATAAGGGTACATGGAGCCTTTGGGTAAACCCAAAACTTTGACCTCTCAGAACTCCTAAACCTGAAACAAAACCTCTAACCCCTAAGCCCCTAAACCCCAAAACCCCCAACTGTGTAACTAAGCCCAAACCCTCGCCGGCGGCTCTCCGTGGAGCCTCCTAGCTTGCTGGGAACTATACACAAACCCAAGATTCACTTTACCAGGTTTTTAAGGGTTCCTTCAGAGGTTCTATAAGGGATCCTTAGAGGGTTCTATATAGGGTTTAGAGCTCAAGAACCTGGTTCAATATGTTGAAACACGCTCCCTAGACATGGTAAAAATCTTTAACTCATTTAAGGAGCCTTGAATGGAACAACTTGTCTGAACCCTAACCTAAACCCTAAGCTTTTAAACTCCAAACCGTAAACCTCAAAGTCCTAAACACTAAATAGGCCCTAAAACGCTTAAACTCGAAGCCCTTTCCCCGCAAAGCCTGAATCCTAAACCCTTATATGGGTTTAAAACCCTAATCTCAAAACCCTTCCCGCTCAGGGTTCCTTTAAGGATTCCTTGAAGGGTTTCTTTAAGTGTTCCAGACCCCCAACTACCCTCTATTATTATACCCTATAAATACCCATTGTTAAGGACCATGGGTTCCTTTTAAGGGGTTGCTTTAAGCCTAAACCCCTTCACCCTAAACCCTGAAACCCTAAACCCCCAAACCCCTAAAGCCCCAAACCCCAAACCCCTAAACCCCTAAACCCCTAAACCCCTAAACCCCTAAACCCTAAACCCCTAAACCCTAAACCCTAAACCCCTAAACCCCTAAACCCCTAAACCCTAAACCCTAAACCACCCTTCCTTCAGAAGCTCCGAGGGCTTGAACTCCGGTCCTGGCTCCGGCTTCTGCTGCTCCGGGCGATGCTGCGCTGGCGCAGAGTCTCCGCTGAGCTCAGGCCGAACCACTCGGACTCCATGTTGCTTAGAAGGGCTACTATAAGGTTAGCGCGCTTTTTTTTCCCTGGTAGTTTGGGCTGCTTGAGGTTTTGTTTCACGTGGCAGGCGTGGGACTTTCGAGTATGAGCTAGTTTTGAGGCCTCAAAAAATTATTCCTTACAGAGGTCCAAATCTGTGCAACTCCAAGCGCCGAAGCAACAGAAGACTTGTGAATGCTCTCATGATTGCTAAGTCTTGATTCTGCTATGAATATGGTGATCCTTTAAGATGCGGGCATGGATGGAGTCTGATCTGGACGTTATCATGGTTGGCACATGGATGCTCTGCGGGAATGGATGGAGTCTGATCTGGACGTTATCATGGTTGGCACATGGATGCGCTGCGGGCAGGATGCAAGCAGAGGAGAGAAAACATAAAAATCGCGCAAAACACACGAGAAAACCATGCAAACACGATGCAAGCACAGGAGAAAAACATGAAAATCACGCAAAACGCACGATGAAAAAAATGCAAACTGCCGCCTACCTGCAAAAAAACCCACGCGATAATGCCCTCTATGTGCAAGGAACAGCGAAGAATGCCAGGGAAAATAAGGCGCAACGACCTACTATAAGGCTAGGGAAGTAGGGGACCCTAATATGGTACCTTAAAAAAAGTAATTAGTATCCTCATTAGGTAGAATAGAAGGGCTATTAAAAGGCTAGGGAAGTAGGGGACCCTAATATGGTACCTTAAATAGTCGGATCCTCATTATAAGGTAGCTTAGAAGGGCTACTATAAGGGTGGGGTTACTATAAGGGTTCTACATGGGTCCCGTAGTTTTGGGGATTTAAGACTCCATGTGGGAGTTTCCGAAAAGGGGGGACCCCAATATGGTACTTTAAATAGTAGGATTAGTAGGATCCTTATTATAAGATAAGGCTCCATGTAGACTACTAAGGGTCCAGGGTCTTTTCTGGGCCCGGTGGTGGGCCATGATTTTGCTACTTTTGCGGGGTTTTGGTAGTAAGGTGTAGCACTTAGGGTTCATAGGGTTTGGTGTAGAGGCCCAAAACCCTAAACCTTTACACCGAGTCTAGGGTGCCCGGCTTTGGCTTGCCGCGTCGGGGCATCCGGTTTTACGGCCCGGGATGTTTGATTTCGATGTGCCTTTCTGTGGATCAGGATTTGGGGGGTTGAGGTTTAACAGATTTGGGTCACAAAGGTATTGTATGTGTTTGTAGCCCGGTTCATAAATAGTGCAGGTAGATTTTCGGTGGTTGTCGCGCGGATTGGTGTTGAGTTCGCAGCTCTTTTGCGTGCGAGGGTTGGCGCTGATGGCATTCGAGACAGCGAGCGGGCCCTACATGCTGCAACGATATTTGCACCCCTCTAGTTGTTTCACCCCCCTAAACCGACATCACCACGGATGAAGCCCTGCACCCAAGATCCGGACCGAGGTTGCTTTAGTGAGGGCCGGTCGGACCTGCATTGCGAATCCCGAACCGCAGTACGCAGGGACCTTGATACCAATAGGGCTTCAGCTATTTCACTATGAAGATGTGGCGGCTGTCGTGCGGGAGTCTTATTGACAAGTCTTCCCAACCCTGAACCCTAAACCCCTAAACCCTAAACCTAAACCCTGACCCTAAACCCTAAACCCTCTTCCCAGGGCAACGCGCTTCACCGCTGCGAAGATGATTGCTCCTCGACCGGAGAGATCAGGTTGGGGCGAGGAATTGGGGATCACAGGTGGCTCTGGAAAGCAGGTTTCAGGATTTGGAGTTTAGGGTCAGGGCTTGGGTGGAATAAGGGTGTAGCGTTTAGTTTAGGGTGTAGGGCCAGTGTAGGGGTTTAGAGGTTTAGGGTTTCCGGATTCGTTTTTAAGTTACCGGCTTTTTGTTTTAAGGTTTCAGGGTTCAGAATTCGTGTAATTACGCACCCCAAGATCTCAAGTTTCGGAGCGAGGCTGGACAGAGAAGGCCGCTGGAAGCCGCCATCCTGCTCTATTGGCACAAAGTATGCCTTCACGAGCCTCTCTCTGCAGCAGTAGAACCGACTTCTAGCGTTGTTCCTGGTGTTGGAGGGGGGTCTGCATGTGTGGTGTTTGTAGAGAGCAATATTGTGGTATTGCAAGGTTTGGTAATTCACAGAAATGTCGGGTCAAGGCAATCCTTAAGGCTCCATGTACCTGCCTAGTACACACTCAAGCCGTAAAGTACCTATGATGGGAACCACGTTAAGGCCAAAATCTATACTACATACCGGCATGGAGTCAGTAGTTGCGGGCCTGTCATTCCGAATTCTCGGACCATTCGAAGCATCGCTGCAACGCAGTGCAACCTAATATTCCCAGTTTACACCCCCTTAGAGATTACCCTCGCTTAACCCTATGCCAATCATAAACCCTAAACCCTAAGCCTCAAATCCCCAAGCCAGAGAACAGCCCAAGCCCAGATCCCGGCGACCATGGAACAGCAATCGCCCGGAGACAAACCCAAGCCCCGACAGCAGCAATCCCTAAGCCCTGTATGACCCTAAATGGCCCTGAATAACACTAAAATTACTCCGTATCCTAAACCCGAAATCCTATAAACTCTAAACCGGGAACCTTACACCCAACTCCGCCCCACCCAAAGGCCCAAGCCCAAGCCAACTCTGAGGGACGATGCAAGCGAGCGGCCACGGCCAGCGAGTTGCGGAGCATCTGGGCAAGTTGAGCTGTCCGGTTGGTGTGTATCTTGATACATATACAACACTAGTACGTACATAAATGCCTATCTAAGCACTTACATGCAAGAAAACGCTGCATATATGTATAAGTTCATACATCTACAATAGTCCGTGATCGTATATTACAGCAAAACTTGGTGCATTACAGCCTATCCCAAACCCTAAACCCCAAACGACAACGAGGCGCCCAGCTAGCTGAGCGGGGAGCCGCTGCTGCCCTGGCGCTGGCCGCAAGCAATGCGCGGGCGCTGCAGGCAGCAGGGACTATAGCAGCTTATGAACCGATTCTATCCTCTATCCTGAACGGTAATTTTAACTACTAAGTACAACCTTGTAGCTGTAGGGCATGGCGGCATTGTCCTGCTGGGGACCAGCGATCCTAGATCCGTTTGTGTCGGCCACGACCTCGACCTTATTCCTCCCTGTGCCCAGTTGCTGAAGCAACTTTTCGCTGAAGGTGGCACGAGATGTCTCCATTGTAGTTCCTGTTTTTGGTTTAACCAAATATATAATTAGGATCCTACAAGGTAATCCCAAAAAGGAACTACAATGGAGACTATAGGTAATCCCAAGATCCCAGACCCTAAACCCTAACTGCCTAACTTGCTGGATAGTCGGAGAAGGGAGCCCCTTCGACTCCGCATGCACTGTCTTCGTTGTTCTTGCGGCACCTAAAAGATTAGAGGTGGAGATCAGGACAGCACACTTCAACAGAGAGGGGGAGAGAAAGAGGGTATGTGTGCGTGTGTGAGAGTGTGTACATAAAACACAATCAACAGCGTTTAAATATGCAGAATGCGCTGCGGTGGCCGTTTCATGGGTTTGTACACCTAGGGTTAGGGTTTTTTGGGTTTAGGATTGGACAGTAAATCTGTCGCCCCTGAGTCTGAAAGCTGCAAGGCAGAATCCAAACCAGGGGACCGGCAGGCCTATTGAAGCCCCTGCCCCTAAGCACCCCTTATCTGAAAGCTCTGAGCACCACGTCATCAGCCCAAATTGCGTGAGAAGATTGGCGATTTTCCGAAAGCTTCGCAGTTTTTGACCCTGAGGCAGCCATCTTGGGCAGCTGAGTTGCAAAGTGATGGGGGTGTGAATTCCTGCGTCGTAAGGACTAAACCCCAATCTCACCTCTAGGGGGGTGAGAAAACCATGTCTGGCTTCGTGAAAAGCATGCAAGGTATAAGGCACGAGCTATTCATTGCTCTGGCACTTCGGGCTAGGACATGCTACTTTACATGCCGTTGCTTGGACTCCCTAATGCTTAGCATTTAGGGATATGGGCTTTGGGTTTAGGGCAGTATCTACCTCGACCCCAAAAGCTTGTAGAATCATTGGCTTTTGGAGGTGGTGGACCATGATTTTGCCTAGTTTGTTGGGTTTGAGTGGGAGTGATGGTATGGCCCACATACGGTCTTGACTGAGGCAACACTGGGCTTGGAGTAGCATACTTTAATACTTTTTTCGGGACCTGCTACTGAAAGGGAACCAGTATGAAATAAAAGTCTATACTTTTGTCTCCCTGGTTACTTCAAAGCCCAGAACGTGTCTTAGTCAATATGGTGACCATTTCATTGAACTGTCAACCTTACCCTGCAGCCTTAACTGTGCACTGTTTGTACCCAGACCCTGAACCTTAGACCCTTTTAAACCCGGCCGTTTTCGTACCCTAGACCCTAAGCCCTAAACCGTGCTCCCGGAACCCCCAACTACCCCTATCAAGGATCATAAGTTATAAGAACCGATTCAAGAGCCCTTTTGGGGGGTCCTGGTCGTGCCATATAGGCTTCTGGCATCAGCAGCTGCTGGCAGCGCGCGGGAGCCGAGAAGCGGCGCGCGTAGGGGCCAAGGAGCGAGAGCTTCTCCTGCGAAGGCGCTCTGCTGTCAATCGTTACAAGGGTTCCTTTGAGGGTCCCTTTAAAGGGGTCTATAGGGATTCTATAAGGGTATAGGGTTTAAGGCCTACTTGGAGGTTCATGGGTATTTCTGAGTGGAGTTATAAGCCCCTTAGTATGGGTTCTAAGCGTAGGTACCCCACTTATAACCCTACTTGCAACTACCCATAAACCTCCAAGTAGGGTAGAGTAAGGGGTTTTAGGGTTCAGGCTTCAGGGGTTCAGGGTTTAGTGTTTAGGGGCTCTGCTTACTATCCCAAACTCGAAACCGACCCTGGCTTTGAAGGGGCACCTCGGCAGCCGCAGTCCTGGCTTCGCGCAGCAAGCGCGGCGCGGCTGCCGTGGCGCTTGGCGGCTGGAAAGGCAGCGTGCCCAGATACGATCACTGCTACGATTGTTGTTGACAAAATCATAGCCGTGTTACTAAATACATACACAAATATTGTTTATGTATATATGTATGCCCATACATAGCTACATACCTACCTAGTAACCTACCTACCTACATGCAGACCTACAGTATGACAGTCTATGTCTATGTGTATGTACATGTATATGTATATGTATGTGTAAACACACACATATATATATATATACATATGTACATACACATACACACACATATATATATATATATATATATATATACATATATTTGTGTGTATATACATATATATATATATATATATATATATATGCATATGCATACATACATACATACATACATACATACATATGTATATATATATATATATATATATATATATATTTATGTATATACATACAAGTGTATCTGCACCTTGATTCCTACACGACAGAAGTGTCATCAGTGTGCAGATACATGTCGAATTAATGAGCTCTTCGTAGTTGTATGTCTGCGTAACACACGGTTGTTTGTACTGCCTAGCTTATCGCATCGTGGCACCTGCAGCTAGGTGTTGTTGATCTGCTGTGGACACTAGCCGTCTTCATGCTTCTCGTATCATACCCGGGCAGTTGCGAATACATCTCCATTTTTACATGCCTACCCATACACATAACATGTCTTCGATTATCACGATTGTTGTTGTTATTATGTTGTTATGCTCCTCTCCTTTTGTACCGCAGGGTGCAGGATATATTCGAAGGGGCCCCCACCCTGCAATAGTGGTATATAATAGGAATATAACAGGGCCCTAATATAATCCTTATAGTCACCATTACAGGGTGGGGGCCCCTTCTAAAGTATTACTGTCTAAAACCCAACCCTCAAACCCTAAACCGCAAAACCCTAGATCCTAAAAACCCTGAACCGTTTCCCTAAAACCCTAAACCCTAAACCCTAAACCTAAATGAAGTTTTTAGGCTGAAGGGCTGAAGTTCAAAAATGAACCCAAGGCCCCACACCTCCAATCGCAAGCCTGCAGCCAAATTCCCTGCAGATGCAGATTTAGGGTTTGGGACAAGGGTTTCATGTAGAATCGTACTTTTATAATGCAGTGCTGGTAAATAGATCAAAACTTAGCAGCTTGCTTTACCTCTGTGATTGCTGTAGCTTACCAACATGTACTCCTTCTCTAGGACACTGCCTGCTTTAGTAGGATTCGCCAGCTAAGGGGTTCAGTTTGCAGAGCTTCAGTTGTTGTCGCTTGTAGGATGTATAGTGTGCTGCACAAAGACCGCAATGACCGATGCTGTCCATGGTATCCTGAGACGCATGAGGTTTTGTCGCATCGCGCCGGCGGCGCATGCAGCTCCGACAGCGCAGTGAGGTGCACCAGTTCAGTTTGTACTTGAGGTTTATCGTTTTCGGTTCGGACATGTTGTTCTCACAGAGTATCATGTGTTGAGTGCGCATTGTTGCGAGGTTTTTGCGATCATGTCTCAGACCCATGCAACCACAGGTGGCAGCAGCAGCCATGCAGGTGCCATTCGCTTCGGTACCAGAACCTACCTTGAACTGCCGAATCCTCCATGTTTGTAGGGCCCTTACTAATTCCATACTAGGTTTTTTTGTCAGAACCTACCAAAATCATGTTCTGATAGCTTAGACAAAGCAGACATTTGGGCAACCAATCCTAGAACTGTAAAGATACAAAACCGCCAAGCCTGGAAGATTCGTCAGCTGCTGGTTCTGCTTGTACTTATACCTGAACCTACCAAAACCCACTTTGTTGTAGGGTCCCTATAAATTCCATACTAGGGTTTTAATAAGAGCCTACAAAAAAGGGGAGTTTGGTAGGTTAAGCTAGTAGAAGCAAGAAAGTTGGAACATGGGTTCAGGAGGATCAGTGCTAGGATCCCTTATACTTTACCTTAAGGGCATGAGGATAATGATGTTCCACCCTGGTGGCTTCTACTTTGAGATGAGTTTGTTGGATACTGTTGTGATTTGTTGTGTATCCAACATCCATAGTGTGACCATCGCCTGTGTTGTTACCGGCGCCGTTGCTTTTTGTTGGTAGTGGTGGTGGGGCTGGTGGTGCTCTGTGCAAGTCGCAGAGTGTAGAGTGTAGAGTTTAGCTTTAGCTATCCCTCCACCCCCAGACCACAAATATCCCCCAGTTTCTGGAGCACCAAAGCCGTAAAGCACCTGAGCGAATGAAACCCCGAACGGCCCACCAAGGCCGTAAAACGCCTGAAAGCCCAGAGGGTTTAGGGGTAGTAAGTACATATACTTAAGATTAGCATTACTATCATAGGGTTTAGGGTTTGTGCGGTTGAGAACCCCGAACTGAGAACTAAGTTTAATTAAAGCCACAACAGTTAACCCAAAACGGCCCTAAACCCTGGAGTGTCCTGGTCCGGAGGATCGATTCTTTGTTTCGGGGTTTGACGCTGTGAAGTTTAGGACAGGGGCTTCAGCATTGGGGTCCAAGAGTATATACTTTTCAGGCAGAGCACTTCTACTAAGTACCTACAGTAGAAGCCAGAAGGTTGGAACATCATCAGCCTCATGCCCTTAAAGTAAAGTATAGGGAATCCCAGCATGAATCATCCTAAATCCATGTTCCAACTTTCCGGGGTTCACTATACTACATTGGTACTTGGACCCTTTGGGACACACTGTTCCCCACGGCCTTTTAGGGCTTCGGGCTTGCAAGGATTCTCGGAAGCACGACAAGGATCGGATGTGCCGTAAAACCCCAAGACCCAAAACACCCATCGGATCCCTGAGCCCCAACCCCTAAACTCTAATCTCGGGGGCCTCACCCCGTCTAAGACGCTGGAGGTCCTTTTACCCGCGATTCGGGGATCACCACCCCTTGACAAAGTTGACATTTGGTGCTTTCAAGAGGTCGTCGTTCCTGAAGGGATCAAGTACGACTCCACCCAGCATTGGCGAATGGTGGCTTGAAAAACAGATAAGGACTGGCGAGGTGTGGCAGTGGCGTTCCGCAAAGAGCTGGGGGACCCACACCCGTAGCACCGTGACCCGAGCAGGAGTGAGCACGTGTATCATCAGCGAGAGCAAGGCGGTCGCGGGGTCATCTCCTACCACCTGCAGGGTCGGGGGACTTAGTAACTATAAGGGGTTCTTTAGGGTTCCTTTAAAGGGATCTATAGGGATTCTGTAAGGGTTTAGGGTTTAATTAGGGGGCTTAGTAACTGGTTATTTTAGGGACTTATAAGTACCATAACCCCAATTACGGTCCCATTTAGGGTACTTATAAGTCTACTTACTACCTACTTACTAAGTCCCCCGACCCTCCAAGTAAAGCCTAACTCAAACACCTGCAACCCGAAACCCCTCTGTGCAGGCGTTAAGTGCGAAGATGCTGCTGCATTCGATATTGCTTTCCTGGCGCACGAGGCAGACTCGCTACTTTCAGGGTGAGTTTGAAGGCTCATCCAAGGTTTATAGTAGAAGTTTGAAACTTGGAGCATCATTTTTCTCTTGCCCGCAGGGTAAGGTATTGGGGGTCCCAGCACTAGTCATCCTAAATAAATCCATGTTCCAACTTTTTGGAATTCATGAAACAGTAGCTGGGCAGGTTGAAGGATGTTGGGTTGGTGTTCATCCTGTATCACCCTGAACCCGAAACTTCTAAAGAGGTTCTTAGAGCCCATGGGCCTTTTTACTTGTAAGACCTCAACCAAGTGTCTCAGAGCAGCTTTGGCGCGTAATGAGAACATGTCATTGTATTTATATGGGAGTTTCCGAAAATAAGGGACCCTAATATAGCACCCCAAATGGCAGGATCCTTACTATCAGGACCCCAAAAGAACGTAACCCCAATTTTCGGAAACTCCCTTATATGGTTCGGCTAGCCTCGCCAGTCTGACACACTGGAGTCCCAAATGACGTTGTCAACGCCTTGCACCGGGCTAGGGACCCTAAGGGTCCATGGACTCATATATTATATACATTGGCCTTAATGTAGTCCCAATAAATGTACTTTGGGGCTCATGTATCTCTATACGGATACATGGACCCTTAGGGGAATCAAAGGCATTTCTCTTTAATATACTCCAGAACCCTATTCCCCTCTGTCAGAACTGTCCTGACTTTTCTGTATTATAGTACAATATAATCCAAAACCTTATTCCCCCGTGCTCCCAGAAGAAATTGCCGGCAGAATGCATGTGGTAGGAGTTTGTTGCATCGGTGCGTTGGGGGCTGGCGCCCGGAAATCTCAAAATCCGCCAACGCCGGGTTGCCTGGGATCCCCAAAGCATATCTGTGGTTCTGAAACGCCCCCCCCCCCCCCCAGTGTCCGTTGCACAGAAAGCCTGCAAAAGTATTGCAGCCTAAACTTATTACTTGTCGAGCAGGTATGTTCAATCTTGCCGTTTGGTTTCAAATGAGCTTTAGAGCTTAGAACTGTCTTTGGATAATACCCATTACAGCCGGACAAGCAAGCAGAAACCACAGAAGTAGGTAAAGTCAGAAACAACAACGAAAGCTAGTATCGAGCATGTGAAGTTCAGCGAAGATCCTGACAATGTCTCATCTTTCCACCGCAAATTGCGGTAGACCAGACGCAAGGGAGGGCTTGTCAGGCCGCGACAAGCACAGAGGATCTGAAAGCAACGATCTACCTGCAGACCCACAACTAACAATCGGATTTGTTGCAGTAGTGTCCGTTTAAAGTTCCTGTAACGCCACAGCATAACATAGCAAAATCGTATATATATATATGTATATATATATATATACATACATATATACCCCCCCAAAAAAACAAGAAAGAACAAACCGATCTGCCTTTTCAGGTTGCTGTCATTGCAGAACCCAGGGCCTGCCATCCTTGCCAACAAGATCAATATTAAAAGCAAGCAGATATGGGAGTTTTTGAAAACAGGGGACGCTAATGTAGTAATTACCCCAAATAGTAGGATCCTTATCATAAGGACCACAAAATAAGGTACCCCTCATTTTCGGAAACTCCCATATGTTGTTCAGGGTCTAGAGTCTTGGGTTTAGCAGGGCACGCCAAGCAGTCGTAGCCGGTGGCCTCAAGCCGAAAGCGCAAATCCACAACCGCAAACTTGTGTCATTCCTTCAATGCAAAACGAAGCTGAAACTACGATACAAGTCCAGGATATCAGAGAAGCGTTCAGCAAAGTCTGTCGAGGAGGCGGGGTAAAGTCCACATGCCCTAAACCCTGAATCCCTAAACCCTAACCCTCAACTCCGAGACTCTAAGCCCTACACCCTGAATCCCTAAACTTTAACCCTCAACTCCAAGACTCTAAGCCCTGAGCCCTAAACCATAGTTTGGCATTCAGGGCTGAAAAACTGTCGCTGTTCGGGCATAACTAAATATACTAGCTCGTGGGCGTGCAATATTCGCATTCGTATTCGGTTGTTATATCTATTATGACGATTGTTGATTATTATTCGTATTATTGCTACGAACACTTTATAAATATTGTTTGTAGTATTAGTAGTATAGTAGTAGTGGTCGTCGGGGCAGTTGTGGTGGTGGTGAAGGTGGTGGTGGTAGTGGTTGCGGCAACAGCACTCGGAGTAGGAGTAGTACTGCACGTCGCCGGACTAGTAATAATAGCAGTAGCAGCAAGCAGTAGCACTAGCAGCAATTAGTATTAGTAGTAGTCCTAGTAGAAGTAGAGTAGTAATAGTAGTAGTAGTAGTAGTAGTAGTAGTAGTAGTAGTAGTAGTAGTAGTAGTAGTAGTAGTAGTAGTAGTAGTAGTAGTAAGTCGTCGTCGTCGTCGTCGTCGTCGTAGTGGTAGTAGTAGTAGTAGTAGTAGTAGTAGTAGCAGTAGGAGTAGTAGTAGTAGTAGTCGTCGTAGTAGTAGTAGTAGTACGGTTGATGATATAAATCCTGCATGACCCATAATAGGGAATATACCATAATTCCCATAGTTTAGAGTCCTTAAGGTAATGCAGGATTTATATCATCAACAGTAGTAGTAGTAGAAGTAGTAGTAGTAGTAGTAGTAGTAGTAGTAGTAGTAGTAGTAGTAGTAGTAGTAGTAGTAGTAGTATCCCCTAGTCGTTCATAGGTGTTTGTACTATACCTACTCGCGGCCCCACCGCTAAACTGTCACCCCAAAAGTCTCTTGAGGCGGTCAAACCCCAGGTCCGCATATGTAACGTCTAGTGAAGGACAGGCTGGCGCGTGTATCCTACATGCATCAGCCAAAGATTCGCTTGTGACATGCGGATTGTTTTAAAAGGGTCGTTTCGAAGACGGAACTGAACCCTTGAATACATTTCGTCGAAGGGGACCGGGAAGCTCTTCATGACGTTTTTTGTTGGCAGTTGTGTTGAACCCGAAACCCTGAACCAAGGGGACAGTCAAGTACAAGTCCCGCTCTAAACCCCCAACATTAAACCCTAAAGCCTTACCACGAAGACCTTACAAGCTCCAAACCCTTGACCCTGAACATCAAACTGTGAAGCCATCCTAAGGCTCCATATACCTGTTTTCTGTATACTCAAGCTTTAAAGTACCTATATTCGTCTACCATCAAGGCTTATGTATATACTAGAAGGGTATTGGAGCCTTAAAACCCTGTAGATTATAGAGCGCTTCTAGAGCCCTTATAGTAATCAAAAACCTTATGTTAACCGTTATAGAACCCTCACAGTATATAACACTAACCTTAGAGTAACCCGTAGAGAACCCTTAAAGTACCCCTAACCTGCTGACAACTTCTACAGGCTCAAACCCCGAACCCGAAACCCCAAGCCATTCTTCAGCCTCAGGCCCCTAAGCCCTCAACCCTACACCCTACTTGGAGGGTCTTTAGGGGACTTAGTAACTATAAGGGGTTCCTTTAGGGGTCCTTTAAAGGGATTTATAGGGATTCTATAAGGGTTTAGGGTTTAGGGTGACTTAGTAACTGGGTATTTTAGGGACTTATAAGTACCATAACCCCAAGTAGGGTCCCTTTTAGGGTACTTATAAGTCTACTTACTACCTACTTACTAAGTCCCCCGACCCTCCAAGTACACCCTACCTGTAGCCCAAAAGACCTACCTTTTTAGTGAACTATATACAAAAACCATAGTAAGGAACCCCAAAAAGGTAGGTCTTTTTGGGCTACAGGTAGACCCTCAGGCCCCTCAACCCTGGGACCGCTTTAAGGCTTAAGAGTCTACTATAAAGGTACATGGAGCCTTTGGGAACCCCTACCTTAAGGAGGAAATGGTCCCTAAAAGGGTTTAAGGGTTTAAGGCTCATATACCATGTAGGGATTTATAGTATATGGTTTGGTCCTTCAGGTACAAACTCCACAACCCTAGCCCTAAACCCCCCCTAACTCGCAGGTCACCCGTCGCCACCGGCAGCTGCTCGCGGAGCGAGGTGCAAAGGCGGCAGCAGCCCTGGCGCCCCGCGGCGGGCGCGCACAGCGGGAGCCCCAAGAAGGGTTTAGGAGGTATAAGGGGGTTTATACTAGGGTTTAGGGCTTAGGGTTAGGGGTGGGGGAGGTTTAGGTTTTTGAGTTTAGGGTTTCGGGGTTTAGGATTTAGGGTTTGGGGTCTTGGTTGAGGTCTGCGGTTGAGAGTTCGGAGTTTAGGGTTTAGGATTTAGGTATGCGGCATACGGTTTAATTCAGGGATGGTTCACGGGTAACCTTAGCCTCCAAAAATCCTAAACCCTAAACCCTAAACCCTAAACCCTAAACCCTAAACCCTAAACCACGGCGTCAAACCCGAAGCTTCAGCCGATCCTCCTCCTTACCAGTGACCCCAAGACCCAAAGTCCCTCAAGCCTACGGTTGATGATATAAATCCTGCATGACCCATAATAAGGAATATACCATAATTCCCATGGTTTAGGGTCCTTAGGGTAATGCAGGATTTATATCATCAACCGTAGTGCCATGCCCAATAACCTTCATCTCCCCAAGACGTCCACCCGTCGCATGAAAGGGTGGAGGAACCAACTAAAGCAACACCAAAGCCCCTAGAAACCCTAAACCCTGAACCCTACACCCCCATGAAACAAAGAAGCGCTGTAGAGCGCAAACCCCCCAAAGGCTTGGCTTACACCTCCGCGCGTGGCATGACCTGGCTGCCCGAGGCGGCCACAAGCAGGCGGAGCCTTTGGGTTTTTGAGGCTTTCGATTTTGGTGTGTTAGGGGTTTAGGGTTTAGGGTTAATTAGTTTCAAGGTTGTGGGGGTGTTGGGGCATGTGGGGTTTTTACAGTTTAAATTTTCAGTTTTACAGTTACGGTTACGGGATCGAGTGCTTAGAGTGTTGGGGTTTTGGGTAGGGCTTTCGGGGGCTCAGGAACTTGCTAGGGTTCAGGATTAAGCCTGTAAACCCGAAATCCTATACCGAGAGACTCCAACATCCCTTAGTTGAGGAATATACCTTAAATCATCTTAGGGATCCTACAGTACTGTAATTTAGGGAATATTCCTTAATTAAGGGATGTAGGAGTCTTTGGGTAAAACCTAGCAGCAACTTCACTTGTCGGGGCCAACAACCCGGGCGCTACTTGCATGACTCCAGGAAAATGCGAACGTAGCATGAGCACGATCATGCAGATCCTAGGGGTTTAGGGTTTAGGGTTTAGGGATGCAGATCCTAGGGCTCCGTGTAACTATAAGGGCTACTATAAGTTCAGGGCTTCTCTGAGGGGTATCTGACAGGATTCTATAGCGATTCGGCTTTAAGGGTCCATGCAGTCCATGCATCTAGTTGGAGGTTCATGGGAAGTTATAAGTGGAGCGATAAGTCCCCTAATATGGATTATAAGTATAGTTACCCTAATTATAACCCTACTTATAATCCCATGAACCTCCAAGTACTGTAGTATATAGTCGTAAATCCCAACGCCTCGCCTTTGGCTCGGGACTTGGGAAAGACGAGCCTAGCGAAGGTTCGGGGAATAATTCCTGGGTTTGGAGTACCATACTTGAATACTTTTTTTGGGTACCTGTTCCTTAAAGGGACCATTCTGAAATAAAAGTCTATACGTTTTTCTCCCTGGTTACTTCAAAGTCCAGAATTAGCTAGCCGCCGACAGCCGCAAGCCAGAAAGTCCCGAAGCCAAAGCGCGACATCCCTAAACCCTAACCCGCAGGGTCCAAAGGACCCAGTAGTTATGTATTCGGGTTTAGGATAGTAATAGTAGCTATGTAGGTTAGGATTTTGGAGAGTCTTGGACCCTTGGGGTAAACTTCTGTCTTTCCGATCCTGAGCGAGTTCACTTGTGAAAGGCTTTGCGTAGCCGTGGGGCAGCTGCGGTGGCGGCACTTGAGGCTGCCGGACAAACTTAGCTCGAAACTATAGAGTATGGGTTTAGGGTTTAGGGTTGGGGATAAACGTAAGTTGACTCTATCCACTAAATATTTCTTTGTGGCTCTTGGCATCAGCATCTGCGCAGCTGTCTGTAAGCCTAGGACCCCGAAAAGATGTCGGACCTGGTTTAACTGTAGGCAAGTCTGTACCATGAGGTTTCCTTAAACATACAGGCTTTAAGCCGGTCCGCTACGATTGTAAGTCGTCTTGCTCAACAGGATGTTAGCAGAGCTTGCTGCCAGGAACGCTCGCTAAATTGGTTAACCAGTAACGAAGAATAGTCGTCCTAATGTTACGAACCCAAAGGGTCCAATGTACCGATATAGTAGAATGTAGGGGTTCCATATTAGGAATTACTATTATGACTTAGGGAAGTATCCCCCATAACAGTACATAGGACCCTTTGGGGAAAGTCGTAGGAACTGTGTTGACTTGACTATCACTAACTATGTCAAAATCCTTCCAAACCTTTTTCCTCCATAAAGACAGTTCCGCCAGGTTGGCCACGCACGAAGCTTGCTCGGAACTTTGATGGGCCTTTGGAGATCTCTCCTCAAAGACAAGGCACTGCTGGTGACCAGGAGTTTTTCGAGACTGGGGCGAGTCTTGAGTTTTCGCTGCTGAAAACGTTGATTTCTCTAGGACCATGTAAGGTCGAATAAGGTGAACCTGCACCGATCAGGTCCGGGATGCAGGGCTGAGGCAGTCTGGATTGAAGGATGCTACATGCTGGTTAGTTTTGGGATTTTATCTACGGTGGCTCCGATGCTGAGTAGGTAGCCTCAGCCACAATGCCTACCCAGAAACGTCTGGGCTTCAGGCTTCCGAAGTCCATGAAGGTAAGTACTGACGGACCTTTAGCTTCAGGGCTTAGGGTATACATACTCAGGCCCTATCCTAAACCCTAAACAGCCCTAAACCGTTACATGGTCTTCTATGTAGGCACTCTGGGGCTAAACTGAAACCCTGGTTTTGCTCGAGTCGAGCTTTCGTCAGCCTCCTTGCACAGCTGGGCACAAGCTAGAAAAGATAGGGGGTCCATGTATATTTGTATATGTATATATGCTACCTCTATGGAGTTAAGTCGCAAAGACCATCCTAAGTATGGTTGGGGGACCTAATTCCATAAGAGTAGCATATATGGACCTTGGTAAGACAGGCAGATGGTCGAAAGCTTTTGACCCCAAAGACAGAAGCATCTCAATATGCACGCTCTTTAGATGCAGAGAGGGCAGGATTGTGCTAAGGGCTCAACCCCAAACTCTAAACCCTAAACTCCTAGACCCCTGAACCCCCTAAGAATCCTTAACCCCAAGCCCCAAACTCTAAACCCTAAACCCCTAGACCCCGAACCCCCTAAAAATCCCTAGATAGGGGCTCAAGGTTCAGTGTTTTCGAGTCTTCATGGCAACGGGTTTGAAGTGCGAGGCCTCCTGGCAAAAGCTTCGTCAGCGGGGCGCCCGCGTCATGGACCTACACCGTGAACGAGGCGCCACCGTTCTATTGCCGTTTAGAGATTGTTCGTCATTCCCTCTCTTAGTCCAGGTGTGCATGTCGTGGGGTTTCAGATTGACCGTGGCAGGAATCAAACTCACAAGAATTCGTATTGAATTTGTACTGCCCCACCCTCCAGAGCCTAAACCCCGTTAAACCCTACACTCTAGACGCCCTACCACTCCAAAAACCCGAAGCCCCCTTGAACCCGAAGCCCCCTTGAACCCTCAAGCCAGTATTAGATTCGAAGGTACTGTTGACGATATGAATCCTGCATAACCCACAATAAGGAATATTCCATTATTTTCGTATTCTTTGGTCATTCAGGTAATGCAGTCTCATATTATGAACCGTCGTTTGCCTTTGCAAGCCTCTCAGTCCTGGGGCAGCGGTTCAGGATTTCGGAATGATAGTAGGGTCTTGGATAGTGGGGTTTAGGGGTTCAGCGGTTCAATTTCTTGGGGTTTTGGGCGTAGGGTACAGTATATGCTCCAGCCGAAACACTTTAGTATAGTGTGCACCAGTTCCTTAATTAAGGTCTGCTCAAGATCTTTTTGTGGTATGTATCGCGGTAATATACAGGAGCTTTATAATGACCTACGCTATTTTGGGGAGTTCCTTATTATAACTATTCTATAATGGCCCCAAATCCCTATTCCAATCGTTTTGGCCCCGATATTGCCGGAACCACCAAGCCCGATTTTTCAAATGCTATATAAATCCCCTAAGGGTCCACTTTGGGATACAGCACCCTATGCAGGTATACTGTAGGGTCACAGGGGAGCTGCTTCGATTGGAGGCTCCAAGGGTAAAAGGAGGGACCCTTAATAAGGGCCCCTAGGTATATGCCCTCAACACAGCTATTATATACCGATTATATAGCCCATTATAGGGTAGGGGTCCCCATTAATGGCCCCTCCTTTTCCCCTAAACCCTAAACCCTTATAGATCCCTTTAAATTAATGATGAAGGGTCCCCTTTGAGAGGCGCAGAGCGCTTTCTGCGGATCCTCCTCAGCACTTGGGCCTCTGAGGGCCGAGCTGCGGCACGGCGCTGTGCCGCGGCGCTGGCTCGCGGAGGTGCGTTACCCAAGTGGTCCAAGTAAGAGTATGGTGGAGTCTAGTTATAGTACTGGTAGTAATTACTAGGATAGTATGGTATAGGGCAGTATAATTAGTATAAGTAATCAGTATATTGGCAGTATATATGGCAAAAGTAATTATATACTTTGGGGGGCTCAAATGGCTATGAAGTAGCTACTGTATTGGTACTTGGACCCTTGGGGTTAGATGCTCAGGCTTTCCTTGAGGGTTGGGACTGCTAGGGTTTTTGGGCTTAAGATTAAGGCCCAGAGGCTCAAAGTGGCAGCTTAGATGCCGTTAAAAAGGGGTTGCCTAGTCTCCATTGTAGTTCCTTTTTTTGGTTAACCAAAAACTCTATTATAGGATCCTAAACATAAAACTGGTTAACCAAAAAGAAGGAACTACAATGGAGACTATATAGGTAAGGAGTCTAGGTTGCGAGGGCTTGGCCTCAGAGTTTGGAAGGGGCTTGATGCAATGCTTCTTTTGGAGCACATGTACTCGAGGGCGCTCCCCTGGGAATCCACGCGCCTAGTTCCAGCGTTCTACCTGAAGGACCAAATGACCCTTAAAAGCAGGGGCCCTATGCCCCTATAATATGAATCCCTATATGGTATATGAACCTTAAACCCTTTTAGGGATCATTTCGTCCTTAAGGTAGAGGCTCTGCCTGGGTTTCCTTCAGACAAGTGGGTGGTTGTCAAAATTATGGTTCCTTTTTGGGTACCCTAAATATCAGGTGCCGTATTATAATGGGGACCCAAAAAGGGACCATCATTTTGACAACTACCCATGTATCTTTGGAGGGTTCTGTGGTTCCAATAACCCTCGTGCTTTCCGGGTCCCGGCCTGCTACTTTCTAAGCCAACCACAGGTGGGTAGTTTTAAGGTGGGTAGTCTCCCATAAGCCTCCCATACCACTCCTATAAGGTAAAGGGGTCTTATGGGAGTACTATGGAAGAGGAACTACCCACCTGTAATGGGCTTCTATACTTGTAGGGTACTGGAAATCCAGGATGTAGGGACGCAGTTTTGACTATCTTCAGCTGCATCCCTGATCAGTGAAGACGGTAGCTTCACTGAGTTATGTACCGAATAACGGTCATGAGAGTTGCATTAGAGAGCTCTTGCGCCTGCAAAATCCTCCAGCCTTGGAAAATGAAAGCCCTGAAATTCCGGATGCTCGGATATATTCCTTAGGTCTATGAGGACTTTAGGCTTTAGGGTAGCTGTGTCTTAGAAGGGTTTTCCAGGGATCAGGGTTCCTGACAGCCCAGAATCGTCTTGAAGTCCTCAACCCTAAACCTGATCCTCTTAAGAGTCCTGTCGCCGAAACTATGACCTACCTAAGGGCTTGTTGTGGGTTTCGGGTCGCAACTACGGGCTAATTAAGGGCTGAGGTTTTCTTTGGTGTTTAGAATAGTTAAAGGCCCTTGAACCTCTAAACCCCTAACAAACTCAGCAAGCTTGGTGAATATCTCGACTTCGTCAGGTAGCAACGTTGCCAGGGTGGCGTTTCAAGGCACGGTGGCAGTAACATACTGTGTGGATATATCCCCAAGGGTCCAAACGACCCAATAATCAGGTACTCGGTTTTGGGATAGTAGTTACGTAGGTTAGGATTTTGGAGAGTATATGATTATCAGGTACTTGGACCCTTGGGGTATCCCAGAGGGTGCATACATACTGCTATACTTATGGGTCTAAGCCGGAAAAGACCATCCCAATGATGGTTTCGGGTGACCTAAAGCCCTAATAGTAAGACCCTCCGGGGACCCTGAACCCTAAACCCTAAACCCCTAATGATTTTGGCAGACGTTTCCTGTCTCCCCTCTGCGAAGCCCGAAGCTCAAACCCCGTTCCCTCCACCTGAACGGGGCGATGTCTGTGCTTAAATGCTATACCTCAGTCGCCTTGTGGTGGGCTGTTGCCTAGATGGTCCAAGTATCCGAGTAGCAGGGGCCCTGAAGCCCTAACCCCTGACCCCCAAAACCCCTAAATCCTAGAGCCCTACCTAGACCCCTATAAACCCCAAAGCCTTAAACAAGCCCTAAACCCAAGGCCCCTAAACCCAAGACCCCTAAACCCTAAAGCCCGAAACCCTAAAGCCCTAAACCCAAGACCCCTAAACCCTAAAGCCCTAAACCCAAGACCCCTAAACCCTAAAGCCCGAAACCCTAAAGCCCTAAACCCAAGACCCCTAAACCCTAAAGCCCTAAACCCAAGAGCCCTAAACCCTAAAGCCCGAAACCCTAAAGCCCTAAACCCAAGACCCCTAAACCCTAAAGCCCTAAACCCAAGACCCCTAAACCCTAAAGCCCGAAACCCTAAAGCCCTAAACCCAAGACCCCTAAACCCTAAAGCCCTAAACCCAAGAGCCCTAAACCCTAAAGCCCGAAACCCTAAAGCACTAAACCCTAAAGAGTAGCCAGGCCCTTTGGGTCGGATTGCTATGCTCACCTGTAGCCCAAGGGGTCCAAGTACCTGATAATCATGTCAAAATTAGGGTCCCGTTTTGGGTACCCTAACTGGCGCATTAGAGGGTGATTGGGGGGGGTAGAGGTTCGAAGACCTACTTCTTCTGGAGTTCAGCTCCTGTGGCTTCTGGGCGACGAAAACCCACAAAGTGGCAGCAAGGGCGCTTGTTAACACCTTAACTTAAGGACGAAATGATCCCTAAAAGGGTTTAAGTTTCATACACCATATAGGGATTCATAGTATTTGGGCATAGGGCCCCTACTTTTAAGGGTCATTTGGTCCTTCAGGTACAAGCTCCACTTGAGATGATAAGCGTTGCTAAGAAGGCAGATTCTTGGGGATCGCTCCTACCTATAAGTCTCCATTGTAGTTCCCTTTTTTGGGGTTAACCAAAACTCTATTATAGGATCCGAACCATAAAACTGGTTAACCCCAAAAAAAGGGAACTACAATGGAGACTATAGGTATTGCGGATCCCGAAAGCCCCAGCCCAAAATGCCCTGGGCTAAGGACTTGTGGTGTTTGGGTCTCCGGGTTTGGATTTCAGCACTTAGGGCTCGGAGCTAGAAGGTACGTCCGTATAGCGCTTTGCTTTCTGTGAGGTTCGGGATTCTTGGATTCTGGATTCCTGAGTTTGGGTTAATCAGGGTCCGTATGAATTTTAAATGTTCGCTTGTAGTAATAAATTTCACAACAAGTGGGTTATGGTTCAGTCGTTTAAGGTAAATCCTCAATCGAAGCCAGAAGCACCGAATTCCCCCGGCAGGTTTCAAACCTAAGCCACGAAAGCTTCAAGAGTACCCCGAGGGTCCTTGCACCCACGGCTTCTAAAAAGGTTCTTCATAAGGGGCGCCATAGTACAAGGGGGCATGACGCAACCCTTGACAGCAAGGGGCAGCCGCCGTGACCGATGGGGGCTTCCGAGAAGGCGAGCAGGCAGCTCCTGAACCGTTTCGCGGCGGTCAGAGAGGATGGCATCAAGAAGCTGGTGATTATTGACCCCCAAAACTACAGCGCGGACACTCCCATCAAAATAGAGAGGGATATTTCTTGGATGGAAAGAATCGAAAGACAGCCCCTTTAAGCCTTTACGCTCTAGCCGACTCCCTAACAAAGGCTCAAACCGCCGAGGGTGGTCGGGCTCTATGGCGCTGGCTGCCTGTCGCCATCAGCACCCGCTACCTTGGACTTCCAAGCTCACCATTGCACAGAGACATCGTCATGGAGAGTCTGCTCCTCAACATCTGCAAGGAAATGATGAATGGCGTACGGAATGGATTGGAAAGTCGGCTCCACACGGGCTTATAAGTCCCATGTACCCCCAAAAAGCATATACGTTGTGGCCCCAAGGTACCCATGCAGACTGCTTTCAGGTCGATCCTTGGAGGTTCAGGGCTGCTCTACCCAGAGGCTCCATAGTAGCTCCTTTTTTGGGTTCATATCTGGAATCTGAAAAGGTAATCCCAAAAAAGGAACTACTATGGAGCCCATGGGTATCTATCACGGTTTAGGATTTTGGGTTTAGTATCAGGATTCTAACTGACCCCAAACCCCCTGTCTCTGGCTTAACCCTAACATAACCACCTTCACGAAAGCCCTGGTTTAAACCAACCGCCTAATGTAGGAACCTGATTAGGAAACCCTGGCCCTATAACACCCCAAAATAGTAGGATTCAGATAGGGAACACTCATAAAGAATCAGGTTCCTACAGTAAACTGTGTGTAAGGACTGCTGTTTTCCTATTGTGGGAGCAACGTACTCTACACATGCTTGAACCCTAGACTCTACACCTCTGAACCCTAAACCCAAACCCCTCGATACCGCGAGGCTGGATGCAAGTAATTCGAGAGCACCACATGCACTCGGCACGAATTGAGCTGGATCAGCTCCTCGCCTTGCCTCGTACCGGGGGACATTGTGTTCAGATGGCTCAAATAATAGGAATAATAGTCATAAAGATACTGAAGTATAATAGTAAAAGGATAGTCGTAGTAGCAATAATAATAATAATAATAATCTCGAATAGTACTGTTAGTAAAAGTAGTGTCAAGAGGGCTGGGGTTCGGGGTAGTCTTGACGGTTTATGAGGTGCGTGCTTTGGGTGCCAGGGTTGCTGCATCTTTCTCTTGTCGGCACGCTTGCTCGGCAAGATTTCTAACGTGTGCCACACCCCGTGTGAACCAAGCTGGTTACATATCTGTGCATCCCATATGTGTATGTATTTCATCATCATCATCATATATATATATATATATATATATATATATATACACATTACGCACATGACTATATACATATATGTATACACAGACATGTGTACGTATCTATGGGCTTGTGTATGCACACATAAGGTCTAGTCAGAGAATGTCGTGCTTCCCTAAAGGTCCATGTACCCAATTAATTTGAATAGACTTAAGCCCCAAAGTACCTATATAGGGACTACTTTAAGGCCGAAGTATCTACTATTTTGGGCACATGGACTCTTTTGGCTTGATAATAAGGCAGCCTTTGGCCGAAATTCTTACACAGCCAAGCGGCTAATCATGTTTGCTCTGAGTATGTACGCGGTATTTTTACCACAGGCTGAATCGTAGGCCTTTGTGAATCCGCCAGCATGCGCACAGAAACACTTGACGCAACAGGTGGCAGTGCTCAATACTTTCAGATCACAGTGATGACGGCTTCATTCAGGAGTAGTTTTAGGGTTTAGGGTGGCCACCATCGAATTATGGTTGAAGACCGTTGCACCCTGGTCTCTTGTAGAAGCCCAGCAAAGCCTGATTCGCCATTCCTGAACCCTAAGCCCCATTACCCAAGACTTTACACCATAAATCCCAAATCTTGAACCTGCACTCCTCTATATAGAACTCCATGCAATCCAAGGCTCCGAAGGAGGCTGGTTTTGCGTGGCAGCCAAGCTGCCTGCGCCATGGGCAGGCCGTGGAGTTGTGTGGGCTTCGGTTCAGTTTCTATCATTATGGGGTTAAGGGTTCAGTGGGGCTCATCGGGTTTGGGGTTTGAGGTTCATGGGGTTGAAGGTTTGGGGCGAAAAAGGTTTTGGGGCTTAGGGGTTTATGAAGCTTCAATTTTACTTTAGGTTTGCAGGGCTTCGGTGACTTTGTGCGTACGGGGCTTATGTACGGAGGACTGGCGCCGTTTCGGTTCATTCCGAGGCAGTTTCATGTCAAGCGTTCCTTCTTGGAGTTTAATTATGTGTAACCCTTGAAGCATCAAGGCCGCCCGAGGGCATTTCTGTGGTTCGGTTCAAGTGTTTCAACTGACTGAAGTAGTATAGGGGTCGATTGAAACGGTTCAACGGCCTGAAACACTTGAAACAGACTTGTCGGCCCCAGGGCATTGCTGTGTCAGGCCTTTCAATAGTATTTAACTGAAGCAGAAATGGTTTCATGCAAAAGTGGTTTTGAATCTCTCGAAGCGGAAATGGAATGACACGATATTAGACGGGACTTTCCTGGGGATTTCTATGTCTGCTTCACGCGTCCCAACTCTTTCAACGACTAGCGGCAGCGGTACTCGGGACTGAAACGCCTGAATACGGAGAAAGGCTTGGAGTGGCCATTTGTTAAGTGTTTCGCATGTTCAACCATTTCAACTGGCTTATAGGCTTCAGGGTTTTGGGTTCAGGAGCGGTTTTAGGGATTCACATGATAGGGGCCAGACTAGCTGCACAACACCCGCCCGTTTGAAAACACTTGCGGCGCTTGCGGCACTTGAAGCCAAATCGCCACCCCCACGCACCTTTGTTTCACTCAATCGTTTCGACGACACTTGTCACTCGGAAATCACATTCCCAATCAGCCGCCTCTCATGCTACAGTCAGGCTTACCATGATCTATACCCGGCCCGCCCCGACCGTGAGAGTGATGAAGTTGCTCAGTACAGAGCGAAACACAAGAAGGTCTAACTTCATGATTCTGACAGGTTGTCGTCCCGCGCCGCGAAGAACCACATCACAACATGGTACGCGTGCAATCTTGGTGTGAAGTCGCACTTCACCATCAGTCCATGCATCCATGCATCCTTTCTCTCTTCTCGCGTTCTCTATGGCTGTAATCTTATACTGTAAGTATGCCTCTAAACTCTAAACTCTAAACCGCTGTAAACTCACTATTACACCATGATCCCTGAACTCTGCACCCTCACGCTCAACCCACAACCCCAAAACACGAACCAGCGTTCTTCACGCGCGGCTCCTAAGTTTCGGGATGCCCCATCCAGGGGCCCTTCTTGTATTGATCCTACTCTTTACGGATTATTTAGAGGTTCTGATAGTACTATGGTAATTAAGGGCACTACTGTATTATAGTAAGGACCCTAAAAGCTATGTTGTCTGACTCCAAACGCTCTGACAGACATGAGAGGAATTGCGACCGCGGCCTGCTTGCAGAATGTTTGAACGCTTGGCAGCAGGCCCTGCGCCCCCTAAACCCTAAACCCTAAACCGTCATTGCAACATCTTTATGAAACGGCTCAGGGTTCGCAGGGCCTACTATAGGAGCCTGAACAATTACCTACGCTTTTTTGGGGGGGTTCCTTATTAGAAGTATAGTATAATGGGCCCCAAAACCCTGTTCTAATTTTGCTGAGGCCCCTGTACTTTCGACAGTGAGTTCACGGGATTTTGAGCTTAGGATTAGTCAAGGCTCGGGGATCATCTGGCTAACTACGGGTAAGGCTCAGGAACTTCAAGCTCTGTCAGGTTTGGGAACTCCTACGGTTGATGATATAATTCCTGCATTACCTTAATGACCCTAGACTATGGGAGCTATGGTATTGTCCTTACTAGGGGTAATGCAGGATGTATATCATCAACCGTGTGTATATATCTCCAAGCAGGCTCCGTTGTCTTGCGGCTTTCAGTCATGGGTAGTAAGGACAAGCTTGACAAGGCAAGCAACCGTCCACATTGTAAACTCTCCAGGACAACCCAGGAGCCCGAACAATGAAATCATCTGTGCGAAAACTATTTATGCATATCATTCTATGATGAACGTGTAGTCTATGTAGTTTGTATCATGTCTGTAGTTTGTAAAGTATAGCAAATTCCGTCCACCATGTGGCAGTTATGAACGCTAGGTGTTGTGACTTTGGACCTCACCGGTCCGGCTGCCGTGCGCTATGAAAGACTGGGTTCTCAAAAAGTAGGAATCCGCCGTAACGACAGGTCCGAAACCTCGACCCTCGGCCCTAATGTAGGAACCTGATTCGGAAGCCCTGGGCCTAGAACACCAAAATAGTAGGATTCATAATATAAGGAACCCTAATAAAGGCCCAAGCATTCTTAATCAGGTTCCTACATTATAATAGTACCCTTATAACATCCCCTATAGTAGCCCTTATAGACCCCTTTAAAGGAACCCTAATTATCCCCGAAGGAGCCGCTGTTTCGACAGGTTTGCGTGATCGAGCGCCATCAGGTCAGCCTTGACAGCACCCATGACACTCGGTTTGCCAGACGCACGTGTGTCAGTTCGCTTAGGGTTTTCGGTCTAGCGTTTCAGCGTGCTTCCGGTGAGAGGTTTAGAGTAGGACACAGAGTTTGGAGTTAGGGTTTTGAGTGGACCCCGAAACCCTAAGCCCCGAAACCCTAAACCCGTAACCCCTTATCCAGGAAGCTGCCAGCCGATTCTTGAGGTTCTGTACATAGGCATCGGACAGTATTTCGGGCATACTTAGAATAGGGTTCTATAGTTGTCAGGGTTGCTATACAGGCCCCGAAACCCTAAACCCCTAAACCCTGAACTCCTACATCACAATGGTGAGTTGAGCATGCGAAAGAAGCGCACCGTTTGCTCGCCTTGCTCCGTTGACCCGCTTGAGACTTGCTACCTCATCATGGGTAAGGAGCGGATGCAAGAGCTACCTTTGCGGCACCGGCGATTCGTGGACATGCCGGCAACCAATGAGGTTCGTGGCTTCAGCAACCTGAGCCTCAGAAGCGCTGCCAGCCTCGAGTTGAACAAGGTGACCAGGGAGGTGAAAGAAGAGATCTTCAGGCACATCTCCTTCGCTTCCACGGGCACCGAGCCGGGGCAGCCGCAACAACCGGCTGCGGCTGGGATCTGACGAAGAAGCGGAGGAGCCACGGCAGCAGTACGTGACATTGGTCCAGTGGGAGCACCCGGAAGAGGTGTTCAGTGTTCGGTGAATTCATTCATCTCTACTCCTCGGCTGGGATGGACGACGTCATCGGTGATCTGGCCGCTGGTTCTCTAGGCTACTATCAGGATTCTGTGAGGGTTTCAACCTTTAGGGCCCCAACTCAAAACTGCGAGGCCTTAAACTGCGGATCAAACATCAATCATCCCCCTTTTTGTTTGGACCTCAAACGGCTCAAGGTCCAAAGACTGGGTCAGGGTTAAGCTGCAGTTCCTTAGGGGATCCCTTTAAAGGAGCCCTAGGGGCTTTAAGGGAACTTTAGGCATCCCTTTAAAGGAACCCTAGGGCCTACTTAAACTTAGACCCTCGACGCAATCTTCGGACCTTTAGCTGCAGGAGCCCCGGCTTTTCCCTTGGCCAAGCCCTAAGCCCTTAATCCTAAGGGGGAAAGGAGGGACCCTTAAAAGGGATCCTTTTAAAGGGGGTCTATAAGGGTACTATAATATAGGTTCCTGATATGGGAGTTTCCGGGAATTTGGGTTACCCTATCTTGGGGTCCTTATAATATGGATCCTATTATTTAGGGTACTATTTTAGGGTCCCTTGTTTTCGGAACCCCCTTTTTCTCCTCAGCAAACCCAGGGCTCCAGTGACCTAAATGGTAGGTTTCTTTCCATAGATTATATACCACAGCAACTTACTATTTAAGTAACGGGAGCCCTAAACCCTAAACCCCTAAACCCCTAAACCCTAAACCCTCAACAAACCGGGGGATGATTTGAGGAGAGGCTCCGCGAGCTGTTTCTACAGCGGTCGCACGGAATGATCGGCTTTCAGCAGATGCGAGGCCGTTCCGTATTGATTTGCACGACTCTGCCTAAGCCCTATAAACGCCAAACGAATTATGCTTCTATACAGCACAGGGTTTTAATACAGTGCAGTGAACAAAAACCGGTGGACTGCGTTACGAAAACATTACAACCCCTTCATTTGACATACTGCCCAAAATTATGTGGCAGTGGCAGAGTCTTGCTATTGCCTGATTTGGCGTAAGCTGGGCTGATGCGAACTCTGCTGTTTACAGTCTTGGATGCAGGCTGCAGGGTTGAGGGGTACTTGGAGGTTCATAGGTAGTTATTATAACTGGGTTATAAGCCCCCTAATATGGGTCCTAAGTATAGTTACCCTACTTAAAACCCTACTTATATCTACCCATGAACCTCCAAGTAGGCCCTAAACCCTATACCCTTATAGAATCCCTTATATAGATCCCTTTAAATGGGCCCTTAAAGGAACCTTTACAATTACCCATGAACCTCCCATTCACCGGGCTTGGAGCCTCAAGGCACAAAGCATCCTGCAGCTGCCAAGTTTGTTGGAGTTCGTTTAGGGTTTTAGGTTTTAGGGTTTTAAGGTGTAGGCATTAGGGTTTAGGGTTTTAGGGTTTAGGGTAGTTAAGGGGTCGAAGTTTCTGGTTGAGGGCAAAGAAGGCATATGCGAGGCCTTGTAATGGGAGTAGGGTTTAGGGTGGGGTTTAGAGTGGGGGAGGTAGGCAAGGGGTTAGGATCTGTGTCGGCGTTGTTGGAGATATAGCAAAACTTGTAGTTGAGGAAAATAAGTAGAACAAGGTCTGCGGTATGTGATACTCGTTGTTAGTAATTTAGTGCCTCGCCCTGAGGAGTATAGTTAGGAATTATTGATTCTGGTGATGCAAGTCTCTACAGTAATTCCGAACACATGCAGACAGAAGGCGAAGACTGCAAACCGAGTGCATGCAAATACCGCTGTAGTTTCCTGAACGAGTTCAGCAAAAGAACTTGAATAATCATCGATATCATTCCTATAAGTCCCTCATGTTGCATAAGAAAACAGCCCGAACAAACCTCGTCTAATCATTCACGCGTCCCAAAACCCGTCTATACATTGCCTGTAATTGCCAATGTCTTTCCTTAAAGTCCTTCATGATACAAAAGCCCAAAACCCTCTTCTAATGATTGAGGCCTCCACAATACCTCCTGTGCCAAAATCCTAAGCCCAAACCCTAAACCATCCTAAACCCCGAACCTTACATCTCACACCCCTGAGCCTCAGGCTCCATGCACCCATGTAGTATACACGTAGGCCTTAGGTACCTGTATCGGGCTTACCTCAAGGACTAGAAGGAACCACGGAAACAGGAGCATGGACCCTTAAACCCTAAACCCTCTGCAACCCTTGTCGAACCCTTATAGTATCCCTTACTTTATAGGAGCCATTGGAAAATCTGCGGACCAGGCCAGCCTCTCCCCTTCCTCCGGGCAACACTCGGGGCCTGGCGCGGCGCCGCCGCCCGCGGCAGCGCAGCGCGGAAGGCCGCAGCAGCTTTGGCATCCTCGACGAGGTGGCCAAACTTCAGGGTACTACTTGGAGGCTCAAGGGTAATAAGTATAGTTACCCTTCTTATAACCCTACTTATAACTACCCATGAACCTCCAAGTATGAGGCACTATAAGGGTTCTTAAGGGTTTGGGAGTTTAGGGCTTACAGGCTTTAGGGTTGATACTTCAAGGTACTATAAGGGTTCTTTTGTAAGGGGTTCTAGAAAACGGTACTGTAAGGGTTAAGGTTTTAGGGTTGATGTTCCCATAGAGCATGTACTTAGCCCCTAAATTAGCTTCATAGGGACGATTTTCAGTCCGAACTATACATATGTACGTATATATATATATATGTATATGTATATGTATATGTATATGTATATGTATACATATATATATATATATACACATATCGATCGTATTTTCAGTATCACCAGGGATGTTATACATAGACAGACAGACAGACAGACAGACAGACAGACAGCCGGGGTATAGACAGACAGACGGACGGACAGACAGATAGGTATCTATCCTTAGACATGTTGCATGTCCGCATGCTGTCCTTAAGATAGGACCCACGCTTTTGCCTTGTGCATATCTGTACACACCTTGCATCGTGTGGGTGTGCAGTGTGCAGCCGGGCTCGTGAAGCGACTGTTTCTTCGTTTAAAGATAAGGATTAGGATCCTGCTACAGGGTGGGGGCACTACCCAAACGTAGTTCAGGGGCAAGACACCTGCTGCCTTTGTAAAGGTGGCCGTTGCGAATTTCGTTGAGATCTACACTTTGCGGAAAATCCCCCCCGCCGCACTACGGTTGATGATATAAGTCCTGCATCACCATGGTATATTCCTTATTTTGGGTAATGCAGGATTTATATCATCAACTTTAAGGATAACTATAAGGGTTACTGTAAGGTTTCTATAAGGGTTACCTAGTCTCCATTAGAGTGCTTTTCTGAGGATGCATCTGCACCGAAGCCTGTGGGAATGGGTTTCCTTGGAGGGTCGGGGGACTTAGTAAGTAGGTAGTAAGTAGACTTATAAGTACCCTAAAAGGGACCCTAATCGGTGTTATGATACTTATAAGTCCTTAAAATAACCAGTTACTAAGTCACCCGACCCTCCAAGCACTGTAAGGGAGCCCGGAGCTTCTTGAAGGTTCCTCCTTGGCTACTGCCCCCACTCAGTAGCCCAGAGACTCCAATATCCCTTAATTAAGGCGCACGCGCCTAAAAAAAACCACCCTGAAGACAAAACCAACACAGGAGCTTCCGAGGTAAGTGCTGAAAAGTGTGGCAGGCGCAGCAGAATCGCATCTTTTGACCTACCCCAGTTGTCGCGTGGCAGAAGCAAAAACGGTACACGATTTCATGTCTTTTTTTTGTGGCCGTCCTAGTCGACCATCAGTGCTATCATCATCGATGTCAATATCGCTATCATCCTCACAGTCACCATCGATGTCACCATCATCTTCATCATTCTCATCATCATCGTTATCATCATCGTCATCAATGTGTTGAGCAGTGGGCTTTTTGTGTGCTCGGAAAAGCCGGCCTGAATTTAGTCTCCGGACCTGGGCTGCAAAGCTAGTCTTACGGCAGAAGGCGAAAACACTGGTGGGGCCGATAACTTTGAAGGTCGCGGCAAGTTTGTTGAGGTTTGTGGGTGGAAAAGGTATGGGGCAAAAGGTCTTTGCACAGTCACCTTTGCCAGATCGCCAGGTCATCATCATTGCTACCACGATTGTTATCATCATCGTCATCATCATCGTTATCATCATTGACATCGATGATGATAGCACTGATGGTCGACTAGGACGGCCACAAAAAAAGACATGAAATCGTGTACCGTTTTTGCTTCTGCCACGCGACAACTGGGGTAGGTCAAAAGATGCGATTCTGCTGCGCCTGCCACACTTTTCAGCACTTACCTCGGAAGCTCCTGTGTTGGTTTTGTCTTCAGGGTGGTTTTTTTTAGGCGCGCGCGCGCCTTAATTAAGGAATATACCTTAGTTCAAATTAGGGATCCTACTAGAATTTAAGGTATATTTCTTAAATTGAGGGATATATATATAATGGAGTCTCTGGGAACTTAACGGTTGAAATAACATACCCTATAAACCCTAAAACCTTAACCCTAAACCCGAAACCCTACAACATAGACAGATATGGCCCTTCTATATGTAATGATAAGCACATAATATGGAGAGATAAGGCGCTAAATAAAACCGCAACCTAAACCCTGAACCCCCAAACCCTAAACCCTCAGCGTATGGGGGCTGCACCCGAAGAACCCTCAAAGGGAACCCTAACGTGCCCTTAAGGGCCAGGGTTTAGGACTGTTAGATTTTGGGCTCAGGATTTTTCGGGGGGTTAGGGAGTGGGTTTCAGTTCGGGATTCCAGAGTGTAGCAGCGCAAGTTGCTGGTTGACTACCCTTTCGACGCATCCGTCACTATACAAAGTAGTATAAGTATGAGAAGCTACCAGGATTTCGATTGTGCCTCTGACTGCGACAAGGGTAACATGACTTGTCCGATCGAGCCTAAGACCCTCAACCTCAACTAGATGCGATGTGCAGGCAGCTGCTAGCCGCAACTGTTGCTATCGCCTGGCACCAGGAAGCCGCACGCAGGAGGCCGGCGGCCTATATATATATATATATATATATATATATATATATAGATATATATATAGATATAGATATAGATTTTTGGCTCCCGGCCCAGGTGTACGATATTACATACTGATGTATTGGCATGGTGTTATCATTTTGGGTACTGCCCCCATTCAGTAAGAGTTGAATAGTCTTTATAAGTTAGATATATTAGGCCCTTAAAAAAGTAGCCCTATTATAGACTGCTACTGTATGGGGGCAGTACCCAAGTTGTCATGTCATAATGCATGGTAACATACATCAAAGGGGAAAAGGAGGGACCTTTATTGGGGACCCCTACCCTATAATGGGGCGGGGCTATATAATGGGTATATAATAGCTATATTAAGGGTATATACCTAGGGGTCCTTAGTAAGAGTCCCTCCTTTTACCCTTGGAGTACGGTATGGCTCCAGGCTTGGGCTTCGAGACTGGATCTTCGGAATTTGTTGAGGCCTCAAACCATGAGCTGTGGTAGCCCTTTCTGGAAGTTTTTAAGTAGAGCAGGTAACCCTTTAACTTGTTTTGGGTAGTATAGTCCCTAAATACTCCCTCTATAACCATAAAGGTTAACCTTAAGTTCCCCATGATACCCGACAAGTAGGAGGGGTTTTCTGCTCCCGCAGCTAGGGTCCTCACTGAACTGTGTATCTGTCCTCTGGCGTCGCATACAGCTCATAAGCTGTACACCACGGCACGGCACCGAAAATCAAAGGAGAAAAGGAGGGACCCTTAATAAGGACCCCTGGGTATATACCCTTAATATGGCTATTATATACCCATTATCTAGCCCCAATATAGGGTAGGGGTCCTCATTAAGGGCCCTTCCTTATCCCCAAAACCCTAAACCCTAAACCCTTATAGATCCCTGTAAAGGAACCGAGCCCTAAATTAGGGGTCCCCATCAAGGGTCCCCTCCTTTTCCCCTTTCAGAAAAATTCCGAGGATGGAGGCGACAAAGTTGGAACATATCCCCAAGGGTCCAAAGGACCCAATAATCAGGTACTTGGGTTTAGCTCTACAAGGGGCTGCTATACGGGATACTACAAGGGTTCTATATAGTATAGAGGCCTAATAATCAGGTACTTGGGTTTAGGATAGTAGTTATGTAGGTTAATATTTGGGAGAGTATATGATTATTAGGTACTTGGACCCGTAGGGTATTGGCCCATCATGGGCTCTTAGAGCAAAGTAGCGCCTCAGCAATTATGATTCCAATGTAGGGGTCTGAGTACTTAGTAGTAGATGTCTCTATATAAGTATGGTGTATCGCGATTCTGATTGTTAAGGCCCTTGTTTCAACTCCATGTCCCAACTTTTCAGCGTCTGAGTGTAAACAGGGAGGTAAACCTGACGTCTTGGTGGGTCAAGGCCGGCAAGGTGATGAAGGCGGAAGAATCACCAGAATTTTGATTTTGGTCCGACACGTTTCCCAAGTGTCGGGCTTCTATACCTATGGGCCTCAACCAAGCGGTTTCCCGCAACCGTGCATTCATGCCTGCCAGGTTTCGACGAAGATTGGCCGCTCGAAGATCCGACTTCGTCGCATCCTCAGCTTTGTAGGGCTTTAGGGTTGAGGGTTTAGGGGGAGCTAGCGATGAGCTGCAGTAGCCCATGAACCCTAAACCCTTTTAGGGTTTATGCCGACTTGGGGACTAAAACTTGGGGGGGCTTAAGCCTTCGAAATAGACATCGCCTTAATGATTATCAAGTAGAATGGAGTGCTGGAGTATTTGTACTCTTGAAAAAAGCGAAAGAGTAGAAGTAATTATACAGTAGAAGCCCAAAAGTTGGAAACCCACTAGCCTCAGTGCTTAAGAGAAATTTATAGGGAATCCCGGCACTAACTGTCCTTGATCCGGTTTCCAACTTTTTTTGGGTTTACTACCTAGACCCTCCATCTACCCTCGATTAGACCCTAAGTGCCCACTATTTAAGACCATATACCCCTATTTGAGGGTACAAGGAGGGTCCTGGTATAACGGGACTCCAAAGTTATGTAGAATAATGGCCTTTTGTAGGTTTTGGACTATTCTTTTACCTACCCTAAGGGCCCATGTACCCATATAGAGATACATGAGCCCCAAGGTACTTGTATAGGGACTACATTAAGGCCAATGTATATACTTTTTGAGTACATGGACCCTTCCTGAAGGACCAAATGACCCTTAAAAGTAGGGACCCTATACCCATATACTATGATTCCCTATATGGTATATGAACCTGAAACCCTTTTAGGGATCATTTCGTCCTAAGGTTAGGGCTATTATACCCTAAACCCTTATAGATCCCTGAAAGGATCCCTTATGGTACCCTTAAAGGACCCTTAACTAAAGGAGCACATGGACCCTTAGGACCATTCTTTTACCTACTTTTGGGGGTTTAGGACGGAGCTTCCCCAGGTCGCCTCCTTCCTGGGACAAAGCTCCCGGGCGCTACTCCGGGAGCTCCTGAAGGCACTTTAAGGGTCCCTTTAAAGGGATCTATAGGGATTCTATTGGGTATAGGGTTTAGTATAGGGTAGGGGTATACAGAGACTCCAAAACCCCTTAATTAAGGAATATACCTTAAACTATATTAAGGATCCTACTATATTTGAAGGTATATTCCTTAATGAAGGGATATTGGAGTCTCTGGGTATACTTGGAGGTTCGTGGGTAGTTATAAGGGTACCTTTAAGGGTCCCTTTAAAGGGATCTATAGGGATTCGATAAGGGTATAGGATTTAGGGTTCTACCTGGAGGTTCATGGGTAGTTATAAGTGGTGTTATAAGTCCCCTAATATGGGTTATAAGTTCACTGTTTAGGGTTTGGGGCTTAGGGTATAAGTATAGTTGCCCTACTTACGACCTTACTTATGACTCCCCATGAACCTCCAAGTATGGGGCTTTAAAGCGGCCCTATCGTCGTTCCCTTTTTTGGGGGGTCATATATCTAGAATCCTATAATATATCAGGTAATCCCAAAAAGGAACTACTATGGGGCCTCTGGGTTGCAACAGTGTTTCTGAACAGTTCTATAATGATTAATAGGATCTTGCAAGGGGGGTCTTTCGGGTTTATGGTCGGATCAAACCCGAACTTTATGGCCAGATAGTTGAGGGTAGCGGGCTTACGAGAGTCACGGGGCGACTGTAAGGGTTTTCTCGCTTGGGCTTCAAGGCTGTGCAGTTGGCTTTGGGTTTACCTGTAGACTCACACCCTACCCCTTTTTAGGGTGTCTACTTTTCTATATAACAGATCCTAACCATGAAATTAGGGTGAGGGTATAAGCCCCTAGGTAGGGTCTATAGGGTTTAGGGTTTAGGGGGCTTCAGGTTAGAGTTCAATTCATGTTTTTTGGTGTCGGTGGCTTGAGGTTTCGGGTTTTGAAGGGCTTTTAGGGTCTGATAGGGTTTAGGGTTTAGGGGACGTGCAAACGGTTTTTCTTTCAAACGGTTCCCTTGCAACTAGACAGTTTATGCCAAAGCCAATGTTAAATCTGAAGCCTACCTCTTAAGTTTCTCAATCCTGAAAGTATCGTGTTCTGTCATCACATGAGGAACGGTTTCCCAGACCCTGCACGTAACCTCCCAACCCAAATCCTACCCAACCCTCAACTCGAAACCCTAACCTTAACCCTCAAGACCTAGCCTCCCAATCCGTGACTTCCTGAGCCGTAGGACCTGGACCAAAACGGACTTCAAACACATGAAACATTACACAATGCAGACCCCTAAATCCTAAACCCTTAACTTTAAACCCCTAAACTCAAAACCCTGAACCCCTAAGCTCAAAACCCTACACCCTAAACCCTAAACAGTGTTTGTGGGAGTCCCCGAGCCTGAAAGCAGGAGTGGCGTCGCTACGCGGCCTCCAAGGCCTTAGCTTGCGCCTGGGGAGGGCGCCAGCAGAAGGAGGGAGGCAGCCGAAGCTTGCTGACTGCTTGTTTCCAAAGATTTCGGGTTTTGGCTTGGAGCTAGTGGGGTTTTATAGGGTCGAAGCTTAGACGGTTGACGGCTCAGGGCGTTCTTGCATTAAGCTTATCTGTTTTCAGGCTGAGGCGGCTGGATTTCATGGTCGAGGCTGGTTTTTGGGTTGTTCACCAGTGCAAGCAGATGGGTTAGATTTGTGGTTGGTGTCCTTGGGCAACTTAGGGTTTATCGTGTGGCCTTCCTCGAAAATGAAGCCGTGTAGCTGAGTACCCGACCTCGATTTCAGATGTGTTCTTTCTCATACAGCTCGTGTAGTGTTCAGGATTTAGGCTTGGTGTGTTCCATCCCTACCTCCCCTGGAGCTTTTCGCAGAAAGGGTCCATTGCACTTTTTTTAAAAAAAAAGAGACTCCAATATCCCTTCATTGAGGAATATACCTTAAACTATAGTAGGATCCCTAATTAAGCTATATTCCTTATTTAAGGGATATTGGAGTCTCTGGGCTAAGGTTTTAAACCCGAAGCAACGGCCTTAAGCCCAAGCACTGAGACCCAAGCAGACTCTTTATCTTCGCACGAGTGAGCATAGAGTCGTATTATAACAGTAGCACCCCTAACGGCAATGATGATCGCAAGCAGAGTATATAATATAAATTAATCTCAACCCGAAGCCCTAAACCCCCCTAAACCCCGAACTCCTAGATACGAAACCCTAAACCCTTATTCAGGCCGCCGTCAGCTCAGCTGTGCGTTTGCGGCTTGGCAGCAGCGACGTGAGGCGACTCGGCGATGAAGAGCTTGGAAGGATATTGGGAAGCTTTCCCCTATTGTAAACTCCCAAAAGTTGGAAACCTAATTAAGGACAAATCGTGCTGGGATTCCCTATGCTTTGCTCTTAGAGTTTGTTTTTGTTGGGGGGGCCGAGGGTGTTTAGGGTGTCGGGCTTCGCAGTTTTAGAGAGTTTGGGGCTTGGGAGTTGTGTGTGGATAAAGGTTACCGAGTTTAGGGTGTCCTGTAGGGCCTTTGCGGGGATTACAACCTCAGTTCTGAGCATAGAGTCCGCAGTTCGGGCTGGAACTGACAGGCTAAGTGATGCTGTTGTGGAATCGGCAGGTATGGGCAACCCCGATGGTACCGGCGAAACTCTTCGTGAATTCATCGATCCTAGTGTTGAGTATTTGTTAAGGTCTAGTATTGTAGGACTTCAGGTTCCAATCCCAGTGGTCTGGTTTGTAAGCCTACTAGTATCGAGTCCGGGTGCGGGAAGCATAGCGTACCGGGCAGACCATACAAGCCCTACCTTAAGGACGAAATGATCCCTAAAAGGGTTTAAGGTTCATATACCATACAGGGATTCATAGTATACGGGTATAATTAGGGCCCCTACTTTTAAGGGTCATTTGGTCCTTCAGGTAAGCCTTCGACCGCAAAACCCGCAGCCTTAGCCTTCGCCCTCGTCAAAGCGGAAGCCAGGGCCTCTTTACCAGTTACTCGCTATGTTCTCGGTTAATGCTTCGCATCTATGGAGAAGCTCATCTAAGACCCATGGTGTCAGCTTTATGGCGCGGCCTTGTTTCCGCATCGTAGCCTTTAGAGTCGTTCAGAATCTCAGTCTCTAAGAACCCTAAGGGCCTGAATCATTACGAATCCTACCTATAGTCTCCATTGTAGTTCCTTTTTTTGGTTAACCAGTTCTATGGTTAGGATCCTATAATAGAGTTTTTGGTTAACCAAAAAAGAACTACAATGGAGACTATAGGTACTACGATCCCTCGAAGCCCTATTCTGATTTATTACGGCCGGGTCTAGGTCAGGTTGAGGTTTAAGCCATGCGGTGGCCCGTGTTTCTCGTGTATTGTGTTCTGCTATTTGTCGTCACCAGGGCATCCCAATGTCTTTAACTAACCGTTGTAGTCATAAGCCTCAACACAATCTCTGCTTGTAGTAAACCTTTACGTTGCCGCCTTTTGCAATCCCTCTTCACAGAAGGCTTTGCTCACTGCGCGTCGCGCGGCCTTTCGGTTATGTGACCACAGCACCACCATGCTGCTTCAAGGCTTGCAGCACGGGGCCTGGCGGGCTCATATACCTTGGTAGGGTACCCGGAAACATGCACAAATGTCTGTCCATCGCTCTATATATGTCTCTATCTATCTGTATACATGTATATATAACAGACACGTTTAGGAACCGGTTGAATATGTTCCATGTGATGCGCACACACACACCTAATTATAAACATATACACTTACATAATCAGTGTACTGAGGCATATGCATACATTCATACCGACAGTATACATACATACATTCCTACCTACATACATACATACGTACTTACATACCTCCATGCACATATGTACACATACATACAGACACATATATGTCTAAATAAATAAAGAAATTTACATACATATAAATGCATACACATCAGTTGTGTTTTTATGCACTTACAAAAGTGAGAATATATATGTATATATATATAATTGTGTATATGTACATGTGTATACACGTTTTGTGTATATGTACAGACACACCCACTGTTCATACCAGTGCGCATATGCATAGACCACTCTGTAAAGGTAGGTTGTGTGGCAGATAGAGTGCTAGAGTCCTGGGTAGCTGCATATCTAGATAGGAAGGAAGATAGGTAGGCAGGTAGATACGTAGATAGTCAACGTTATTGACAAGTCCTGCCTTCATAGACAGACAGGTAGATAGGTAGGTAGACAGATAGATAGATAGAACGTGGTAGATAGACAGATAGATCCGACGGACAGACGGACAGCGAGACAGACAGACATTTTGACAGACAAAGACAGACCTGCAGCTAGACAGTTAGATAGCCGGTTAGAGAGAGAGAGAGAGAGAGAGAGAGAGAGAGAGAGAGAGAGAGAGAGAGAGAGAGAGAGAGAGAGAGAGAGAGAGAGAGAGAGAGAGAGAGAGAGAGAGAGAGAGAGAGAGGGAGGGGGGGGGGGGAGGGAGGTTGGCAGAGAGAGATATAGATAGACAGATCGTGTTTATTGTAACGTACATGTCTATTGGAAAGTAGGGTCAGCAGCAACATGGCATCCAGCTTCCCTCAATGCCCTAATTAGGACTTCAGATTCGTCGAGGTGTTGATATTTCGCTGGATAAAACTACTTGCATTTAACTGAGTAGGTGTGGGATGCCGCCTAATTCTCAAACCCTGAACCCAACAGAAACTCCTTATGCCCTAAACCGTAAAATTTCGATCCTTAAAAGCACTTAGTTCTAGACACCAAATCCCCAAAGTCACAAACACCAACGATCAACATCCACAGAGAAGCAGATACTACGACTACCACCACTGCTGCTACTGCCGCTACAACTTCCAATCCCTGAGCCACATTCCCTGGCAGAGGCACATTGGCCGCTTGGCTCAATGCACGCTCTTCGGCTGCACGACGGAAACCTAGAAGCCACTGCTAGATACTATGTTGCTGGCTTTGGGCCCTGTGTAAACTTTCACATGAAACCGCGAGGAAGACACAAACAGACCTAAATCAACCCCGCGAATGACTTTGGCAAGCCCTCCGACCCACAGCCTAACTTAGGGGTACCTAGAAATATTTTTTGATTTTTGGTTATTATAATCCCTAAGAAACAGCTAAAATTTCAATTTTTGCTGGGGTTCTAAGTTCAGTATAGCTAAGCCTCAGTCCCCAACCCCGAACCCCAAATCTTAGGGCTTGGGGCCAAGGCCCCGAGCACTGAACACCTCCCAGGTGCCGCTTTAGCCGCAGAGCTTCGCCTACGTTCTGCCGAGGATGACGCTGCGGCGGTGCTCCGACTTCGCGGGGAGCTGCTCAGCTTCCTTAAGGACGAAATAATCCCTAAAAGGGTTTAAGGTTCATATACCATATAGGGATTCATAGTATACGGGTATAATTCGGGGCCCTACTTTTAAGGGTCATTTGGTCCTTCAGGTTGGATTTGGTGCAAGGGGTGGGGGTAGTGTCTGAGGCTTAAGTAGCCGGCTTAGGTTTTTAGTTTAGGTGGAGGGTTTAAGGTTTACGGTTTAGGCTCTACGGCTTATAAGGTTACTTCGAGGATCGCTATAAGATTCTATACGGGTACTATTTCAGTCTTCAGGGCTGCAAAACTTGAGGATGTGACTTATTGTGTAGGGTTTTGGGCTTTTGTTTCCGGTTTATTGGTTCTGAGTTTACGTTTCAAGGTTAGGTTTTAGGATTCAACTTGATTGGCTTTTGCCAGGGTTTCGGATTCAGGGGTTGAGGTTTCGTAGCAGCTGAGCTGAGTCTGCTTTCGAGCTCAGGGTAGGGACCACTTGATCAAGCGGGACTGCGGCCGATACGGTTGGAAAACGTAGAACTGTCTTGTAGCTTTGAAGCAAGAGCCGTGACACCTAATATTCGATGGGTCCTGGGCTTCAGATTCAGTTTTAGGGCTCATAAGTGTCCGGTACAGATTTCAGTCTTGGTTTGCGAATGTCTGGTTGTGCGTGCGCATGTGTCGACCTCCTTGTCAGTAATTTAATATTGCTAGTCACAGCCAACAGCCTTTTTTGCGATCTATTCTCTGGTATCTTTTGCATTGCCAGTGGGCAGGGAACATTAATTAATTGAGGCTATCTGGGCCTTTTTCCCGATCAGCCAACTTATAACCTGAAACCTACCTTAGGGACGAAATGATCCCTAAAAGGGTTTAAGGTTCATATACCATATAGGGATTCATAGTATATGGGTATAGGGCCCCTACTTTTAAGGGTCATTTGGTCCCTTAAACCTGGCCGGGGAATCCTGGAAACCCTGCCTGTCCCAAAGGGTCCTATGTACTGTTATGGGGAATACTTCCCCAAATCATAATAGTAATTCCTAATATAGAAACCCTACATTCTACCATATCGGTACTTTGGACCCTTTGGGTGTTTAAGGCTCCTTCCAGAGCTATTCAAGTCGTCTGCCCTGAGCCCCAATCCTTAATCTCTGTATGGGTGGTGGTCAAAATTATGGACCCTTTTGGGTACCCTAAATATTAGGTGCCGTACCATAGTAAGGACCCAAAAAGGGACCCTACTTTTAACAACCACCCATATACTCTAAACCTGAATCCCTTAACCTAAGCCCCAAAGCCCTAAACCCTAATCTACCCTTCTAGCTGGAGGAAGTTCGTCTTGTGGCACATGGTCGGAGGCTCGCTTCTTGTAGGGTTTGAGGGGAGAGGGTTTACGGGTGTAGGGATCTAGGGCTTCCGGGGTTTAGGGTTTAAGGGTTCAGGGCTTGCGGCTTTAGGAGTTTAAACTTGAAGGGTTGAAGGGTTTCTGAGGCTGTACGAGAGCATCGAGGTTTGGGGATCAAGTGCCTGGGATGCGTGCGATTTCAGAAGAAGCGGTGGTGGTGATTATACCGCATGTTTGGAGAGTGTGATGCTACATGTCTAGAACCGCGATCGTCCATTGGATGTCCGTCTTTTCGCCAATAAGAGTGGTTGGACATTTTGAAGTGCACAACCCTGCGCCCTCAACCCCTAAACCCTATAGAAAGTCGGCAAAAAATAAAGACAACTGAAACGAAGCCTGTAAGAGCCCGCACAGAGCTTAAGACTTCTTCTGCTGCAACATCCCGAGTCCAAGACAGATCTTATAGGGTCTGCCATGCAAAGGTTTCTATGGGGTGACCTAGACCCTGTACCCTAAACTTCCCTAAACCCTACAGAACCCAAATATAAACCCTCAACCCTAAGATAATTCCTAAACGCTAACATAAACCCTAAACCCTATAAATATGAACGCTAAACCTTAAAGAGTCTGGTGTGACGGCAGGGCTGCGTCCGCTTGTGCACCGGGGGCTGCTTGCCTGGGCTCGCTTGGCCGGCAAGAGAGGCGAGATGCTGAGACTTTCGCGCGGGTGCACCGTTTTAGGAATCCTTCTTATTGCAGTAGTAGCCAGAAAGTTGGAACATCATTCTCCTCATGCCCTTCAGGTAAAGTATAAGGGATCCTAGCACAGAAGTCCTTTACACGGAAGGTTCTTTTGGGTCAAGAGGATCCTTCGTATTAGGTTCTTTCAGAAGTCCTTAAACAGAAGGGTTCTTCGTGGTTAAAGTCGAGCTGAGGGTGTAAGTTTAGGCTGCTGGGCTTTCGAATTTGAGGTTTCGGGTTCGGGCTTCGGGAAGTTCAGGCTTTGGGTTCTGCCTTTTTTACCTATAGTCTCCATTGTAGTTCCTTTTCTGGGTTAACCAGTTTTATGGTTAGGATCCTATAATAGAGTTTTCGGGTACTACAATGGAGACTATAGGTAGTATACCTTTTGGAATGGAGCACAGAGTTTATCAGTGTAGGGTGTAGTTTGAGATGCATAGGTCAACGATGCGGCATATGTTCGCAGCCGTACTGGAAGCAGAGAGCTGGAACAAGTTCTAAATATTTGCAACCCGAGGTTCCCAGTAGTACACTGTTTCCATTCTGCTTCCTGGAATCAGTAGGAAAAAAGGTATCCTTATGACTAAGGGCTGCTGGGGAACCTAGTACCATGAACCCCACACGCCCCAAAGGCCTAAAACAGGAACCTTCACCTCCCAGCCTCACAGAGTAAAGGGGAGTGCATTGGAGTATCGGAACTATAGGGTTTAGGGTTTAAGGTTATACCTAATCCAGGCGCCAGAAAGCGGACGGCCATGGTCCTCTTGAGAGGCAGGGAGTACTATGAGGTCACTGCAAGGATTACCACAGCATTAGGGTACTACTATATAGACTGTCGGGCTACTGTTTGGGTGCTGTAAGGGCCTTAAACAGAACAGGGTTTTGGGGCATATCATATATCAAATTTGTAATGAAAGTCTTGGCGATGTCTTCAGGCCCCTATATTACGACTACAAATAGGCCCCTTGATTATTACGACCACAAGGGTTACGAGAAGGTTACTGTAGGGGCACTATATTAGCGGACGTCCGCGGATTTTGATGCCTAGAAGCCCAGGTACCGACACGGTAGTTTACTGTCCCATGAGAACCACATATCGTATATGTCATTACATGCGTATCTGGGCTTCTTGACTTCCTTCATGCAGGTTGTAGAACCCAAAGGGTCCTAGGTACCGTTCTGGGCGGATACTTATACTTTCCCAAATCATGATAGTAATTCCTAATATAGAGAACCTACATTCTACCTTAGCAAGCTGAGTTTATAGACTTTTTCGGATAATGGAACCCTCTTAAAACTGAAAGTTTACACTTTTTTGAGGCTTAAAAACTCGGCACCTAAGCTACTATCTAGGTACTTTAGACCCTTTGGGAAAGCAGAGGGGGGCTCCTGAGATGAGTCGCTACTGTGGTTCGCTTTCACGTTTTGGGGTGTGGGTTCCAGGTTTTGGAGTTTAGGGCTCACCTTAAGCCTGAAGAACCTACCTTTATAAGGACTTATATAAGGAAATCATAATAGGGAACCCTAAAAAGGTAGGTTCTTCAGGGTTAAGGCAGAGTTTAGCGTTTAGGGCTTCAGGTTTTGGGGTTGTGCCTGGGGGCACAAGACATCCAACTTGGAAGGTAGGGCTTCAGGAGATCAGGCACTATCCTAAACCGTAATCCCCTGAACCGCAGCCATAAACCCTCAACCCTGAACCTTCTAAACCACGTCCCGCTGCGTCAGGTAATCAATATAGATGTCTCTCAAGGGTCGCGGAAGCCGTGTCGGAAATCTTTCTGGACCGCTTTAGAGTTCAAGGCAGACTAGGGAACAATTTCGAAGAGTGTCCTTACTCGTGGGGTGTCTGTGAGGTTTCTAGAAGGACTTTATGAGGGAATCAATAAGGCCTCTGTCTATAAGGTTCAACATAGACCTCGGAATAGTTGGTACCAGTGTCCCGTATAGACACCCCATGTCTTACAGACCCTACCCTACCTATGTAATCACAGTGTAATGTACCGACAGACCTGATTGATTTTAGATTAGTTAACGCTCCTACGCTACGAATTTCAGGATCGACACCCCTACTCCGCAACGAGGCTCGGATCGAGGTATCCAGGCCGCCTGTCTCTTCGCGTGGCATCGGAGGCATGGGATGGGTGCTTTCGGGGTGGCAATAAGTATAATTGCGTATTATGTTGTTTTTGAGGGTTCCTTGGTAGAGCAGACTGTGCCCCAGAACCCTACGTGCTCTAAGTGTTAAGGCCGGGCTTATGTAATGTTGAGGTTTTAGAGCTTACAGTCTAGGGCTTGGAGTTAAAGGTGCCTTTCCGCGCTGTCACTTGGTGATCAACCTTGCCTGGGCAGCCAAAGCAGAAGAACCAGCAGTAGTAGGGTTTGTCTAAGTAACAGAAGTTGATGCAGCAGACGTGGAATAAGTATTTCAAAAGTTCGAGGCGGAGGAGCCGTTAGTAGGAGTGGCAGCAGCAGTCGTAGCAGTCGTCGGGGTTCATTGGCAGTGGTTGTCGTGGTCGTTGTGGTGGTGCTGCTGCTGGGGGTGTGATAGCTGTGGTCATCCTGGCAGAGTAGCACTTGTCGTGCTAAAAGTCGTGGTCTCGTCGTCGTCGCCGTAGTAGTAAGTAGTATTTAGTGGCTGTGATAGTGGCAGTGGCAGTGGAAGTGGTGGTGGTCGGGGTAGCGGTAGCGGCAGTAGTAGTATGTAGCTCGCAAAAACTCACATGCAACCATCCACAAATGCGTGGAGAACAGATCATTTGGCAGCAACCCCTAATAAACCCTGCGAGCCTCGTGACAAATCCTTGGACACCCTTGCCAAAGCCAGACTCTTCGTCTGGCGGCGGGTTGCGTACCTGGCACAAGTCACACTTGCGAAGCCGGACAAGGATGACACTTCGATTCGTCGGAGTAGCTGGGTGTCCAACTTGTCAAGAATTTCGGCTTTTAGATACTCCTTCCACATGTTAGAGCCCCTTTGGGTTGCAAGAAATCAGGACACGTAGGATCTGCTGTGCGGGCATCCGGTGAGGGCTTCGAGATTTGCGTTGGGTTTGCCACGTGTGCCACTTGGCTTTGCGGCCTCATTCCCTCATTTTCGTTACTTGGAGGTTCATGGGTAGTTATAAGTAGGGTTACAAGTGGGGTATAACGATACTTACAACCCATAATTATTTGGGGGACTTCTGGCATCACTTATACCTACCCACGAACCTCCAAGTAGGCCCTAAACCCTATACCCTTGTAGAATCCCTAGAGATCCCTTTAAAGGGACCCTTAAAGGAACCCTTATAACTACCCATGAACCTCCAAGTATGGCCCCCCCCCCGAAGAATCCTGAACTCCTCTGTGTTTGGCGCAGACTTGAATCTGAGGTCTCTGGACTTCGGGGCCCGAAGTCCTAAACCCCAAGCCCCAAGCCCTAAACCTTTCAACCCTAAACCCTAAACCTCTACCCTAAACCGTAAACCCCTATAGCCCTAAACCTGAAACCCCACGCCCTCATAGGAGCTCCTTCGCGGTGCACTGGCATCCTGGATAGAGGCCAGAATTAAAAAATGGGGATTCTAGGACCTTTTTGTGGTACCCTAAAAAATACGTGCCGTATTATCATAGGGGCCCCAAAAAATGGGCTTAGGGTGTAGGGTTAAGGGTTTTAGGGTTTTAGGGCTTAGGGTTTAGGGTTTAGGGTTTTAGGGTTTAGGGTTTTAGGGTTTTGGGTTTAGGGTTAGGGTAATATTGACAAGCACCCTTGTATACATACCTTCAGCCAGCTTCCCAGCTTAAGCAAAGCATTGACACCATGCAACTGGGGAAGCCCAGAAGTTTGTCTGGTACCCTAAGGGTCCATGTACTCATACAGTTAAGGGTCCTTTAAGGGTACCATAAGGGATCCTTTAAGGGATCTATAAGGGATCTATAAGGGTTTAGGGTATAAGGGTCCATGTACTCATATAGTATATACATTGGCCTTAATGTAGTCCCTATATAGGTACTTTGGGGCTCATGTATCTCTATATGGATACATGGACCCTTAGGGGTATGGGGCCTGCTCGATAGCGGTCTCTGCGATTCCTGGTGCTATCTGTGCAAGCTACACAGAGAGATTCCAAAGCGCAAGCCCTAAATCCTAAACCCTAACAGGTCTGACTTAAGTATTCCGAGAAGCGAGTCCTTTGGCGACCTCCATCCCCTTGAAGGTTTAATTTATTATATTACTATATTATATAAACCACTCTTCGGCTGAAGCCGTACAGTGCGAGATTTTGCAACATAAGACTGTGTGCAAGCAGCCTGCGCATAGACTCCTGAAACCTAGGTAACAGGAAATACCATTCCCCTGGGCTCCTTCTTATGAGATTACTACAGTATAATTACTCCAAAAGACTAGTTGCTATGTTCCCAAAATTACGAACATGTTGCCGTCCTCACCACAAAAGAGATGGCTCGCCACACTCTGCACGTGGTAGCCTGTGGAGGCAATGTGGCATCATCATCGCTACCCCAAAAGCACACAATTAGGGCTTGGGGTTGAGCGCTGGGGGTTTAGGGTTTAAGGTTTAGGGTCCAGGGAACGAAGCATCACACACGCAGGATGGAAGCCTCTAGTTCTCAGGACCCTCAAGCTCCATCATACATACCCAACGCTATTGAAATTGCCGTACATCACAGCTTAGCACATCCTGTGAACCTGGAAAAGTCGAAGGCACACCGATGGCAAGAAGGTCACCGCGTTGCTAAAGCCGCCCTTCGAGGGCCGCATGTCTTCATCGGACTTGACTCATTGAGGATTGAATTTCGGGTCTCGACGTTGGCATTCGTGTGTTAGGCCCATGTGTTGGGCTGGATCTGTTTGCACATGAGACTGAGATGTCGCTGAGGCAAGTGGCAGATGCAGCCGGTTGGCATGTGGCTCTGCTTGATGGAACAGCTTCAGACTAGGTACTGCCATGTAGGGTTTAGGGGTTGAGGGTTTAGGGTTTAGGGAGGAATAGTCGTGAATGTGCACAGGGGGCCGCTAGCAGCATCCAAACAAAATCGTTAAACACGCTCAAGCCTCAACTTTTGTTGCGCTGACCCTGAACTCTAAACCCAAAGTCCTTAAGCCCCTTAAACCCTTAAACCCCTAGATTCTATAAAGAACCCTAATAAAGGCCCAAGGTTTCTTAATCAGATTCCTACATTAAGGGTTTCTGGGTCAACCGCCGACCTCCGCCCCCAAAGGCTGACTAATATAGGGACCTTAAATAATATACTCATAGCCCACATTAGGGGACTTATAACCCCACTTTTAACTACCCATGAACCTCCAAGTAAACCCTAAACCCTAAACCCCTATAGTCACGGAAAGGAGCTTTCAAAACAAAACTTTATAGAATCCCTACATGTGCTGTTAAGGGGACCCTTAAAGGAAGCCTACTTGTAACTACCCATGAACCTCCAAGTAAGGCATCCCGTCATCAGCGCCTCCATCTGCTTGGCCGACATTTCTGGAGCTGGCAAGGACGGCGCAGGGGCCACGAGGCCAGAAGTCGGGTAGGAACGGTTTATTAGGGTTTTGGGTTCAGGGTTTTTGGGTTGGGTTTAGGGTTTGAGCAGGATAATTACTCGTTGTGCCCTTCAATGCAACTTGCTGTAGGCGCCTTAAGAACTAGACGGGCTTTTTGGAGATACCGCGGCGTACGTCTAATCGACTGCTGGGGGATACTTATACTCATGATAGCTTCTTACTTAGGGGTGAAGAGAGGGTAAATGGAGGGTATGGGTCATTCAGAGAAAGGCAGCCCGGCACTCGTATGCTGTGCATCCCATACCGTAGCCGTACGAGGGGTCATAAAGAAGGCTCTGAAACTTTAAAGCGAGCTTCTGCTACCTAGGCTATCCTAAACACCCTAGACCCCTAAACCCCTAAACCCTGAACTATGCAGCGAGGTGGTAGCTGCTGCACTTCAAGCTTTCTTCTTGCAGCGCGACCAGAACGCGGTAGCCAAGCCGCGGTCCAGCAACACCTTCCGCGCACAGCAAAAAAACTTCAGGGCTGTAAGGGTTTAGGGTTTAGGTGTTTTCAGCGTTCTTCATGAAAGAACTCCAAGGGATTGTGAACACTATGGCTTTTGTCAGGGTTTTCAAGGGTGCTCAAGAAAAGACACATCCGTGGGGCTTTATCTCTTCAGATTCTTTGCTCCTGGAATCTCCTCAGCTTGTGGTCTGTCGGTGAAGATTCCCTAGGTTTAGGGTTTAGGGTTTAGGGTTCTATTCCCGACCCTTGCACTTCACTGCTGCTCGTTGGCTTCAGTTGGAGATGCTAGTGAAGCAATGGATGAGTGTTTGTGAAGAGGAGAAGTATATTTTGAGGCTTGAACAAGGTCTCAGACAGGCAGTCGACACCGCCCGGTTTGGGATTACTTCAAAACCAAGAGACCTCAGCCCTATTTCGACGGTGGTTATAAGTGGGGTTATAAGTCCCCTAATATAGGTTATAAGTATATTTACCTTATAACCTTACTTATAAGTACCCCTGAGCCTCCAAGTAACCCTCTCAAACACAAAAGTGTTGGTCCGAATCTGGTATTGCACGGTTCTAACACTATCCGAAGGCAGCAAAAGGATCTGTAATTTATAGATTTGCTGGGGTTCGAGTGCCCAGAAGGATCGCATCCCCTCGCACTTCGAGCTTAGGATTGAATGGGCCAGTAAATTCCAACGCGTTCGTTTTCCGTGAGCTTTCTGAGCCAACCTGAACCAAGTTTGCCGCCAGAAGCCCAAAGCCCTAAAGCCCCTAAATCCCTAAATCCCTAAACCTGAACAATTCGAGGTTGCCGCGATGTTTACCCACTGGCATCGGGTTCTGCAGAATGTCTCGAGTCGACGGGCTCTGGGTGAGCAGGAGGCCATGTGGGCTGCAGCTGTGGGTTGAGGTTTGCCTATTCCGGAATTACTATATCGGTAGTTGTCAAAATTAGGGTCCTTTTTGGGTACCCTGTATAATAGGTGCCGTATTATACCAGGTACCTGAAAGGGGACCATAATTTTGACAACCACTCAAGTCCCTAACCGAACGTAGATACATGGGCCCTGGGCGTTTGGGACTGCTGAACAGTTTGGGGTATATTGGGGTATAGGGATACAGGCCATTGAGATCAGAAGCCGCTAGCACTGAGGCATTCATTGATTTTCTGACCATGACACAACCATTGTAACATACAATCTTGAGTCACCACACTATTGCCCTCGTAGAAAGTCATAGCGAAACATACCTTAATCCTCACTCTCATTACTAGCTAGGCCGGTACATAATGAGATGTAAGGTTCGGTTGGGTGTTGCGTTCTCTAAACCCTAAACCCTAAACCCCGGGCATTTTGCACTGCACCTGACCATAGAAGCCCAAGCGTCTACTATAGAAGCCTAAAGAGCTGCCATGCAATATTATTCTTGGGTTTCCTTCTTGTTTGTACTACAATATCATATACCCCAAACCTGGACCCCAAAAATATGTAGAATAAACGCCTCTTATGGTTTTTCGCCATTAGTTTACGTACTTTTGAGGGTTTAGGGAACCCTGTTCTGCTCATTAAGGCCCCTAGCATCTACTTTGCCTTCGAAGGCCGAGGCTCTAGAGCCTTAACATACGAGCCTAAGCAGTTATTACCAGTACTACGGCTGATGGACAAAATCCTGCATTACCCAGTATAAGGAATATACCATAGTTCCCATAGTTTAGAGTCTTTAGGGTCATGCAGGATTTGTCCATCAACAGTATTTTGGGCCAAACCCAACTCTAATTATCAAGGCGCCCCCCAAGTAACATTATTTTCGTCTCGGCCAATGTTCGTTCAGAGTGTTCGGGATCAGGGGTACGAGGGCTCGGGATTGTTGTTGGGGTTCAGGTCTTCAGGTTCATAGCCCGGGTGCAAGATCTCGGGATAAAAGTTCGGTGATTGTCGTGGGTCGGGTGCCGGGTATTGATCAAAGGGCTCAGGGTTCTGGATTCGCAGCTGACGCTCTCATACCCACTCCGAAGTGCTTCTTTGCTTCTTCTGGCTGCTAGTGGTGTGGTGAGAGGGTTTCGGCTTCGTCGCCTTCTCAAGCATCGATGGGCACCTCACATGGGTAGTTCTCCAAAATCGCATCTTTTTCCCGAAGATAGTACGGCACCCTTATACAAAGGACCTTAAAACGGTACCCTAAATTTATAGAACTACCCACAGAGCCTATAAAGCCATAACTCGGCTCAGCCTCCGAACTCCCCCACGGGCGGAAGGCATCGCTGCTCTCCCGACTTCACCGGCGTGGGTGCCCTGGCATGAGATGTTTCGTCCGGAATAAGACCCTAAACTTCCAGACTGGCTCTAAACTTGAAGCCCCACCCCGGGGACAAGAGCCAGCATGTGCTTGCGAGTGTTATGCATGCACGCAACGTGGAGACAAGTCTAGAGTGTCAAATGGCCGAGGTTTGCTTTCCGGGTTGGTTTGTTTAGTGTTTCAAGCATTGTTCGTTGATGGTTTCAAGTCGAGGGGGTGTCGATGTTCTTGGATTCTTGGGGGTCCTGTGGTTTTGGTTTTGGTGTACTTTGTTTGGCCTTTTTCCCCGCGTTCTGAATCAGTGGCTCGTGCTGCATCGTGGCCACGGGTCTTGGTGTTTCTGCTGCTGGCAAAGCTGCGGCAGATTCGACCAGTTGGATCCACCACTGCTCCAAATTCAACTCGTCGAAAAGAGCAAACACCAGACTCTGGAAGCTGGAAAGGAAAGGAATCAAATCGGAGGATCAGCCAGAACGATCTGCAACTGGTGAACCCTGACGAGGTTCGTATATAAGCCTACTTATCTAAACCCTAAACCCCTAAACCCAGCTCGGCAATAATACGGCATCAGCCCAGCTCTGAATACGGAACCCAAACCCAAACTAGTCCGCCTTCGGGGGTGGAGGTCGGTTGTTGACCCAGAAAGCCTAAATGTAGGAACCTGGTTAAGAACCTTGAGATTGTATTAGGGCTCCTTATACTCATCCTAACATATTGGGGTTACAGGGCCAGGCAGATTCAGGTCAATGTTGTACCTGAAGCCTTGCTATTTGGGCTCTTGGTATAGACACCCTGCAACCAACAAAAATCCAGAACAAAAAACTCCTACAGAATATGGGGGGAGCCCTTAGAGACTTAGAGTCTAGAGGATCCCTTAAAGAGCGAGTTAACGAATCCTTATGGGGGAGCCCGTCGTTGGTTAAACCTTCCAGAAAAATAATACAGAACCGCATATACCCTATAAACCCCAAACCCTCAACCTCAAACCCTAAAGCCTAGAAGCCCTAAGCCTCAAACCCGAAACCCTATAAACCCTAAACCCTAATAAACCCTATAAGCCCTAAACCCTAAACCTTCCAGGCGTATTTTGGCCGCCTTGGTAGCAGCTGGTAGCCGCCTGGGAGCAGCCCGGGAGGTGCTGCAACCTCGGTGTTTAGGGCTTAGGGGTTTAAGGGGTTTCGGGGTTTAGGGCTTAAGGTGTTGATCTTTGTTTGTCGTCACATGTTTTTTGTGCGGGGGGATGGGTGGAGTTTCTTGGGTTAAGTAGATTTTGTCTTTGGTGGGTTGTTGTAGAGTTTAGAGAGAAGGCTCCGTCACTAAACAGGTTCAAAGAGGCTCTTTCGGTCTCCATACCCCATGTTGTGCTAAAGGATAGCGTATTGCACGGCTATATCAACCTCAAGATCCAATCCCCGAAGCACTCTTCGAACCCGGATTCCAGTGGACGGGCATTGTAGAGTAAACCAAAGCAGTACTACTGGCCCTCAACCCTAAAAGCCATCAAATCCCAGAGCCCTACTCCGACAGAATCAACTAAGTACACTAGAAGCCAACTGAGGCGCAAACCAAAGAAACAAAGCATTATCAAATTTGCAATTGTACATTCTGCTGCAACCCTAAACCCTAGACCCCATGCAAATCCTATACCCCCTCCCACCAAAACCCTAGACCCCAAAAAGAAAGCCTTGGGAGGTATTCGAGGCCTGGGCTCGCCGCCGTCGCGCCGTGGCTGCTGGCCGCCGTGCCGCACGGCGCCGGTGCGCCGAAACCACGGGTGCTGCAGCGCCTCGGTGTACCCTTAGGCCCTTACCTGTGGCTCTAAGGACTAATATTTGGAGGATGTTGTGAGCCTGAGCTCAAGGTGTACCTGAAGCTCCAAAAGTAGGAATGGCCCAACACCTTAGAAAGGCAATTATTCTACAAACTCTTAGGGTCCAGGTAAGACTTGGCGTCTAGAGGCCTCTAAGAGGAGAGTTTAGGGTTCAGGGTTGAAGGTTGTTGAAGGAAGGGCTCTGAGAGGTCTTTCAGGGTTTTTTTCGGGTTAAGGTTGATACTTGTAGTGCTCTCAATTACGATACATCTTCGGTTCAAAGCATGTGATATCACATCCTGCTGTTTTGCAGGGTTTAGGCCTACAGAAACTGGGATTCATGACTGGATTTCTTTGACTTTCTGCGGTGCAACCCCTCAACTTTTGGTTCAAAGCTCTTAGTGTCCGGATGATGTCTGCCTTCCCTGCTTCGGAATGCCCCTGAACTGTGGCCGGCTCCTTCTTCTGAATGTACTCTGATAGCCACGAAGACCCACTGAGTTTACAAGTCGCACTTGTGTCAACCTCATGTTGATTACTGCTGAAGATGCGGTAGTTGTGGAGAATGCAGTGTCCGGACGTGCTGAGCTGGGAACTGCTCATAGAACCCTAAACCCGAAGCCCCAAGCCATGCCTCATAGACTACAATAGTCACCGCAGGACCTGCACGCAGTGTCGTGAGCCATGTTGAACCCTTGTTTGCTCCAGAACCAAACCCTGCAAACATTCCTAAACCCTAAACATGCTAAGACCGTAAACCCTTAGCCCCAAACACCAAACCCGAATACCCCAAACCCTAATACCCTAAACCCCAAACACCAAACCCGAATACCCCAAACCCTAATACCCTAAACCCCAAACCCCTTTACAATGTACTTGCTTGCTTCAAGGTCGCCGCAGTATTTTCTGAGTGGCACAGAGCAAGTGCCTCGGTACAGAAGTGGCGACTACTCCAGGACGGCCAGGGTTTGGCTGAGGCCTTCAAACGAAGATCCGGGTCCAGGGGTTTAAGGTTTACGTAAGGTTTAGGGGTTTGAGGTTTGGGGCCAGGGGAGGTTTGTTTAGGTATACTTTCTTTATTAGAGCCTAAAGTAATTAAAAAACTGTTTTGCAGGTTGAGGTAGTTAAAGATGTTCAATATGGTGAAGGCCCCTGGGCTAGTAATCATTTAGAGGCTTTTGGGGCTGCGGGCTTCAGCAGGCCTCCGGTGTCTTAGGGTTGACAGCTCCCGGGGCTTCCGCAAGGAACACCTAAATCGCGCTTGGGGTTACATCTGAGAACATACCCTGCACCCGACAGTTTCCGGGCGAAGGTCAGTCTATGGTGAGGTGGCCAAATGCCCATGAGTAAGGCCGTGCCACTGAAACCCTGTGTCTTGAACTCCTATGCTCAAAACATGAAGCCCTCCGGCACAGTACCGATCGCAAGCCCACGGCCCTCAAACCGGCACGACATGTAGTCGCAGTATATACTATATGAGTACATGGACCCTTAGGGTACTTGTGCTCCAGACCCGTGATTCCAAACCCTAGACTGCAAACTTATACCTTAGAAGCTGCCCCTACCCTGTAATAGTGGTATATTAGGAATATATTAGGGCCCTAATATAATCCTATATAATCCTTATAGTCACTATTACAGGGTGGGGGCCCCTTCTAACTTATACCCTGAAGCCCCGCCCTACGCCCTCCTGAAAACCCGAAGTCCCTGCAAATCCTGAATCCCTGAGCCCTTTATGGCGTAGCAGCCGTTACAGCAACCCTGAATCCTAAACCCTTCGCCCTGAAAGATACACCCTGAAGCCTGAAACCCTGTAAGGTAAAGCCCTAAACCCCTATAAACTCCCCATACCTTAAAACATTAAACCCTGAACCCTGAAATTCTAAAACCCTAAATCCTAAAACCCTAAAACCTCAAGCCAGAACCCTAACACCCTAATCCCGAAAAAGTTTCCGCAGGATCGCCAAGCTTGCGTGGCAGATCTCCGAGATCGAAGCCTGCGTCTCTTGGACCGGCGAGGTGCCCTTTTGTGGTTTAGCGTTTAGGGTTTTAGGGCTTTAGGGTTTGGGCTAGGGTTTGAGGGTTCAGGGTTTAGGGTTTTAGGGTTCAGGGGTTAGGTTTTAGGGTTTAGGGTTTTGTCGGTTTGGATTCTGCTAGGGTTCGTTGAGGAAGCTGTATAAGGGTTCCTTCACAATACCTTACACTCATCTTACATACTCCTTTGAGGGTCTAGTCTTTGGATTGTTTCATGTGGAGGTTCTTTGAGCGGTTTGTTTATGGGAACTGGCAGGGATTCATTCGCGTTTGGGTTTGGGCCAGGGGGCAGAGTGTGAGTTTGCCATATTGGTTGTTGGCTCGCTTTCAGAAGCGAGAGAATCTATAATTCTTCCAGTTGGCTTTCGGGCTCCCAACATATGGGGTGTTGTCAAAATGATGGTCCCTTTTTGGGTCCTTATTATCATACGGCACCTAATATTTAGGGTACCCAAAAAGGGGCCATAATCTTGACAACTACCCATGCATACGCCATTATATGTTAGACAAGCTACTGTCGAATAAATGCAACAGACAACTAGGCCCTACGACCAGAAACTGGGACATGTAAGGCTACGGCAAGCGGCCGTAGAGTTAAGACCCCAACCCAAAAGGCGATCCCTAGAACCTGATATCCTGGAGCCCAAAGCCGGTGCCAAACCCTACACCCCCAAACCCATGCCTGGCTGCTAGTCGTATTGAGGTAACATGACCCTAATGGGCCCATGTACTCATATAGTATATACATTGGCATTAATGTAGTCCCTACAAAGGTATACTTTGGGGCTCGTGTATCTCTATATGGGCACATGGACCCTTAGGGATGAGGCAACATGAGTGCGAGCCTGCTCTCAGACCAGGGTTTTGCTGTTTGAGGCGTCAGGGATCGAGGCTTCCTTTAGGGTGTAGGGTTTAGGGTTTAGGGTTTGGGCTTGAATCCCATCAAGATCCTTGAGACTGAGCTCGTCGTTTGAACCCGTGTTTTCGAGCAAAAGCAATACCCCTGCCCAAAGTTCGGATCCTACTGTACATGGCAAGGCCTCCAACTATCTGACTGAATAACCAGCAACCAGCAGGCATCGGAGAGTGTCCAGCATTGCTGCAGTCGGCGATGTTGGCTTGGGCGTAGCCCGGCTGTCATTTGAAGCGAATACTTAAATCAAGGTGGGTGCTGCGGCGGCAAAGGAATCACCAAGCGGTGCATAATGTGAGACGATTATTGATTATCCCTAAGGGTCCATGTACCCATATAGAGATACATGGGCCCCAAAGTACCTATATAGGGACGACATTAAGGCCAATGTATATACTATATGAGTACATGGACCCTTAGGGTATTGTTTGCCATGCCCCCAGGCCCTGCTACTGCCCTCATGTTGTTTCATGTGTTGCCCTATGCACGCAGGAAGGAAGTCAATGACAGATCTGACACGCTCATTCCATATGTATGCCTAGACCTACTAAACCCTACTTTTTTGTAGGTTCTTATTATAAACCCTAATATGGGATTTATAGGGACCCTACAAAAAAGTAGGTTCTGGTAGGTCAAGGTGTAGCTTATCAGTTTCACTGATCCTGTAACTACGCAAGAGTTGTGAGTGGAACCGTGGCCATGCGTCCGAACCATTGCGGGTAGGGTGTGCAATTCCGATGGACATATGCACTGCTGCATATGTATGCTTATATCTGCATATACACGGCCACATGCATGGTCTATTTGGTGTGCAGTTTGCGGGGATGTCTCGTTTCTGGCTGACGAAGTTGGACTGTGTGGAGAATTCACGTACGTCTATATGCACATGCGTGCCTGCCTACATAGACAGATTGTTAGGTAGACAAATAGACAGATTCATAGGTAGACGATGGCTACTACATAGGTAGATAGGTAGAAAGATGGATGATTTCATGTTGATACTTGGAGATAGCCAGATGTAATTATAGACAACGTTAGGTATTGATGCGGTGGTGGGAAACAGTCTCGCTTGGCACGCACGTACACGCGTACATCCATCCGTCCATCCATCCATCCCTCCGTCCATGCATGCATGCACACAAGAAAACATATGTCACAGATCGATACAGAAACTGCGACAGGGACGGGGACAGCATGTGTACATATACATATACACACACATACATTTATGTATACGTGCGTGTGTATATGTGTATATGTCACATATACTATATGCATACCTTTGTAGGGTTACTCTGCAATCAGCTGGATTCATGTGTGCACTGAGTTCACTGCTTGTAGTCTTACCAACTTGGGTATCGCACTTCAGAAGCAGCGCACACACACAGAGGCTAGTCGTTCGGGAATGTGACTGTTTACCACGACTTTGGATGTGGTAGGCCTGCATGTATGCCCATTCCAGTCATATAGATACGTCGACAGACAGGTATAGGTCTCTTACGACAGCCGAACTATTGTCCAGGGGTACATTTACACTTTAATCATATGTACGTACACCAAATCTTGTCAGTATTGTATTTGTTATGTACTGATGTCCGTGTCTCCTCTACGCGATGCTGCAAGGAAGGCAGCCTGTGGCCGCAAAGCGGCAGAGCGCGGGGCGGCTGCACTCACTGCTGCGTCGACAGCGTTGCTTCTGGGCCAGGCAGGGGCAGCGGCATGTCTATACAGGGGCCTAAATAAACTACCTATGGAGCTCCTCGCATTCCTTATTGTAGTTAACTATAGCAATTAAAAGATGCCCCAAAAATCTATTCTATTCATAAAGGCCCACATATTAATGGCAGTTTCATGCCGCATCTTAGGGCGAGTTGCATTGCTCTCTCTGTCTCTGACGAATGTTATTCGAAGTGCATCTGCTATTCCCGGGGTCTGAACGGGTGAGCAAGCATCTCTTGTGATGCCTGGACCGATGTGGGCCGGAAATCTAGAGGTCAAGGAACGACCGCGGCTCCCCACAAGGATTCGGTAGGATTCAGCGTTTAGCATTTCGGGCTCAGGTTGTGTAGCCTGTATCTGCTTGTCACACACGAGTAGACACTCAAAGGCTACCCCGCCCCGTGCATGCCAGACCCCAATCCCACAACCCCGAACCGGGAAGGCAGTTCAGGCAGGCCACTCGGCTTCATCTTTGATTTATGAGCGAAAGGAAGTAGAAGCACCCAAAACCCAAAACCCTGAACTATGTGAAGGTCATCTTCCGCTGGCGCGAGCAGTGTGCTCTCGTGCGTCGGGCCGTGAACGACCGAGAGAAAGTTCAGAGCCAAGGAGACGTCAAGGCGGATGGGACTGCGTTGGTTCGATCAGAGTTCTACAAAGGCTTGTCTATAGGACGTTCGATGAGGATTCATCAGGATTCTACAGGGGCTTTGGTACGAGCTCTACAAAAGTGTTTGGCAAAGTAACGTGTTTATATGGGATCCATCAGGGTTCTATTCAGAGTTTTTTTTTCAGATTCAGGTTCGGATTGCCCAGATCTATCTGACTATGTGGTTTCCATGTGAAGGGATGTGCGTTCAGCCGAGATGAGAAGCCGAACAAAGGGGCGGGGCTTGCCTCTGGGTTTAGCAGTATTCCCAAACCCTAAACCGTATAAGGCTGGACCCTAAACCCGAGCAGCATGCCACATTTCCATTCTTTCACTGCGTAGAGCCAGCGGCGGCTGCAAAGCGATCATACATCGCACGTTTGAGAGTGCGGGTTTAGGGTTGAGATTTATAGATTCTTAATCCTAGCCGTAGACCTGAGATCCTTACCATGAGGACCAGCACCGGGGTCTGGTTTTCTAGTCACTACAATATAGGGGCCTTAATATCCTAAATTATTTGTTTTGTTTATTGGGGGGGGGGGGGGGGGGGGGGTCCTTATAAATCATACTAACCATAAGTATTGAATGATGGCACCCAGAGCCCTGTTCTAATTATTAAGGCCCCTATATTAGCTTTGCACCCCTGGTCCAAGGCTGTCATAGAGCCATAGAAACTCCGACATTCAACGCTGTGGAGTCCGGCGAATGCAACCTCGCAGTTCTCGATCCCAGAGCTATCACATAAAGTAAAAGCCAGAAAGTTGGAGTATGATTATCCTAAACCCTTTCTGGTAAATTATAGGGTATCCTGCCCTGAAACCATATTCCAACTTTCTGGAGTTCCCTTTATTGTGGGATAGCCTATCAGATACTGTTCGATCTCGAACCCGGGCAAAATGCTTTGGCTTGTTTTAATTCAGGTCCGAGGCGTAGCATGGCAATGCTGGAGCATCATGTCGTCTGCACCTCTACACCGTGAACCCTGCCTTCAAAGTTGTGCAGGGACTGAAAAGCGTATTCCGATTTTCCCCTAGGGCTCCCCTTACTTAAATAGTAGGTTGCTAACCATAGATGATACTTGCACCCCAGTACCCTACCTAGAGACAAGGCTCGTGGCTTCAGCGCGGCTCAAGTTCTCGCGGCACAAGGTTCCCGAGCGCTCCGCGCACAGGTGGGACAGATGTGCTAGCTGTCAAGTCTTCTTCGAAACGAAACACCTACAACGAAGCGTCACGTGGGATTAGGGATAGGGTTAATACTTGGGGCGTGGGGTGGAGTAGCGCCCTTGTCGTTTCTATGATTTGGTCAGCATCTTTTGCACTTGTTCGAGGTAGGTGCGCTTGTATATAAGTTGTTCGGTCATTTCGCACCAGTCAGAAGTTGAACGATGTAACCATTGATAGTTTGCTCGGAGAGGTGACGGCCACCAATCCCATCAGTAACACTGGATTCTGAATTTTACGCAGCGCATGCAATCCGAAAGCTAAGTAAGCACACTGCGCTGGGATCGCGCGCGAGCTTCCCGTGCAGGTCTTCCTTGCCTGGAGGACAATGCCGCTTGGCCCCTAAACCCTAAACCCCTACACTTTAAGCTCGTAATCTAGGAACCTGATTAAGAAAACATGGGCCTATAACACCAAAATAGTCGGATATCATATAAGGAACCCTAATAAAGGCCCAAGGTTTCTTAATCAGGTTCCCATATTACATTTTGAGCTCTTAAACCGGCCATGGGCCTCAGCCTTGACCTTTGATTTGCTTGACTTCGAGCACTTAATTAACTTCAAAAAGGTCGCAAAATGACACTTATAACCCTACCAGAGCCATCATAAAACCCTTGCAGATCGCGTATAAGATCCTTAATGCAAGCCATCCGAGATGACCAAAAAACAGCCCAGCATCCACCTAGAGGCTCCATAGTAGTTCCTTTTTGTCGTTCATATATAGAATCCTATAAGGTAATCCCTAAAAGGAACTACTACTTGGAGGGTAGGGGGACTTAGTAAGTAGGTAGTAAGTAGACTTATAAGTACCCTAGAAGGGACCCTAATTGGGGTTATGGTACCTATAAGTCCCCTAAATAACCAGTTACTAAGTCCCCCGACCCTCCAAGTATATGGAGCCTCTGGGCAAGGCTACGTCGGCCCCAGCAGGCGGTGCTGGCGCTTTGGGCACCACGAAAGGCCGCGCGCTGGCTCAGAGCAAGGCGACCGCGCTTTTTCGGGCTCGGCTTGTGGGGATTTATAGGATGCCAAGAGGCTCCTCATATACTACCATTATGGAATTAGGTCCCTAAAGCCATAATAAGGATGGCTTTTTGGGACCTAATACCATAATGGTAGTATATGAGGAGCCTTTGGGATTCTTTGGGGTTCTATCGGGTGTTGTTGGGTTTTACGTAAGGCTTCGTCTGGGTTTATAGGGCTTGGGATCTTACATAGAGATCAGGGTCCAGGACAGGGTTTTATGGGGATTCAGTTTTTTAGCTGTGTCGGGTTCAGAGTATTGTGCTCGGGGTTGTGATTTGGGGTTTTGAAGTTCAGGACTTTGGATAGGTTTGCATCGACAGATTACCGTTAGCAGTCTGGTGTTTCTTGCTCAGCATCTGAGCTTTTAGGTTCAGAGTGTAATGTGGGGGTGTACTAAGAGGTTCATGGGAAGCTACTAGTGGGGTTATAAGTCCGTTAATATGGGTTCTAAGTATAGTTACCCTACGTATAGTTACCCATGAACCTCCAAGTACGGCCAGTAGTGCTTAGAGAAAACTTGCGTAGCCAAGTGTGGGAGCTTGACCGCTTTTGGGTCCAGAGTGCTGGCCCAGCTCAGATGTCAAACTGTCTGATTCTTAGTAGGGAATGGGGGAAAGGATACTGGGGACTACTATTGGGGATTTTATAGGGACTACTATAGGGATCCATTCCCCCATTCCCTACGAAGCACCAGAAGGCAAAGCTTGATCCTCTGTTAGGGCCTGGTAGGGTTTAGGGTGTAGGACCCTAAACCCCAAACCCTAAACCCTAACGCGCATTTTGGGGTGCGGATTTCAACTTTCGGATTCAACTGGGGTTGGTTCATGGCTTGCAATTCAGGGTTTCATGGTTTGATTTGGGGTTTAGCTCCAGGTTCAATCTGCACCAAGATCGAAGCATCCATCATGATCACTTCGAATTCTATGCATAATCTGCATAGAGCTGTGCCTGGAACCCAGGGCCCTAAATCTCACAACTGCGATAAGTTTTTCTCCTACATTAACAGGCCTTCCTCGTCAGCTCCAGATGTAACAGAAGATCCGAAGAGTTAGTAGGACCATTCCTTCGGGTTACCAAATTGTCATCATGCTATCGTAGTAGTCCCTAAACTCTAACTTTAAACTCTAAGCTCTATACAGTGTATACACCCTGAACTACAAACCCTAACCCTAAACTCTAAATTCTAAGCCCTATATACACCGTAGGTGCTGAACCCTAAACCGTCTCGGGTTCCACGGCACCTTGCTTTGGAGGTTCATGGGTAGTTATAAGTGGAGTTATAAGTCCCCGAATATGGGTTGCATGTATAGGTACCCTACATATAACCCTGCTTATAACTACCCATGACCCTCCACGTAGAAGCTAAACCCTGAACCCCTGAACCCTAAACCCCCAACCCGTATCACTACTCGTGAAACTCCAAAAAGTGCATCATTTTCTTGTAGGTCCCTTAAAGGGAACCCTATACGTTGCTAGGTATTCCTTCAAGGAACCCTACGTCATTAGGTTTTCCTTAAAGGAACCCTATACGTCCTAGGTATTCCTCCTAGGTATTCCTTAAAGGGACCCTATACGTCCATACCTGAAGGACCAAATGACCCTTAAAAGTAGGGGCCCTCTACCCATATACTATGAATCCCTATATGGTATATGAACCTGAAATCCTTTTAGGGATCATTTCGTCCTTAAGGTAGGGGTTCCCAAAGGCTCCATGTACCTTTATAGTAGATACTTAAGCCTTAAAGGGGTCCCTATATAGGTACTTTAAGGTACGTCCCTAGGTATTCCTTTTTTTAAGGGATCCCATGGCAGCTCCGTGCATCCTCCCCGGAGGCTTTTCGCATCCTGGCGCCTTATGGCACCGGGCTGAGATCTCCCTGGGGTTTAGGGTTTAGGGTTTAGGGTTTGAGGTTTAGGGTTTGGGGTTTAGGGTTTGGGGTTTAGGGTTTGGGGTTTAGGGATTGGGGTTTGGGGTCTAGGTTTTGGGGTTTAGGGTTTAGGGATTGGGCTTTAGGGTTTGGGGTTTAGGGATTGGCGTTTGGAAGGGTCTTTTGCTTAGTAGCTGAGCGGATACACTATATATCTTGGGGGGATAATACTACCCACTATAAAACTGAAAGTGTACACTTTTGGGGGCATATGAACTCGGCAACTAAGGTGCTTGTTTAAATTCTTATTCTCACTACGGGTAGTATATGGCATTATAATTAGCTTTTTTGTGATTTAATATATATTATTATGGTGATGATTATCGTTACTTGGAAGGTTCTGCGTTTTGCGCATTATTAACGGTTTAGGGTTTAGGGCTTAGGGATTATTGTGATTTGTTATTAGTAGTAGATTTTTCGTTGGTATAGGCTTATTGGGATCACATGAATCATAGGCTAATAGGATGCAGGTGATGGCGTTGGTGATGTTTGTGTGATCACTTTGCTCTTTATTGCCGGCACGGTGCTCAGGCACGTTGACTGGCACTGTGTTGCCTGGTGCATTAGTCTTTTTCACTGCTACCTTAGTTGCTTACATTCGAGGAGCAGCCTGGTAGATCGTGATTCGTGCACCTCTAATTAAGTAGTTCCCTCAGCCAAACATCCACAGCTGATGAGCCAAATTGGAGTTTTCGCGACGTGTCTTACAGCTTGTCATGTACACGTGTTCCTACAATCACCAATAGAACGGCATACACAGCGCCGATGGCAACTGTATGGCCAGTACCATCGTGATTCTTTTCATCCGCACGTCCGTAGCCAAACACCATTAACTTTGCGCTATGTAGGATTCTATGAATGCCACGGTGAACTGGCATGATGGTTGCGGTAAGCACTGGTATGTGTCCAGGAGTCTACTCGTGCTCTTCCCCCTCATCCTTCTTCTACTACTACTACTACGACGACGACTACCACTACTACTAGTAAGACTGGACGACGAAAATTATAGTCTGCTACTACTATGACTCTCTCCCTCTCTTTTAATTGCACTTGCAACGGCGCTTTAATCATGAATCCTGCCGGCAGCAGTCATGACTGCTTTTTCCATCGGTGATCATGCCGAGCATGGGTGTTTTTTTCCATATGCTTCCGTGGAAATGTGTGGTTTCGGGACGACGACTGCAACGACAGCAACGACAACTACTGACACTTGCAATCATCACCGCCAGTTTTCGTGTGCTGTAACCATCACTCCTGACGAGTTCAGCTGTGGATAGCAAAGGCAGCCCAGCTGAATTCTGGGCGCCGGATAGCGGCTGCCAAAGCCATTGGAGGCACATCGAGTTCATGGAATTACTCAGGACAGGACAGCGACGTGAATAATTACAAGATTTGCTAGTCAGAGTGTGGAAACGTAGCTGCGGTCAGTGCAGGAAGAGCCACATCGCTGGGTCCATCAAAGACCCCTGCGTTCGCATTACATCTGCGAATTTATATAAAATCCGACCTTGAGTCCTTAAAGCAAACGGCGCATGGGCTCTCCGACCTGCGGGTTCTTGAAAGAAGACTCGAGAATGGAAATCCTTGCAGGGCCAAGTATTGAGGCCGCTTAAGACTAAACGGCGAAGATGCCCACAGTGTCGGTTGACAGTGCGTGGGTTGTGTGCGCACACGCACAAAAACACAGCAGCACTCGAATGCTTGAAACCAAAGAACAGTAACGATGATGTCAGTCATAGTTACCTCAGCCCTCAAAAGTAGGCAAAAGAATAGCCCAAAGCCTATAAAAGGCAATTATTCTACATCTTTTGGGGTCCAGGTAGTAATTATAGTGTTGCGGATAGAAACAGCGTCCAACGAAGGCCCGAATGATTCGACAGGCCAAGCCTCCATGGCGCGTGCAGCTTTTGCCGCCCTCCAAAACGTTGCTGCAGAGGGCCGTGTCGCGGCCGTGGAGGCACACTGCCACCAGTTTCCAAAACCCAGAATGTCATAATTTCGGGTCTCTGATAACAAATAACAGTGAGTAACAGTCTTCCTTATAGGCCTTAGGATGGCCCACTGTTACAATAGATTTTCGCAGCATTGAACCTGTTCCCAGAACCTGTGCTGCAGGCTATCAGCTTGTATGTAAGGGGATACGATCATGAGCACCGCAATCGTAAGTCAACAGACTTGTGAACAGAACCCCACGCACTGCAACATACACATTCTGCGGCCCCGACTCGCATAACGCTGCATATTTCAACGTGATTGTCTTGACCTTGTGTAACAGATCTCTGGAACCGTTGGATGTCCCAGGAACGGGGTATACTTCGTCGCCAGCGCATTTCAACCCTGCAGTCGTAAACCTTACTGCTCTAACCTTCAACCCAAGACCTTCTTGACATGCCCTGCAACTGTAACTGCTTCAATCCTGCCTGGAGTCTCCATTGTAATTGGGAGTGATATAACTGGTTAGAGCAAAAAACGGAACTACAATGGAGACTATAGGGTTCGGGGTTTCAGGGACCCTAAACCCTAAACCATATGGGTGGTTGTCAAAATTCAAAATTAGGGTTCCTTATTGGGTCCCTAATGTAATACGGCACCTAATATTTAAGGTACCCAAAACAGGGCCCTAAGTTTGACAACCACCCCTATACCTGAGCCCTTAGCGCCTGGCACTGAGGAGCTCGCATGCTCGCAGCTCACCGACCTGGTCGACTGGCAAGGCGACCGATGGCGCAACAGGCCGGGAACTGCGCGGGCTTACCAGGACCCCAAAAAGATGAGTTGGGAAGTGTTTAAGGGGTTTATGGTTTAGGATTTAAGGGGTTTAGTGTTTAGGGTTTAGGGTTGGATGGTTCATGATGATTCATGATCATGAGCATCTAAAAGCATGACATGAGAAATCATAAACCTGTAAACCCCGTAAGAATTCGGGTTGTATCGGCTTGCTCACCTCCGATCGCGAGAAGCCAGAACCTCTCCACACGAAAGTCATCTCTCGACCCTTCTTCCCGAGATGCTCGAACTTCTCCGTCGCGCAGAAACCCAGGGTTGGGGGTCGGAATGACATTATTCTATAATTCATACCGTCATCATAAATGTGATCCCCAAAAATAGTATTGGTAATTATTTAGGCCCCTATAGTAGCTGTCAAGCTTGTGGTTCAGGGAGATCAATATTCTGTGCAAACGGTTCAGATCCATTCGCAGAGTCTAGGGTTTAGGGTTCAGGGCTTCTTGGGTGAAGTGTCCGGCGGCAGGCTCGTGGCATCAAAGCTCTTCGCCGCATGGCGGAATGCTGCTCAGCTGAAATAAATTGTAATCTACTCAGCATCATGTTCTAATGGTCAAAATCAGCACTAGAATATCCCCCCAACATCATATTCTGATCACCCTAAACCCTAAACCCTTTAAAGAGAGCCAGTCACTATACTATAGTATACCCCAACATCATATTCTAATCATTAGAGCCCCGATAGCAGCCGGAAGCCTGAACCTCTTGTCCGAAATCTTGTCACCCGCCTCAAGACCTTCACTTCCGCTAAGGAACCGTTTTAGGGCTCCTTATTATGATTTCCTTCTATAAGGCCTTAAAAAGGTAGGATATTGAGTGTTAAGGTAGGCTCTAAGGACTCATATATTAAGGCCTTTGGGCCCAAAGACCATACCATATAAGGCTTTTGGGCTATTTTGAGCCTTAGGGTTCGTGATCCCAGGGATCGCAGACTTACTTTTGGTTAGTAGGGAATGGAGGAATGGGGTACAACTATGACTACATTACTACCATTCTTCCATTCCGTGCTAACCAAAGGTAAGCAGAGGGAAAGCAGCGGGGCGGAGGGCGTAGGACTTAAGGCGGTTTCAGGCGGTGGGGCCTACAGTAGGAGGCATGGAACTGTAGTGGCTGCAGTGGTACTGGCTTTGTGGTATCCCGGTTTAGGGTTTCTAGGTATTTAGGCTTCCTGCAAAGTCCTGCAGGGTTCTTCATCGGATTGGGGCGGCTATTTCAGGACGGTTTTGAAGGGATCATAAGGGAATACTATTGCTGACTGTTCAAGTTGACAGTTTCCTATAGTTGGAGCACCAGCCGAAGTCAGCAGAGGCCGTGCTGCGGCTTTCCTTCGTGCTGCATGCGGCCTTGAGCCGCGAACTCCAAGGCACTAGGGATCCGGAGTTCAGGGTTTCGCTGCTGCTAACTGTTTAGGGTTCAGGGTTCAGGGAGAGGTTCCATATACTATTATGGAACTAGGTCCCACAAGGCCAACCGTATCATGGTTTTGGGGGCCTCATTCCATCATGGTGTTTTTTATTATGGCCTAAAGTAGCTGCGCGTAATTTAGGAACCCCCCAAGACCAAAGTCTATGCTTTGGACACTGCCCCCACTCAGTAACTAGTTGAATAATTGAGTAATCTTGTCATTATAGATATGTTAGGCCCTTAATGGTAGCCCTATTATAGGCTGTGGCAGTACCCAGTCTGTACTGTATCGCTACATGGACTTAACCCGAGAGCTCGAATAAAACTCGTCAAATGCTCTCTTGAGGGAACCGTGGGATGTCAAGTAAAACCAAAAAAACCCTAAACCCCTAAACCCTAAACCCCTAAACCCTAAACCCCTAAACCCCTAACCCCTAAACCCTAAACCTCTAACCCCTAAACCTAAACCTTAAACCCCTGAACCCCTAAACCCTAAACCCCTGAACCCCTAAACCCTAAACCCCTGAACCCCTAAACCCTAAACCCTGAACCCCTAAACTCTAAAACCCTAAACCCGCAACCTTTGGAGCCCTGGAAGCCCAAGAGTAGATTGAAAAAGCAGCCCCGACGCCTATTAAAAAGGCTACTATTCTACATACTTTTCGGGGTCCAGGTAAACCCTATAAACCCTAAACTCCTGAACCCTAAACCCCTTCAACCCATAAGCCCTAAACCCTTGCAAGAAAAAGGGCTAAAGCCCTTCAATCCCTAAACCCCTTCAACCCCCAAACCCCCAAATCGGGGAGGCTACTGGTGGCTCCGCAATGCCGTGTTCGGGCAGTGGAGGCTGCAGCTACAGCGGAGCCGGGAGGTCCGCGAGGGGCTGTTTTGGTAGACCGAGGCTTTATGCCAGGTTGAGCGGTTTAGGGTTTAGAGTTTCGGTTTAGGGTTTAGCGGTTTCGGGTTTGAGCGTTTGAGGGTTTCGGGAAGTTTAGGGTTTGGATCTATGGATTTGGGGAGATGAAGTCAGCCGGGATCAGGGTTCAAGGGCTTGACGTTACTTCTGCCCGTTCTTCGCTCAGGGATTCTGAGTTTCAGGTTCGGCCCCTGGGGCCCCTAAACCCGAAACCCCAACCCTTAAACTGCTGAACCCCAAGCCTACCCTAAACCCTAAACCCTCTATGCAAGGGTGATTATCCGGCTTTGGCTTCGGTGTTACAGGAACTATGGTTTCGCAGTCGCGTGGTCATTCTGCAAAGCGAAAGCTGCAAAAAAAACAAGCCCCAGAAGACCTAATCCATGAAATCTCAAGTTCAAAACTGCCTATAGTATTCATCGTAGTTGCTATTTTTGGTCTCACCTAATACATAATTCGGAGCCTCTTACCTGACCCGGAAGGAACTACAATGGAGACAAAAGGTAATCCATGAAATCTCAAGTTCAAACTTGGCCGAGACTTCTCTTGTGACAACAATATCCCTAAGGCTCAACATAGCCCAAAAGCCTTACACAGCACGGTAGTTCGGCCCAAATCCTTAGAGCCTTGGGACATGAAGAATATAATGCCCTTCGAAAGTGTACTTGGGTGGTTGTCAAAATTAGGGTCCCTTTTTGGATACCCTAAATCATAGGTGCCGTATTATATCAGGGACCCAAAAAGGGACCATAATTTTGACAACCACCCACTTGGGGGGTCCTGGTGTTTCCCTGCATTAGGACAGCGCCCGCGAAGCTCACCAGGACCTGGCGACTGCTTGGCTGTTTCAAGGGCAAATAAGTAGTAGGCTACTTAGGGTTTAGGCGTTACTTAGGGGTTTAGGGGTTCAGGGTTACGGGTTTAGGGGTTACTTGGGTACATAACATACGGTTAGCAACCGACTATTCAAGTAACTGGAGCCCTAGGGTGTTCGACTTTCCAGAGAGTTGTGTGGGTTTTAGGGTTTAGGGTTCAGGGTTTAATCGGGATGTTTAAGGCATATTCGTGCAGTTGTATGCAGGGGGCATCTCGACTCCTGGTAGGACATTGTAGGGTATCTGCACGGCTGATCATGTTGCATCTTCATCTGCCAAATGTAGACGAACACTACACGCGGGTGTCCGACGATCGTAGATCTATCAGGCACAGCCCGGCTCCGCCGATTGGTGCATCCATGTGGGAGTTTCCGATAATTAGGAGTACCTTCTTTTGTAGTCCTTTATAAAAAGGATCCTACCACCTAGGGTACTTTATAGGGGCCCCCTGTTCTGGAGCGCTAGCAACTTGACTTGGATCTTGCAGTTCTTTCGAGTGCTTAGTTTTTCGTTTCCCAGACCCCCGGGATAATCCAAAAAGTAGATCCCTTAATTGGGGGCTCCTGTAAAGGACCCTTAGTAGTGTAGGGCCCCAAATTAGTGGATCGGATCTTTTTTATAGATCCTCCCGGGGCTTCGGGTTAGGCTGTTCTTTTCGTACCTACGCTATGATTGTGTTTGTCGGTATGCTTTGCTCGCTTAACTTCCTCCTTCGTTTGTTGCTTGATGTGAAGCGATACCATCGGAACTAGGAGTTTTGGCTCGATGCGATTGCTGCTGTTTCAAGATAGCTCCAAAATCCACCGTCACCCCAGAGTCGAGATCAACTGTGCGTTCTTCGAGCCTTAGGGACTCGGATCTATTGCTGAGGGACTGTCCGGTCCAGTGACGAGAGCCGAGGTGAGCTTCGGTATGTCGGAGAAGGGGATGCAGATCTTTACGGTTTACTGCTTAGGGTGTTCCAGAGTCTAGGGCTCAAGTTCAAGAGTTTGGTCATGTTTGGCTTGGCAATGCAGGATCTGAGCAAGGTTTCGTTGTGCCGAAGTTCCGTGCCGGATAGTCCTCTGAGATTGAGCAGCTTTGGCCCGTAAGTCCGTCCAAGTTTCATTCCCCCTCCAATAAAGGAGCTCCGACAGCAGCTGCAGTGGCAGGGGACCGTCGCCTTCGCAGCACGCCGTGTGGGCGAAGGTGCTGCTTGGGTCTGGAGGTTTAGGGCAGGGAAGTGGTCCGAAAGCCAACATACTCATACTAGTAGTAGAGTAGGGAACCTTTAACCTTTATTGGGTAGTGTAATCCCTAGATAATCCCTGTATTCCCAAGAAAAGTTAACCTTTAGTTCCCCATGATACCCGACAAGTAGGTCATCGCGCCTGAACCCCTTTCTGCCGCAAAAGTCGTCATCCGCCTCCTGTTCCTTCGGCTGAACAGAAAGCAAGCCCTCCAAGAGCCGAAGTACCCCATGGCTGCAGCTTGTGTGGCTTTGGGTTTAGGGTTTAGGGGTGTAGCGTTTATAGAGCTTATAGGGTTACAAGCATCAGTTTGAAGCGCCTGAAGATTCACACCCTCTTAGCCTCGAACTGCAGCCTCGATCTCCCAAAAAAAGCATCGCCAATCCTGGAATACGAATACTTCTGTTGATGATATAAATCCTGCATTACCTTAAGGACCCTAAACTATGGGAATTATGGTATGTTCCTTATTATGGGTCATGCAGGATTTATATCATCAACCGTTTCAACCCACAGAACCTTCGGCACTGCTCCGGTGCGTCAACCACCAGATCCACAGTCCTAATCTTGAGAAACTTGGTCTGGAACCCGCAACCCTCATATCCATTAAATTGCCCCCCAATCCGGTAGGAGTTTGGGTTTCAAGAATGTACGGCCGTAGGATCTGTGGGTTTCTGATTCTTTAGGATATATATATATATATATACATATATATATATATATATATATATATATGTATGTATGTATGTATGTATGTAGGGTTCTTACAGACCTATATAGATAATACATATATATAATATATATATGCATGTATATTCCCTGTTTCTGTGGGCTGAAATGGCCGAAATATTGCCTTAACACCTACACCCCTACACCTTCTAGCCCCTAGGGTCTAATAAGTACCCGCCATTTGGGATCATATATCCCTTTTTGAGGGTACAAGGAGGGTTCTGGTAAAGCCCTAAACCCTCAATCTCGCAGATGTTGCGCGGAAGTCCCGTCTCTTCCGTGCCTGGGCCCAGCGCACCTCGGCCTTCCGCGCGGCAGCGCTTCAGGGGCAGCGCCTGCGCCGAGGAGGCGGAGGGTTTGGGGTTTAGGGTTAAATCCGGGTTCAGGGTTTAGGGTCATATGGTTTAGGGTTAAATTTAGGGTTCAGGGTTTAGGGTTTAGGGTTATAGGGTTTAGGGTTAAATTTAGGGTTCAGGGTTTAGGGTTATAGGGTTTAGGGTTAAATTTCGGGTTCAGGGTTTAGGGTTCTAGGGTTTAGTTAGGGTTAAACTTAGGGTATAGGGTTTAGGGTTCAATTTAGGCTCCAGGGTTTAGGGTTATAGGGTTTAGGGTTTGGGGGGGGAAGGTGGCTAGAAGGAGCCTGACACATCTTATGGGCCTTTGATTACGCTGCGTACTCTTTGTTGGTTTGGGGTTTGGGGTAAGCGTTTCCATTCTTGGGTTGGGGGTTTGGCTGTGGATTGAGACTTCCGACTTCCGAACTTGTTGGGGAGCACAGGTGGTTCGAGGTGTAATTCAAGCCGGCGTACGGTCTGGCGGGGTCGTAAAGGCTGCTGCAAGTTTTCGATCGGATTTCAGAAGCTGCTCATACCATACTACCTATAGTCTCCATTGTAGTTCCTTTTTTTGGTTGACCAGGATCCTGTAATAGAGATTTTGGTTAACAAAAAAAAGAAATACCATGGAGACTATAGGTAATACCTGCTCCCGGATCCTCCGCTCGATCTTGGGGGAAATATCCTCGAGGCCTATAGGATATTTCCCTGTAGTTCCTGGCGTGTTTCTTGGAGTCCGCAAATCACAAATCCAGAGCTCTAAACTCTAAAGCAAGCCTTGGAACGATGCTTCTGTGGGAAGTCGGTGAAGTCTGGCCGCAGCGGTTCATCAGATGATTGCGATTTCATGTTGCAGGAGGGTAAAGGGACTTCGCAAAGCTGTCACATGGGCTGTATAATATACTGGGAGTTTCATGGGTAGTTATAAGTGGGGTTATAAGTTCCCTAATATGGGTTATAAGTAAAGTTACCCTACTTATAACCCTACTTATGACTACCCATGAACCTCCAAGTAGGGTCTTCGCGATGCTGGTTTAGGGTTTAGGGCGCGTCGTATGCGTGCCAGGCATCATGATGATCGCGACTCAAGCGCTGGGATCGTGGCGTTTGGTATGCACCTTGACTGTCAAGCAGAGCACATACCTTGAAGCTCGGACCAGTCACCCTAAACCCTACCTATAGTCTCCATTGTAGTTCCTTTTTTTTGGTTAAACAAAATCTCTATTATAGGATCCTAACCGTAAAACTGGTTAACCAAAAAACAACTACAATGCAGACTCTAGGTAAACCCTAAAAAATGAAGCATGTAAGCCTTCTACCAGTTGTACCTGGTCGTTTCCTTAACCCTACATCCTCTCGGCTCCAAGGCCTCATAATAAATTTTTCCATCAGTTCCGAACGCCCCAGATCCGTTTTTAACCTTGAACCCTAAACTGGCAGTGACTGGCAGCTTTGGCTTAAGCCGAAAAGCTTATATATTCCCCAAACCGTTAAATCCCTAAGCCCTACGACACGCCATATCCTGTCCCTCAAGCCTTTAACCCTGAACAAACCTCAAGCCTGGACCCCATTCCCCGGGCTTCTACTTGGAGGGTCGGGGGACTTAGTAACCGGTTATTTTAGGGACTTATAAGTACCATAACCCCAATTAGGGTCCCTTTTAGGGTACTTATAAGTCTACTTACTACCTACTTACTAAGTCCCCCGACCCTCCAAGTACCCCTGCAATACTTGGAGCTTCATGGGTAGTTATACGTGGGGTTATAAGTCCCCTGCTGATATGGGGCATAAGTATAGTTCCCCTACTTGTATCCCTACTCAAAAACTACCCATGAACCTCGAACTAGGCCCTAAACCCTATATCCTTATAGAATCCCTATAGATCCCTTTAAAGGGACCCTTAAAGGAACCCTTATAACTACCCATGAGCCTCCAAGTAATCCTAGCATCTCCGAAGTCCTACGAGACAAGGCCGATAAGTCTCGGAGCGCTGAAGTACTCAGCTACTTCCCTCCCATCTGGGCGCTTAGGGCTTTAGGGTTTAGGGTTCCTTTAAAGGGATGTGTCGGGATTCTATAAGGGTTTAGGGTTTGGGTCTTCGTCAGAAAGGTTTGAGTAGGGTTGGGAGTTTAGGGGGTGTTTTCGGGTCTTAGCTCCGAAACCACCATAGCCACAGCCCTATAGCCCCCTAGAGGGTGTTGTGCTCGGGCTCCGAGGCTGTAGTACGTTTAGGGTTTGGGGTTTAGGGTTGCTTTTCAGAGCCGGAAACCTTGGAGTGCAAACTTTCGAAGGCTTCAAAAGACAGGAGTTTGCTTAGCCCGGCTTCCCGAGGGTGTTGATGCTTCCGATTATACTACACTGTCTTAAACCCCAAAACCTAAACCCCATCACCTTGGGTTCCTAAATTCAAACCCGACCCTGAAGCCCTGAACCAGTGCCCTGAACCCAGCTATTCAGAGTTTCATTGTGGGCGGTCGTATGTCTACTATTTGCTTAAGAACCACCCAAATAAACAATATATTCCTTATGGGGGTAATATAGGGATTGTTATTTTTATTTTTTGGGTGCTTCTTAAGCAAATAATAGATGTTAGTTTTGAGGGAGCAGACCCTATGCCCCGGCTGTTTAGGCCATGAGCCCTACAAAGTGAACCCGACACCGTGAAGCCTACCTAGGCAAGGAACAGCAGTGGAACTTCAAGCAGCAGGACGACTCTCCAGAGCTGCCGAACTCAGCAGGGGACTCCAACATAGGCCATATGGGAGTTTCCGAAAATTAGGGGTACATTATTTTGGTGTCCTCACAATAGGATCCCACTATTCAGGGTACTATATTCGGGTCCCCTATTTTCGGAAACGCCCATATAGCATCCCATATCACAAGGGTGTTATACAGGTTTCATGGTGTTCGCTGTAGGGTCTTGCCTATCCTCATGGTAAGGACCTCGAATCAGCCACGTCGAGTTTCAAGAATCCGTACTTGCATACCCTAAGGCTCCATGTACCCTTATAGTATATACTTAGGCCTTAAAGTACCTATAAAGGGACCCCTTTAAGGCTTAAGTATCTACTATAAAGGTACATGGAGCCTTCGGGATATGAACCTGGAGGGTGGGAAGTGCCTAACCTCCAAAGACGTACCTCCACAGGTTAGAAGACCCACCCCTAAACCCTATCATTTGCTGAGCCCTTTCCGGATAAGGGTTCAGAACCTAAGCCCTCAAGGCCGTTAGCCATATATGATCCTGAAACCCTCAAACCTCTTGTCCCTCAAGGGTAAGCCCCAAACCTTTAACTCCTCAAACCCGGAGGCCCTGCGTGCCAAGCCTGTAAACCCCAAACCGTTGAAATCCAATTTCTAAACTGTAAGATCTTGAAACCGCAAAACCCAAACCTCTAAACCCCCAATCCCTAAACCCTAAACCCTCACCCCCAAACCCTAAACCCCTAAACCCTCACCCCTAAACCCTAACAGGGACTTCACAGGAGCTTGCAGACCTCTTAGCCGAAGCCGGAACCCAGCTGATGCAGGCCAGGAAGCTTCAAGTTTTTTTTTCGGTCGAGTGTGTAGGGCTTCGATGGTATAGTAATGGGGAGCTCTACGGATTCTCGCACACGCATGTTGCAGGATTTTATGAGGGCTTATAAGGCCCCTTTTTCGCTTTTGATAGGGCCCACTATCTCTAATTAAGGTCCCTCGAGTCGTCAGGGTCTATGTGATTCCCCAAACTCCAAGCAGTCGAATGCCCCTTCACTCGTCATCTCGCGGGAGCTTAAACGGATATCTATAGTCTCTATTGGGGTTACCTTATAGGATCCTAAACATATATGTGGATAAACCGAAAAAGGAACTATAATGCAGACTATAGGCCAAACCCTAAGCCCTACCAAAACCCTAGCGTTTTTTCGTTTTGCTATACGTCTTGATCGAAGGATTTCAGAGCTGAGGGTTCTAACTACAGGGCTTCAGGGCTGTAGAGCTTTGTGTCTAGGGTTTTCGGCATTCAACATCTCGGGCTTTACGGCCTGTACAGGAGGGCATACTTGGAGGTTCATGCGTAATTTTTCGTGGGGGTCATAAGCGGGGTCAACCCCCCTTGAGTCAACAATTCTATATATTGTTCTGCAAACGCTTAGCAAGACGTGATCTGGCATCGAAGCCAAAAAGACGAGCGACAAGCGTTGCAAGATGCTTGTGGCGTTGCGATCTGCGACAAAGACTGACGTAAGGAGACGTCGCATGTCGGCATGCACGTTGGCACGTATCGAGTTCTGGCATGTCGTCATGTTTTGGCACTCCCCCTCTCTCTGTGTCTCTTGCGGTTCTCTTTTCTTTCCCTTGAGATCACACGGGCAACTTTTTGTGCGTTTGGGCATATGTTGGCATGCCCATCTCCCGTCCTTTTGGCATCTCGGCATGAGCTGGCACAGTTCATGTTTGGGCATGACGGCATGTTGTGGCATGAGTTGGCATCTTAGGAGACGTATAACCTTGCTTATAAGTACGTACCCATGAACCTCCATGTAGGGTTGAGGGCAAAAGGGATTTCAGGGGACATCAAGGTATCTCCTATGTAGTACTAGGGAAACCCTTTAAAGGGGACCGTTCTTAGCCTTACCTCCGGCTCTTTAAACGGGACGTTGTTGAGGGGGTCCCTATATCCAAGGGCCCCCCTAAATAATCCTAACTCCTAGTATCCTTACAGCCTTACAACTAAAACCGAAAACAAGGCGCTTCTAGACTCTGGTCCGCTTCCGGTCTGAAGACCCTAAAGCCTGTGCCCACGCACCCACCATCTATGCAGAATGGCCCATGGCAGTATGGTGGGCATGCGGTGGCCTGTCTGTCATTAAGGCCTGTATACTACCAGGGTTCGCGGTTTAGGTATAGGAGTTTTTTGTTAAAGCAGCAAATTGTTGCCAAACTTCGACTGCAGCAGTCCGATGAATCCTTGTGCGGAAGCCCCAGAAATCCCAAACCTTTTAACCGCTCATTAAGCTCCTAAGCCCACAAGTCTTAAACCTCAAAACCTTAACTTCTCCCAAAATCTATAAACCACATCCCCATACTATTGCTTCCTGGATTACTACAGGCTCTAAATTCCGAAATCCTCAACTTCCATATCCCATTTACATGCCGTCAGCACTAAAGCCTACACTAATCTCCTGAACCATGAGGATCCATATACAGCTGTTATGGAATTAGGTTCATGGGGATGGTCTCTTCGGACCTATGGTAGTGTATGCGGACCCTTCGAAGAAGTTTCATAGGAGGCCAAAAGGGGGTTTAGCCTATGGGGTTATAGTAGGGATCAGGGTTCCCATAATAGGGTTCATATTAAGGAACCTCTACCCCAAGAATCTTAAACCCCCCTTTTGGCCTCCCATCAAAGTTGCCTCCCATACTTTTCAGGCCGGTGGTTTGGAGATGGAAAGGCGGAGGGCGCTCATTCCTGGAAGGTGTCTCAAGCATAGCACTTAGGGTCTAGGTTCGGGGTTCAGGGTTTAAGTTTTAGTGACCCTTTGAGGGTGGCTAGTAGTGTTAAGGGTTCTGGGGGTTCTCGTCTCTACACAGGTTGTAGGGGTGGGTTTGTGGGTTTAGGGTTTGAAGGGTTTTGGGGTTTAGAGAGGCGGCTCGAAACACGAGACTGCTCGAAACACAGCTTCCTCTTCTACCAATGACGGTTTGCAGGGTTCAGGCTGCGATACAAACCTCACAGCATTCAGTTGTTTTGAAGACGACGTGTTTCTTAGCTTCCAGCGAAATGTGAAAGTTGTTGCCAGCAGCAAGCCAGTGTAAATCTCGAATCGATGTCTTTTCTGGGTTTAACATGTGCGGAGCGTATGATGCAAGTTGAGGATTCAAGGCTTATGTGTTGTGGAGACTATACATGGGCTGGCCGGGCCTGCAGCCTATAAGCCCTTGCCCTTGTCACAGGAAGCAACTCGATCGTTCGGACTTCCGAAAACCCAAAGCCCTGAAACCCGAAACTTTAAAGCTTCCTCATACCTCATAAGTCGTAAGTTCTAAATCCTAAACCAGTGCATAGATATATCTGTATATCTATATATATATATATATATATATATATATATCGATGCAAAAAATATGAATACAAATGAGCCCTACATGCCGTGTAATTATCAGCCTAAATCTCAACCTGGAGGCGTCTTGCACTCCACCTCACATTTCTCACGCTGCAGGTTGGCACCGTGCAGCTTCAGAGATTTTATTTTGCAATCTCTTCTACTCTTCACTTTGGGACTTCAGAAGCAAGGAGGACTTCAGAAGCAAGGAAGAGCATCCTGCTTCTTTGTGCTTGTCCCTATCAGAGACACGTGGGGTTTGGGTAGTGGCTTGGGATCCGCATGCATGCTGGGGTTGACGAGGCATGTAAATTCCAAGTCCCTGGTTTAGGGCGAGGGTTTAGGATGTTTAGGGCTTGTTTTCGGAGTCGCTGTGCATGCTACAGCGCTTGCTTCAGAACTGCCATTGTATACTCTACTAGATTATATCAGTTGTATGAACGTCTTTAATATTACATAGTACTGTTTTTACTATATGCTACTGTGCAGTTCGCATGGCTGCATAATTCCCTTCCACCAAAGCCTGAGAAGCAAGACTACGCCCGGGACCTAAAGCCCAGTACCCCAACCCCCCGAAGCACCAAACCCAAAAAGCCTCAAACACCGGAAAACCCTAAACCCTAACCCCTAAACATCGAACCCCGAAGCTCTAAATCTCAACTTTGAAGCTCGGCAGGCTTGCGCTGCTCGCGCATTTGATGCATGGCGTCGCAACTCGACTCAAGTGAATGTTGTGTTTGGGTTTGGTGGGCGATGGTGCAAAATTCAGGGTTCTGGGTTTACAGGGTGCCCCTTCCTTTCTTGCTTCAAGCTATCACAGTAGGAGAACCGGAGCCGCTCTAGCGCTGAACAAGATAATCCATGCCAGGGCCAGGGCATCGTTGGGTACGTAGACTTTGTTTCAGCCCAGCCCTGAACCCCCCCCGTGACCAAAGGCTCCATGTACCTCTGTAGTAGATATTTACGCCTTAAAGGGGTCCCGAAAAGAGGTACTTTAAGGCCTAGGTATATACTATAAGGGTACATGGAGCCTTAGGGATATGAGAACAAAGCCAGAATCCACAGGATGTTGTTCTGCGCAAACTCGTCAGTTAGAGGCTGGCCTACGCGACAGGGTTGCTTGCTTTCGTAGCTGTAAAAAAAGCATCCGACGATTAATATAGGCGCCTCAATAGTTACCTGTACTAGTTTTTTTTTGGGGTGCTTATTGTAACTATAGTATGATGGGCCCCATTCCAATTATTGAGGCCCCTGGATCAAATCCTCATACTAGCCGTTATAGTAGCCCTTAAAGACCCCTTTAAAGCAAGGAACCCCGTTCTAATTAGTAAGGCCCCTAAGTTAAGTAGCCCTAACCCGAAGTCCCACCTCACTAGTCCCTAATCCTCTTCGAGGCTCACAGTTATCACCATACGGGAGTTTCCGGAAATTATGGGTACCTTGAAATGCAAGGGATCCTTTCAGGGTTCCTTTAAGGGATCTAGAAGGGTTCTATATAGGGTTCAGGGTTTAGAGTTTCCGACTATTGGGGATACTTATTTAAGGGTCCTTGTAACAAGGATCCTACTATGCAGGGTACTATGTTAGTGCCCCCTGTTTACGGCAACTTCCATATACAGCTCCTGTATACAATCCCGGTATAGAGCTTGTACGAAGGATCTTGTTGTTGGTACTCCTAGGCGCAAAGAACCTAAAAGCATGATTCAAATCCTGAATGCGGATCCCAACTTCTGTTGCGAAGGCAATTTGCTTCTCCAGCGTTCCGAGCAACACCAGGCAAGCAAGTGCTTAATGAGGCTTATAAGACCCGATCCTGCCCCGGAGCTTCGTTTTACCCTTGTTTCAAGGGCAATTCAAGAAAGGCCGGTTTGCAATGGCTTTGTATAAGGACCTCAAAACGAGGATTTCGGATTTCAGAGTCTTTACCTGGAGTGGCTGAACCCCGTACATATCGAAGAGTGGCCTAGCCCCTTACGCGCCAAGGCGCCTGCAAGCAGGTGCCATTTATATACTTCGAGCCTTCGTGAATGGGGACTCCGGCACGAATTTCGAAAGCGTCCCTTCCACTTCTCTCCACTACAAGAAACTAAACCGCATAGAAGACCTGAGGTCGATCTACGTAGTCTTAGACCAGTATGTTTTCGGATGTCGGACCACTCTGTGACCTTGATGACCTAAAGCGGGGAGCAACAAGGGCCCAGAAAGCATCATATCCCACTCGCTTCGGGATTAAAGCCTTTCTGAGTGAGTTCTAACAACAGCCTATAGACCTTAAACCCTTAGCCTAAACGCCCAACCCTAAACCCGATGCCTGAAGCCCCGACACCGAAAACCAAATGTCCCTAACCTCTAGTCTAAAGCATTAAGCAGGCGCTTGCCTGCCTTCGGTTCTGGCGTGCAGCCAGTGTGCAGCGTCGCAGGGCCATCGCTGGAGCAGTCAGGTGCTGGAGGTTTTAGTAGCATCTTACTACAGGGACTATTGGTTCGTCGGGTTTAGCCATGGTTTTCATCCTGAAGCCTACACGCACATATATATATATATATATATAGATATAGATATAGATATATACGCGTACACATGCACACATATGCGTATGCATATTTGTACACACTCATACAGACATACACAAATACATACATGCATGCAATCATGCATACGTGCATACGTACATATGCGTGTCCGTACATACTTACCTACCTGCCTCCCTACCTACCTACCTAGCTACATACATACATACATACGTGCGTATGTACGTACATACGTACATGCACACAAACATACGCATGTATGTACATACATACATACATACATACTTTTTTACATATATACATACCTCTACCTACATACATAGATACATACATACGTATGTATGTACCTAATATACATACATACCTACAGACAGACTTACATGCTTATGTACGTACCTAGGCCTGCATATTTACATATCTACATACATACATATTTATACTTATACTTACATACATACAGACATGTATACGTATGTACGTATGTACGTGCATATATATATATATACATACATATACATATACATATACATATACATATACATATACATATACATATATAGAGATAGGTAGTAGATAGATAGATAAATAGATATTCGTTGTTTATTCATTGACACCCTACAGTCGAAACCCCTTGACTCTGATAAGGAACCTCAGTTTGTCCTGATTTTTCAACGGGGCTCATCTCTGGCGGCGATAACAATCCCTATCCCTCCAAGGACCTCATAGTTAGGGCCCTAGACCCCTTAAGGACCCCATAATAAGGTCCCCTGGAGGCATAGGGAATCTCGATGGTATTGATGACAACCAGCGCTTGGAGGAGGGAAAGTGGTTCGAGTGAATGCTCGGGCATGCACCATGGTGTTGCAAAGCGTGGCAGAGCCATTGCGGCTGGACATGATAGCGAGGCGAGTAGTGCAGAGCATAGTGAAGATGATGTTCATGCTCATACCACGTACCAGCCAGGCGGAGCATTGGAGAGGTCGATCGTCCTCACTAACCTGCAAGTCCCGGGAGCATGTGAGACTCTTGAGGAAGCGGTGGCGTGGCTCCGCTGGTGGCACCGACAATCCTAAACCTAGACCCTCCGTCTACCCTCTATTAGACCCTAAATGCCCCTTATTTGGGACCATATATCCCTATTTGAGGGTAGAAGGGTCCTGGAAAAGGTCCCTAAACCCTAAACCTAAAAAGGTAGTTTGAATGGCAGGTTCCGACAGCGGCGCTGGGTGCGGCTACTGACCGCCGCATGTCGGCTCTGGGCCCTCGAGGCCAGCTTGCAAAAGAGGGTTTTGCACGTGCTCTACAGGGTTTTAAGGTGTTAGGGTTGAGGGTTTATGGGGTTTAGGGCTTAGGTTGTGCGTTTCAGGTTTTGCGGTGGTTCTAGATTGATGCTGGTTGGTTTTTTCAGGGATCAGTCAGGGTTTCTGTTACAGGGCTCCATTGGGGTTGCGTTTTCATTCATGGCCTAGTTTAGTGCAAGCACCAAGGGATGTATGGTGTTGTCGATGCGAACAGAACGGATGGCCGAACTAGTTTCCGTCAAACTGGGTTCACGCATCGGTTTAACAGGCTCGGGTGTATGTTTCAAGCAGTTTTACTTGAGGTGTAGGTTGGCAGGTTTCTTGAGGGTTTGGGGACCAGGCTTTGAGTTAAACTGGGGATGCAGGGTTTCGGGTTTGTGTCTCGGGTTACGGGGGCTGGATTAAGTTTAAAGCTTGCGGTTCAGTGAGGGTTCAGGGCTTCGTGTGTCAGAGGCCAAGGGCCAAGGGGCGTCTACAGGATCCCGAATCGGGTTCGTGTTTTGTGACAGCCCAGCAGTGTCCCTGTGCGCCCGCGAGAGAGAGAGAGAGAGAGAGAGAGACAGAGCGAGAAAGAAAGAGGTAGAGAGAGAGAGAGAGAGCAAGAAAGAAAGAAAGAACAGGTCAGTCATTGAAGCCCCCAACTATACGGTCGCAGCAGGCTGCCTTGATGAAGCTAAAGCTGAAAGGATGCAACTGGACATCCGATACCTTAAACACAAGAATTAGCCTTGAGTTAAAACCTGAGAGTTCGGCCGTAAGGTACCATACGACAGTAAATCCGATTCTATCCGCCATCCCCCCCTTCTTCCCGCGATAATGCTGAGATGAAGCATGACTTGAGCACCTAAAAGCCTGATGTGGGATTAAAGGGTTTCAGGTTTAGGGTGGAGGCCGATGGGTTTGAGGGTCAGGCTTTGGAGTGTACATATATAGTATCTTTTGTATTTCGTTTTTTGGGGTCCCTTATAGGATCCTGAATATAGAAATGGTTAAACCAAGAAAAGCAACTGCATAGGAGACTATGGCTAACCCTTACAGAAGCCTTGTAGTAACCCTTAAACAAACCTTATAGTATCCCTTCTGGTAACCATTGTGGAAACTATAGGCAGAGTTTAAAATGGCACAGGCTCCTTCTGCAAAACGTTCGGCAGACTTTGCCCTCTGGCTTGGTTTCCACCACACTTTTCGCAGAATCCCTCCCGTAGATCGTAGTACACCTATGCAGTAGAAAGGAACTCTGGAGTCGAAATGCCCAAAGCAGTTCTTGAGTTGGAGTGTTTCGAGCCACCCCCCCCCAACAAAAAAATAAAATAAAAAACACACGCAACTTGTCGCCTTCGCATAGGCTGCAAGAAATGCCGGGAGCTTGGGGGTAAACCTCAGAGCAGTGGGCTTTCAGTTTCAATTCTTCAGTCCTGATCCTGCAAGATCAAGCCTTGGTGGCTTCGTGCTGCAAGTGCAGGGCTGCATGTTCTGAGCATGAAAGCATCGAAGTTTAGGTTCAGAGTTTATGGTGTCTATAACAGGTGTTGCTCCTACTCACACTATTGCCGGGATTGGAGATTTTATTCGGTCATTGTTGTTTCTTTTTCGATGCCAACATGTCAAGACCAGCATGATTGTCAAAGTTTCTCCATCGCTAGCCTACCCTACCCTGCAGCCAATCTCCTCATTAGAAGCGCCCGTATAAACATTATCCGGCAAAGGCGAAAACCCATAGTGGCCCTGCGTTCCAGGCATCGAACACTGGCAAGTTCCACACAGAAAGACCTCCAGCCCAAACAGAACAGAGCCCAGGACATTCACTCCAAAGCGTAGCCTACACGATTTAATTTCCAGGTTCCTACACTAGGCTTGATGGTATAGATCCTGCATTACCCAGATTAAGGAATATACCATAATTCCCATAGCAGGATTTATGTCATCAACCGTAACACCCTTTCTATCAATTCCCAAGCCACTAGAAGACCCTTGACTACCAAGGCCGGGCCAGAGACATCTTGCACGCAATGCGGCGGCCCGGCAATGTTACCCCCTATCCCTCCAAGGACCTCACAGTTAGGGCCCTAGGACCCTTAAGGACCCCATAATAAGGTCCCTGGAGGCATAGGGACCGTTCAGAAATTCTGAATCCCCAAAGCTGTAAACCTCCAGACGCAAAGCCCTAAAGCCTAACACCTAAACAGCCCCAAACCTGTAAACCTTCGGACGAAAAGCCCCAAAGCCTAAAACCTGAAGAACCCCAAACCTGTAAACCTTCGGACACAAAGCCCTAAAGAGCCTAAATCCGTCAGTCCAGGGCTCTCCCTTATTGAAGAACCCGGAATCCAATCTGGCGCTTTCAGGGTGCTTCTGACTAGCAGCATGAATAAAATTTGGGGGCTCCGTATTAAGATATAGTATACTGGGCCCCAAAACCTTATTCTAAGTATTAAGGCCCCTATATTATACTGCCCTTATAGACTTACAGATCCCTTATAGTAGCCCTTGTCGACCCATTTAAAGGAAAAAGAGGCCTATTCTAATTATTAACGCCCCTGTGTAGACCCTTGCTCTCTGAAAGCAGCGCCGAAACCGTCGCTCTTCTTGGTCTGTGTGGCCCCTCAGTGAGCCTTCCTAGCCAAATAGGATTCCATTAAGGGTACCATGAGGGATCCTTTGAGGGGTCTATAAGGGTTCTATAAGGGTTTAGGGCAAAAGGGTCCATGCACCCAAATAGTATATACTTTGGCCTTAGAGTACTCCCTGCATAGGTACATTGGGCCCAAAGTATAATACTAGTTGGGTACACTTTTGCCCTAAACCTTTATAGAACCCTTATAGACCCCTTAACGGATCCCTTATGGTACCCTTGAAGGAACCTCTTTGGGCACATGAATCGTTAGGGCTTGAACCATTTTGAGAGGTCCTGTCGCTGCCGGTACGAGACCATTTTGTTATGCATTGCAGATCACAAGTATAAGCGTCTACTCCGGGGATGGGACCTACAAGTCTAATCCTACCTACTGGCTGCTAAGTCCTCTGACCCTTTATATACGTACTTAAACTACGTACCATGTCCCTTTTTTTGCTGGCTCAAGCTTTCCAGCCTCGACAAAACCTGTTTGTAGTTTGAGTCCGCAAAGTCGAATCATCTACCTCCACCACCAAAAACAGACCTGTTTAAAGGACATCTATACAACAACATCATAAACCCTAAACCCTAAAGCCTACATCATAATATGGATCTTGGGTGGTCAATTCAAGGTCGGGCTCGGGGCTGTAAGGATGAAAATTAGAACCTCCCGGCTTACTGTTCCAATACTACCACAGTCTAGTTTAGGGTTTAGGGTTTAGGGGTAACCCGGTATTTCTCACTAGACAAGTCCTCCGTTTGCTAGGCAATGTCTACATGGCAGACGCGCTGTACTGCCGGAACTGTGGCCTCCGACGCCAGGCAGGGTATGCAACTTCCCTTTGCTCGATCGATCTCTCTATTGATCTATCCATCCATCCATCCATCCATCCATCCATCCATCTATATCCCTTTTTGTTTAACTTCGGCTCTTTTGATTGTGTTTGGGATTCAGAGGGTTCGACAAATTGGGACGTACATTGTGTCGAGGATCCATGTTCAGAGTCAGTTCACTTTTGATCATTGTCCCCATCCCCCCCCCCCCCGGGCACCACACCCTCCCCCTCTCCCCCACACGGAAGACGTGTAAGCACCAGGGATGCCGCATGTTGCCAAGTTGAACCTGGGAGTGTATGACTAGGAAGAGCCCTTTGATCTCGACCCGGATCAGTCGACTCCTTGACACAATGACCCGCCAAACAGTAATCCAAGTCCAACAGCCCCCCCCATATGACTCAGATTACAGTCGGACTGCAGCAGGTTTTCTTGTCCATACCCAACCCCCTCCCCGCCCCCTCAAAAAAAGTAGGTCAACTTATGGCCGAGCACCTCAGGAGGCTCTGATTCTACATATTTTTTTGGTCCAGGCATGGTTGAGACCATAAGTTTAGGGTTTAGGGTTTAGGGACAGGATTTGCATGGAATGACTTGTCGGAGCTGAGCATGCCAAGCTGCTTCCTCGAAGTGCTTTGCCGGCCATATCCTCGAAATACTTACCTCTCATATGGGAGTTTCCGAAAATCCGGGGTACCTTATTCTGGGGTCCTTATAATAGGGATCCTACTATTTAGGGTATTGTATTAGGGTCCCTTATCTTCGGAAACCCCCATGTACACAGGGGCCTTGGTAATTGCAATAGGGTTTCTTGAGGGTTCCTGTATAGTAGTATAGTAGTACTGTGGTTATGAGGCCACAGCCCCAGCTCCTCAAACCTGAAAACACTGCCGAGCTCTGTGGCCTCTACATTGGTCATGCCCAGAGCGTCCAGAACGAGAGCGCTTAAAGTCAAAGCCAGCCTTGCCATAAAGTCCTGGGTGCTATGACACTGATCGAAAAGCGGTTGAGGCACTGGTGGATCCCATAACTGTACGAACCTGAAGAGTCCATTCTCCATGTTGGATCCTATGCACCAAACCTGGAAGATTGAAGCCCCCCCATGCAGAACCATTGATTGCACATTTTGATATAAACTCTTATTCTTATGAATACAATCGTAAGACATTGCTGTTTGCTTCGGCATGGGAGGCCCGGAGCAACTCGCCTTCCAAGCGGCTGCTGTCAGAGCATCTCAGGCCAAGCACATTTCTTGCGCAGATGTGCATGACCGCTCACATTGCTCACTGAATGCTGCCATTGTTGCAGTTGCGGCTCCTTATATACTCTAGCTAAAGCCCCAAACGTATGTAAAATAACAGCCCAACACCTAAAGAAGGCCATTTTTCTACGACCGATTCGTAGGCCCTACACTCAGACTCGTTGTTGCAGGGGGACGGCTTCTCCTGAACCCTACGAGCATGGGCCCTGTCAGGTCTGATCCAGTTATGATTATGTTTGAAAGTCTGGGATTGCGTTGCATCTTTTTCAAAAGACATACTGTTGATGATATAAATCCTGCATTACCTTAAGGACCCTAAACTATGGGAATTATGGTATATTCCTTATTATGGGTCATGCAGGATGTATATCATCAACCGTAGCACTTTACATTGCTATGGGTACTTAAGCCAAATAAGGAATGGACACGTCAAATTTTCATGGTATCTCAACCATGACGTAGTCATGACTCGGGGAGGAGGAACCTGTGATGTAGGGTGAAAGGAGCAGGAAAGCAGGGCTTGCAGGATTTTGCCTTGAGGTGGCGGGCATCGTACTTAGAGCTTAGTAGCACTGCTTGGGATAACATTTTCCTTTATAGAACTGAAACAATATTTACCTATATAAATTCTCACAGGGTTCCTTGCTGTAACTGCAGTATAGTGTACACCCAAACCTGATTCTGATTATCGAGGCCCTCAAACTGTATGGAAAGTGGAGTTGTCAGGGCTTTCGGGCCTTGTGTGGCGAAAGCTGGGTTCAGGCTCAGGACATTTGTTGACTTTTCAGAACCGCCTGTGTGAAAGTTTGTGGTAGCGATTGCACTACTGAGTAAATGACTCAACTTGCGAATGACAGAGCCTCTTCTTTTGCATCGAAATCCCCAAAATCAAACTGGAACCCCGACACACGAGACCCCAGTTTTTTTTTTGAATTCTATAAAGCCTTAGCCTCACACTTGCAGAGCCCCAAGCCCTTCATTTGCTTTCGACTCCGCCGTTCGATCGCACTTTCGGCTCAGAAGAACTGTCCCTGCCTAAAGCCCCGTGACTCTCAAAGAGGCGCGGCTTTCTGAATTTGGAAGCAGGGTTGCCTGTTTACGGAGTTTGGACATATTATGGGGTTTGGGGGTTAGGATTTATGGCTTCCTTCGAGACTGTGCAGATTGCAGTCAGAGTGCGGAGTTTGGGCTGCTAGGGTCGAAGCATGGGAGTATTTCAATGCGCCATCCAGGGCTCGTAAGGACGGAATACTTAGGAATATCATCTGGATCTAGTCTATATAGCGTAATTAAGTTGTAAGTATACAAGAAAGCGACTTTTGAGTGGCCGTCGCCTGCTCTATTTTTTGCCACAGACTCAACTGATGCCCATAATGCTGGCCCAAACTGCGCGAACTGCCGGGTTTCTTGTGCTATTCTTGATCGCCGCCGATGTCGCACATTCGTCCCGGCAGGGGCCCAAATGATGCTCATGATGCTCGCCCATGTGGCGTGGCAACAATGGGAAAAGCTTCAAGAACACGGCAAAAGACAATTCAGCTGGACGGCCGATGAAGCGAGGTGCCCTGGCTCAAGCTGGTTGGCAGTGGACAGCGCTGAATAGGCCGTGAGCTGATAAGATTAACGGGGTGGGGCTGAAAAGGCATAACTTGCCCTAAGGGTCCATTTATCCATATAGAGATACATGAGCCCCAAAGCACCTTTATTGGAACGACATTAAGGCCAATGTATATAACATATGAGTACATGGACCCTTCGGGTTGGGCAATGCTAGCTTGAATAAGGGGTGCGGTTGCGGGCACACAGAGGAGCAGTCGGGGAGGACAGGGGGAGGATTTTCGATGCCTTTCCTGAGTCAGACCATGTTGTGAGCAGTCCATAACCTTGCCCAAAGGCTCCATGTACCTTTATAGTAGTTACTTAAGCCTTAAAGGGGTCCCTATATAGTACTTTAAGTCCTAAGTATATACTATATATGGGTACATGGAGCCTTCGCCTTGGTAAGCCCTTGTACTACATACTTCTCAGACCCTAAGTAGCCAACCCCCTCTGCGCCATCTTCGAAACTCAGCGAGCCCGAAACCCTACACCCTAAACCCTATAATACTAAACCATCTGGGAGCACTACAAAATAAAGTCGCCGTTTTGGCGAGGCGATTGACAAACTAAGGGTTAGGGTTCAGGGCTTTAGGGTTTATAGGGCTGAGGATTTATTTAGGGTTTAGGGCTTAATGAAGAAACCCTGGGCCCATAACCCCAAAACAGTAGGGTTCATACAGGGAGCCCTAATAACGACCTAAGGTTTCTGAATCAGGTTCCTACACTAGGGAGCCGTCCGAATCCCGAACCCTGATCCTCCCCTTGAACCTTAAAACCCTGATCCCACACCGCCGAAAACCCCCCGAGGCCCAAGGCTGAAATCCCTCAAGAGCCCAACTTAGAGGGTCCGAGTACCCATACAGTAGGGTTTTAGGTTCGAAAACCCATACTCTGAATGGTTTTTGGACTTTGAAACCCTACTATTTGGGTACTTGGACCCTTAGGGCAATGGTTTAGGGTTTATGGGCGCTACATCTCCTACCACTTTTGGGTTGTGATTTCTGTTTGTGGTCCTCAAAAGGGTAGGTTATTTGGGGTTCAGGGTAGGGTTTAAGCCCCGAGCGGCCTGCACCCAAAAGCCATCACCCAAATATGTACTTATGATACTTCCCCAAATCATAATAGAGATTCCTAATATAGAAACACTACATCTTACCCTATCAGTACTTATGATACTTCCCAAATCATACTAGTGGTTCCTGCTTTAGAAACCTTACATTTTTCCTATATATGTACTTATGATACTTCCCCAAATCGTAATACAGATTCCCGATATAGGAAACCTACATTTTACTTGTTTAAGTACTTATGATACTTCCCCAAATCATAATCGCGATTCCCAATATAGGAACCCTACATTTTACTTGTTTAAGTACTTATGATACTTCCCAAAATCATAATACAGATTCCCAATATAGAAACCCCCCATTTACCATACAAGTGCTTACGATACTTCCCCTAATCATAACAGAGATTCCCGATATAGAAACCCTACATCTTACCATACAAGTGCTCACGATACTTCCCCAAATCATAAGAGTGATTCCTAATATAGAAACCCTACATCTTACCATACAAGTGCTTACGATACTTCCCCAAATCATAACTGATAGTGATTGGTAGTTTAGAAACCCTACATTTTACTATATAACAGTGTATACCAGAAGAGTACATGGACCCTTAGGGCAAGTACTTAGGACCCTTTGGCTCACGAAGCCTGCGCACCCTCGCAGGACCGACGCTGTGGTCAGAGCCATGGGTCCAAGGCACGCGTTAGTGTTTATTTACCCTAAGGCTCCCAAAGGGGCCATGGGCTTTCTGGGGGAAGGGTTTGGGCTTTTGGGGCTAAAGTTTGGGATTTTATTGGAAAAGTTGAAGGTTTACCCTAAGGCCTCAAAGTAATTCCTTTTTTGGGGTTCGTACATAGAATCCTATAAGGTAATCCCAAAAAGGAACTACTATGGGGCCTCTGGGTATACTATACCTGAACCCCCAAAGTAAGGGTTTACGTGCAAAAATGAAGCTTTCTACTATACCAGTAAGGGTTTACGTGCAAATAATGAAGCTTTCTACTATACCTGAATCCCCAAGTAAGGGTTTACGGTCAAAACTAAGCTTTCTAGTATACCTGAACACCAAAAGTAAGTAATATATTGGCTTTAGGGTTTACTGGCAAGATGGAAGGTGTATATTATACCTGAACCCCCAAAAAGTAAGTAAACATGAAGGTGCATAATACTATGCCTGAACCACCAAAAGTACGTTAAATAAAGTGCCCAAAACCTATGAAGGGCTACTATACTACTATAGGTTTTTGGGGGTCCAGGTAGGGCATGTTTCGGGCCGGGTGTTTGGGGCCTGGTACTGAAAGCTTGTAACCTAAGGCTTCGGGGTTTCAGAGTTGAGGCGGTACCCTAAACCCTGACCCTAAACTCTAAACCCTGGACCCTAACCCTGGAGCTATGTGGGAGTGCAGCATGAAAGAACAAGTCAACAGAATAAAGATTGTGTTTCGAGGGTTTCGGGGGTTCGAAACCTTGGCAATCCTTCGAAACCCCTTGATTAAGACCCAAACCCCAGACCACTAACAAAACCCGTAAAACCCCTCTTCTAAACCCACCAACACCTTACAATAATTCCTAGTCGACCGCGGCGAGGGGGGGGTCGGAGGCAACACTCGGTGCAACGTTGCCGTCTACATGGCGGGTTTGGGACCGCTTCGGGTTGAGACTTAAAGTTAAACTGCTGGATGTATAGGGGCTTGGGGCACGACTGCATGACCGCATGGTTTGAGATAAAAGTTTAAGTTGCAGGGTTGTTCAACTCTAGGCACGTCTGAGTACCTCTAAACCCAAAGCCGCCGAGACTTGAACATGGCAGGAAACCTGCAGCGAACTATTTGCTCATGAAACATGCGGGCGCCGACACCTACGCAGTGGGACATGGCGCGGCTCAGGGTTTCGACCGATTTAATTTCTCGGGCAGGGCCAGAGGTAGAGTCAGACAATATCAAACCCTGATTCAGAAACCCTCGTTCTTTACTAGGGTTCTTTATATGGGTAGTTGTCAAAATTATGGCCCCTTTCTGGGTACCCTAAATATTAGTGCAGTATTCTATGAAGGACCCAAAAAGGGACCATCATTTTGACAACCACCCATATGAACCCTAATATGTTGGGGTGATGGGGCCCAGGGTTTCTTAATCACACTATCAAAGGGGAAAAGGAGGGACCTTTAATGGGGACCCCTACCCCATAATGGGTTATTTAATGGGTATATAATAGCTATATTAATAATAAATTAAGGGTGTATACCTAGGGGTCCTTATTAAGGGTTTAGGGTTTAGGGTTTAAGCTTTGGGTGTATACCTAGGGGTCCTTATTAAGGGTTTAGGGTTTAGGGTTTAAATTAAGGGTGTATACCTAGGGGTCCTTATTATAAAAGGGTTTAGGGTTTAGGGTTTAAATTTTGGGTGTATACCTAGGGGTCCTTATTAAGGGTTTAGGGTTTAGGGTTTAAATTTTGGGTGTATACCTAGGGGTCCTTATTAAGGGTTTAGGGTTTAGGGCTTAAATTAAGGGTGTATACCTAGGGGTCC